AATAATAATAATAATAATAATAATAATAATAATAATAATAATACATATACTGTTAGAATCAACTTAATAATTCGTACAAAAAGCGTCATTTTTTAACATTAAGGCGTGTCAGAATGAAATGATACACAAACATCAATCATTCACAGGATTACGAATGCTGACCGGTTTCATGTTTACAGATCAATGACTAATGACCACAAAGCGCTGCGTTTTGAATACTTTAACACATTAGAAAGCCAATTGATTTCATTGGCCGGTTCTACTGTCGCTTCCATATGACATCACAAGCACGACAAGGAAGACCATCGAAATCGATGGTCTTAGAACTTAATGTATCATTCCGCCGGGTAACAAAGTAGATCCCAGACGTTTAATTATTTTCACAGATTATTTAAAAAAAAATAACTATTACTTTCAACTAAATGGACGCAAAATTGAAATATTTAAATAAAAAATAGATTTTTTCCGTCTTGTTTGTAGTCTTAATTACGGAATAAGAAAATTACTGGCGATGGGATATACACATGCACCACTTCACCTACACTCGCATCGCCGGAAGTCGTAGTGGAGCGCTTTCCTGTCTGTGTTGAACGGGTGAGTTGAGGCGTGATTGTTACTTTTTTTTAATATAAACAAATTATATCGTTAGTTTTGACGCGGTGCTCTGCAAATATGTGTTTTTAAATGTTTCATGGATGAGTGCGCTTGGAGATAGGGGCCCCCGCTGTGTCAGGAAACTGAAAAAAACGTGAATGATTGGGCCGAGACAAGAGGGAGGGGGCCGCCCAGTGTTTTTGAAGTGTAGGGTATTTAATTAAAGAACTCATTTTGTATTCACGAATAGCTCGCTGCTCCTAAAGGGTAAAACCCGGGTAAATTCGGATAAGCCCGAGCTGTCGGCTGCACTGTGGCGCGCAGGGAGCACCGGACGCAGCTGCTTCTGTGTGCGGCGGCTCGTCCCGCGCTCGGCTCGGACCCCGGACCCCGGACCCCGGACCCGTGCGGGGTGCCTGTTGTCGTCGTTTGTTGTTTTCGCATTCGTACTGCTGGTCGTTTCGTTGAAAACCTCTTAAACCGTATCACTGGACTCCCCCTTCGCAGGGCTATAGCATGAACCTCGCTGTCCATTTTTCGCACATGTACACCACCTGAGTTGCACCTTAGCATTATCACTCGTGTCAGAAGTGAAGAGATTCCTGTTGCTGCTGAGCCGGCGCTTCTGTTTCGCTTTGTAACATTTGACAGTTTCAACTACGAAACATTTCAGTGTCTCTGACCTCTTCGGTGGGGGGGTTATTTTTTCTCATGCTGAAGAAATATTCGAGCACGGATAAAACCTTTGTATGAAGCTGTAGAGTGAAATTCGGCTTCACGGTTGTAGTTTCCAGTTTTCAAGCCTTTACGCCAAACCCCTCTTCCGAATTGGTGTATGTACCAATTATTATTTTCATGGAGGTGTCATTTGAAGAAGTGGAAGCAAACGACAAAAATTGGCAGACTTCACTTAAGTAAACTTTAATATTGGGGAAAAATTAGTCAAATTATAGTTCAGAGGGGCAATTTCATTTTACTGAGTGGAGAAGCGCGGTTTCTGTTTTTATCCCACCCCGGGGATGGGCAGATGAAATCGCAGTCGCTGCCTCGCGGTGGAGGACTCTGCCCGTCAGCGGGCGGCTCGTGGGCGTCTCCTGACCGGTGCGCTGCCCCCCAGGTGTGCAGACGGCGGTGCTGCTGCCCCACACCGCCCCCTGTGAGTGCTCGGTCCTGTCGGAGCCATGGCCTTCGTCGCCACCCCCAGCCCCACCGTGGTGGACCAGACCACGCTGATGAAGAAGTACCTGCAGTTCGTGGCGGCCCTGACAGACAGCAACACGCGTGAGTGTGTCCCTCGCGGCCCAGCTGTGCTGCTGCCCCTCCAGACAGTGCCCGAGGCGTCCTGCCCGACACCCACAGCTCCTGTTTGTGTGCACTTGTCAATCCTGCCCTGTGGCATCAGGGCACTCGAATATTGCTTACGACAGTGGTTCCCAGTCCTGGTGCTGGAGACCCACACGCCTGCTGGTGTATGTTCCGGCCGAGCCCTCCGTTACACCATCCAACCCTTCATGGACTTAATAATAATCAGATGAATGTGAACTGTTAGTTCCCAGCTCATGAACTTGTTGGAACTTTGACTGTTGTAATTTACAAGTGAAGTAAAATCCCAAACTCGTGACTAGAGACCAATATGCAATTGAAGCAACTTCTTAGATGAAGTAAGGCTCCAAGGATCTGATGGAGGTGTGATGGTGTGTGGGGCACCAGGACCGGCACTGGGAACCCCTGAGTCATGGCATTGCAGTAACTGCACCCGGACAGCAGGTCCTGCCGTTATTAAGCACAGGGTGTGAGGCGCAGGTGTGCTCTCGGTTTCCCTTTTGGTGCTGTCTTGAGGTGTATTGTAGGACTGGCGTTTTCATCTGTAGTTCAAGGATCTCAGGGAGTGGAGGAAGTTCACCAGTGAAGGACAGTGGACCGAAACCTGAAGTGACACTGTGCAGAAGTCCTGTGATGAGAGCGATGTGCTTTAGCCCAGCGGAGGGAAGGCACGTGGGCTCACGAGAGTCTGTACGGGTGAAGGAGTGTGTGTGTGAGAGAGTGTGTGGGTGTGCGGCTGAGCTGCTGGACCTCTTTGTTTGGGCGCTGAAAGTTAAACTGATAAGATCTGAGAGCTTCTGCAGGTACTGTAGCCCTGAGCCAGTGAGGTATTACACTGAGTGAGCGGTGCCTGTTCACCCCTCCGCAACACTTCTCGCTCTCCCTACAGCTGATGAGACCAAGCTGAAGATGATGCAGGAAGTGAGCGAAAATTTTGAGGTATGTTTTTATTTCATTTTAACTCTGTGTGACTTGGAAATTAATCAAGAAAGATGAGATCTTTCTGTTTGTGGCTCGGAAATTGATCACTTGATTTGTATTGGTGGTGGGGGGGGAAGACACAGACACATGTTTTGCCCCAGACCTCCTGGCTCTGTCGCTGGCGCTCTTGTGCAGTTTCACCCGACTGCTTGATCTGTTTTTTCAGAATGTGACTTCGTCGCCGCAATATTCCACGTTCCTAGAGCACATCATCCCTCGCTTCCTCACGTTTCTGCAGGATGGGGAGGTGCAGTTCCTGCAGGAGAAGCCAGCACAGGTCTGCTCTTTGCACCATGTCCTGCAGTCGCCTCTCTAGAGCAGGGGTTCCCCTGGTCTGCTGGTGTCTGCACCTGCTGAACTCGCTCATATTTGTTATTATTTTAATTCCGCAGCCTATAGAACCTGTAAGCACTGACTCCTGAGCTTGCTTACCAGTACCTCTCATGTTACGATGTTATCGTGTTGTTATGCTATTAACTGGATGTTAACTCAGTTTGTAATGAAAAGACACTGGTGGGAGTGACTCTGTATCAGATACTCCCATAATGAGATTTATTTTTCCCTTCTACAAAGGCCCACTTTCTTACAGTTGAACCAACACACTTTGATGAAATTGTTCCAATTTCAATATTTTAAGAGATGGACAAATTCCATTAATCCGCGTGGAAGAACTTGGCTGACGCAGAAGCCTCCAAGACATTCAGAGGATTTTGCTCCAGAAATAGAGACAGTGTTCCTTCAGGACCAGGGTTGTGACCTGTTGCCCTAGAATACTATGCACAGTAATGCCGATAACATTATGAGGGGAGGGTTGTGGCCCGGTGTGAAGTCGGTACAGAATAAGTTGAAGATATCAGCTCCGGATATCAGAGCACTAGCTAATTTATGTCACTGTCTAGCTAATTTGTGTCACTAAGTGCTGATGACTTACTCATTGGGGCCATTCAGAAAAATGAATCTGGTATATACTTGCGCTCCAAAAGGTGTGTAATATGTACTTTTTGAGTAGTTGTAGAAAGTTCATGATAGAAGATGAGCATGAGCAAATGTCTTAGAAATGCTGATTTTGTTGTTGAGTCGCACTGCGTTGATGTTTAACAGTCCCGTACATGTGTGTCTGCTTTACAGCAACTGAGGAAGCTGGTCTTGGAAATAATCCATCGCATTCCCACCAATGAGCACCTGAGACCCCACACCAAGAATATCCTGTCCGTCATGTTCCGCTTCCTAGAGGTGAGGACCTTAGCTGGCCCCTGGCCGGACACCTCAGGGGCCCCAGGGCTGTGCTGAGCAGAGGAGCCTTGGTCACTTTTACTTGCGAAGCTCCTAGTAGAAGAATTTCAATGTAGAAATGTTCACACTGCAGTTTCAGTATTTTAATTGTTTTTTTTAAATGAGGAGCTAAGAATATAAGCTGAAATGACAAGAGAGGACCAGTTTGATCCCACCCAAAACTGGGAACTGAAAGGAAGGGAAATGCGATGAAACTTCATAGGCTGCTGCGGGTCAAAGTGTTTTGGCTCTGTGGTCGTTGTGTGTATCCAAGATGAAGCCTGTAATCTCTGTATTTCAGATCGAGAGTGAGGAGAACGTGCTGATCTGCCTGCGAATTATTATCGAGCTGCACAAACAGTTTCGGCCTCCCATCACTCAAGAGGTAAGGCTCAAACGGAGCAGTATAAAGGGCACTATCTGAAACCGGGCATGTATTGAAAGATTCAGACTTGGAAGTATCTTGTATAGCTATCTTTAGAATTATCAAAGGGTCGTTTAAGTTAAGTTAACAATAAGGTTGATCGCGAAATCGAGAGCCTGCACAAATCAAAACTCAACTCCTCTCTCAGGTGCTGTTGCCTCATAGAGTGTTGCAGTATTATTTTCTGACCATTCCCATGATTGTATAAAAGCAGAATCTCCCCTCTCACCAGAAACATGTACCTTTCAATCTCCATCCCACAGATTCATCACTTCTTGGACTTTGTGAAGCAGATCTATAAGGAGCTGCCCAAGGTGGTGGTAAGTGGTCAGTGATTCTCTCTGTATTTCCCCCTTTCCTGAGCTGCCGAGGTCTCAGGCCTGCGTTTTTACAGTCCTGCCCTGGTGTGCTCTGTTGGCAGAACCGCTACTTCGAAAACCCGCAGGCCATCGCGGAGAACACGGTGCCCTCGCCTGAAATGGTGGGCATGATCACGTCCGTGGTGGTGAAGACCGCGCCGGAGAGAGAGGACAGCGAGACGCGGACTGTGAGTGTTGCTCTGCCTCCCCGACACCTGCGGTCAGCTCGAAGGGACGGAACCCTGGCCTTTCTGGCTGCCCCACCCTAACGCACGTGCCCATGCCGAGGCTCCCTCGCGCCCAGCCCGCCTGTCGTTTTCTCACGGGCGCGCGTGAACGCTCAACAGCTCGAGCACTGTGCGGGTAGATGTTAAACTATAGGCCACAAACGGCGCACCTTCTGTGTGGTTTGGTGTGAGCAGCATTTGCTGTTTTGTGTTTTTTTTTTTCACTGAGTATCACACTTCAGCTTCCTGGCACAACCAAGGCAGGACAAAACAAGAAAGATTTCAGGGCTGTTTGTGCCTTGCTTCAAGAAAGAGAAGATCTCTTAGGCTAGTAATTTTACATGTGTGCTTTATCTGGCCTGATTGTCCAAGAACTCCCCGTGCCCAGGTGCCAGTGTAAATCTCTCTGGCTTACCTCTCTGGCTGCGACTCGGAATGCGTGTTGCCAGTAATGACACTGATAGTAAACACACAAAAAGACTGAGCGTGCCCCAGCCCTTGCTATCTCTGCGCTTTCTTTCAGCACACTATCATCCCTCGCGGCTCGCTGTCCCTGAAGGTGCTGGCAGAGCTGCCCATCATTGTGGTGCTGATGTACCAGGTAGGTCTTTCCTTAGGGAAAACGATTGCCATCATTTCTGTTGTGGGCTTTCTGTCAGGATGTTAATTATTCCAGGCAAGGCCCTTAGAGGGGGCTTGAGGTTCTTTCAGTAGGATGAGACAGGGAAAAGATAAGTTGAAGATCTGTTGACTGTAACGTAAAATCAGGGGTAATTTGTTACATGCCGAGTTTGTTGGCTAGCACCTGGGGGGAGGCATGGGGGCTGGGCTGTCAGCGCTGCTGCCTCACACCTCTTGGGTGCTGGGGTCAGTTTCAAATACACTCTGGCAGGTTAATTGTGGTGCTAAGTTGGTTGTGTGTGTGTGTGTGTGTCGCCTGGGGATGAACTCCATTCTGGCCTGGCCGCAGTCCTGATTTATGCCCATTGCTTCCAGGATAGGCTCCAGGTTGCTGTGACCCATTCCAGGAAAAAGTGGCTTTCTGATTATGGGAAGATGGAAGTTGTCACTTGTGTATATGCTCTTCTATGTGCAGTACATGAATAACCTGTGCTTGGTAATACTATTTTCTATCCAACTGATTGCATTGTTCTCTTTTGCAGCTTTACAAGCTGAACATTCACAATGTGGTGGCGGAGTTTGTGCCTCTCATCATGAACACGATCATGCTCCAAGTCTCTCCTCAGGCCAGGTAATCATCCTGCCACCAGAGGGCGCCACAGTCCGTCACGCAAGCCCAGATCATGCAGCTTTCCACCATCAGCTAGAAATATACTAGACTTGATGACAAAAAAAAAAAGTTGAAATGTATTTAAAGCACAAGTGAAGTCATTTAATGTCATGAGCTGAACTTCTGCTTGCAGGCAGCACAAGCTGTACAACAAGGAGCTGTATGCTGACTTCATCGCGGCTCAGATTAAAACCCTGTCTTTTCTGGCCTACATTATCCGCATATATCAGGTACCCCTGAACTCTCTTCTTCATCTCTTGCTGCTGCTGTTCTGTGTCATGTGCTCTGCGACTAAACGCTCCTCTTCCTCCGGTGTCTCTTCCTTCCCTCAGGACCTGGTGGCGAAGTACTCCCAGCAGATGGTGAAGGGGATGCTGCAGCTGCTCTCCAACTGCCCCTCGGAGACGGCCCACCTGCGCAAGGAGCTGCTGATCGCGGCCAAGCACATCCTGACCACCGACCTGCGCAGCCGTAAGTGCGCTCTCTGCCCCTGCGTGGCGCCTGCGGCGGACGGCCAGCACGTCCATTTCGCAGAAGAACGCTACTGTGGAGGATTAGTCTGTCCTTCAAAGGACAATGCGTAGTATGACGACTGGTTTCTAAGCGGTGCCTGAAGAACACAGCGGCTGGAGCCTGGTGCAGAAGGCTCAGAGCAGGTCTTTGTTTGACTCCTGCCCGCCAGTTGAGGACATTAATGAGGATATTTTCCGTTTCGTCTTTAAAGCTTCGGCTTTGACCATTTTTCTTTGACGTTGGTGACTGTTGCCGCGTTGCATGATGGGGAGAGCTCATTGCTTCCTGCCCTGCTCAGCAGGACGCAGTGGGGAAAGGGGGTGCTCATAGAGGAGGAGGGGTTCACTCTTCCCTTGTCATGTCTCCTCTGCGGCATGGCAAGGCCGGCGGACCCCAGAACGCCCCTGTTGGGCTCTCTGGGTCTCCTGCTGACATCAGCGTCAGGAACTAATGAGAGGAGAAGTGAGACACTTCCCTCCTAATTGGCACTCTGGAGGATTTTAATAGCATCGGTTTCAGAAATACACTCTAGGCATGCTAAGTTGCTCCCCCTGCCCTCCACCGCCTCCCCACTCGCTCTCCGCTTTCTCTCGGCTTCTGTGTGATACTCAAGGTGTTTGGGGTTCTGAAAGTACATCTCTTGCAAAGAGTTTACAATTAATTGCCTTCATGTTTGCTTCAGACGTGGCGAGGGTGTAAGTAACAATGACAATTTGTATTACAGAATTCATTCCATGCATGGATAAGCTATTTGACGAGTCCATACTAATCGGCTCTGGATACACCGCTCGGGAGACTCTGAGGTAACGAGGCTAACTTGGGATTTTATTTACTGGTTCGTGGGGGGATACGAAGCTGGTATAACCAGGGTGGGGAGAGAGTATGGGAGAGAGAAGGGAAAATAAATGAAGGCGTGGATCAGCCGAGGAGGCAGTGTCTTCACCTAGCACGCAAGCGCTCATTTGTGTGTCTTACCGACGTTCGGTTTTGTTGCTGCGCGAGAGCTTTGTGGTACTGGGAGACTTGAGCCATTTCCCAGAGGTTGTGTGTTTAAATGGGACACTGTAGGAGAAATGCGGCAAAAAGTTTCCTTACAATTGGACTGGATGCTCCCCAGCTGAGTTAAAAGGTTAAAAATCTTGAAATAAATGTCATCGCTTGTCTGTGCTGATGTGGTTGTAGGTGGTGCGCTGTCCAATGTTAGTTCCATACCTCCTGTAAGACATGGGCACTGCCCCCTGTGTCCTGCACTGAGCAGTGGAAGTAGATGTTAACGGGCTGTAGATTGGCTCTCTGAGATGGCAGGAGGAACAGATGTGGAACGTTGCTTGTTAGGTAGTCATTACAGCTATTAGCCACTAGGGGACTCCTGTCACAAAGCTGTCAGGGAGCTCCTTGTGGGTTTGTCAGTATGCCCGTTCCCCTTGCCCTGTCAGCCTGACTCCACTCATCCAGGGAGAGTTCATCATCCTTTATTTCCCCTTTATTTTTCTTAATTGAATCAGCCTTCAAAATCATATTGCATTACCCAGGTTGACGGAGCCTGTTCAGGGTTCTTCTTTCACATCGCTCGGCTGAAGATTTGACAGATGCCTTGAAGTCTGGGGCTTGGGATCTGATGTCTAATATTTTTCTGTCAGCGGGGTTTAGGAAGCCCTCCTTTGGTCTTTAATTGGGATTGAAGCGCTGCTTTATTTGCATAAGAGCAACCAGAAGTACTGTACAAGGTTAGACCAGAGTTTGGCATTTCTCGAGATCAGGTGGGCTCTTCTCACAGCAGAAGAGCTGTGTTTCTGGGGCTCTGACCACCATAATTTTGTGTAGCAAGTGCTTTTAACGGGGCCGAAAAGTCCAAGAACAACTGATCTTGTGCCCTTTTGTAATCTGTCATGACCTCTCCTCCGTGGTTTGAAACGGTCCGACTGCTCTCTCTCAGGCCCCTGGCCTACAGCACCTTGGCGGACCTGGTCCACCATGTCCGGCAGAACCTGCCCTTGAACGACCTCTCGCTGGCCGTGCAGCTGTTCGCCAAGAACATCGACGACGAGTCGCTGCCCAGCAGCATCCAGACCATGTCCTGCAAGCTGCTGCTCAACCTGGTGGACTGTATCCGCTCCAAGAGCGAGCAGGAGAACGGCAACGGGCGGGACGTCCTGATGAGGATGCTGGAGGTAGGGGGGTGTGGGCGGGGCCTCTCTCTGCACTGTGGGACGGGGGGGAGGGGGAGGGGATGCCTGAGCTGTTGGAAACTGTCATTCAGTCGCTGGGACTCATTTTGTCTCTTTTCTGTGTTGTGCAATATTTCATCATATACATTCTGCGATATTAAGCACTTAAGGGCATTGGCGCTTGGTGTGACTTGACTGTCATGGGAAATCACTTGCTGTTCTTTGAAACTGTCTGGCTGCTGCCCCTTTCCCCACCAAACAGCCGTAAATGCTCGACGGAGAAATATGGAAAAGATGCACCGAATGTGCAGCTGGTGCTGCTGTTTTAGAAGTATTGGAAGTTTTTGGTGTACCTGAGTTATGTTGTGAACCTTCAATTAGAGCGTGTTTTATTTCCATTTAAACATCTTTTGCGGGTACTTTTGCATACGCAGCTCGCCACACATCCAGAGCGCTTTGGTGTCAGACGGCAGCTCATTCTGCTTTGCGGTCCCGAGTGAGTGTGTTCCCTGTCTGCGTCTCACAGGTGTTTGTGCTGAAGTTCCACACCATCGCGCGGTACCAGCTGGTCACCATCTTCAAGAAGTGCAAGCCGCAGTCGGAGATGGGCGTGGTGGACTCCGGGGCCTTGCCTGGCGTGCCGGCCACCCCCACTGCTCCCACCCCCGTGCCCACTCCTGTGCCCCCCACCCCGGTCATCCCTGCGCCCCCTGCCGCCGCCTTGGACCGGCAGGGAGACAAAGACAAGGAGGACAAACAGACCTTCCAGGTGTCGGACTGCCGCAGCCTGGTGAAGACGCTGGTCTGCGGGGTGAAGACCATCACCTGGGGCATCACCTCCTGCAAAGCGCCCGGAGGTGAGTGCGGAGGGATTACTGCATTCTCGTGTCGTTGGAAGAACGAGGGAGGCTGGTAGGAGATTTGACGCAAGTGTATACATTCCTAAGGGGTACTGATGGGGTCAACCCAAGGAGCTGTTTCTGGCTCCACAGTGGCCGCAATTGGAGACTAAAAAGGTCTTTCATTTAGGCCTGAGAACAGGAAATGGTTCTTTACGCAAAACGTGGTGGGTGTTGGGAACTTGCTTCCCAAGCAGAGCGTTGAGGCCCAGTCCCCTTTTGACAAAATACAGGAGAGATTTGTTTTGTTCTGTTGATGGTCTTGTGTCCGTCTGTGTTTCTTGGCTTGCTTTGCTCCCCCTGCCGTGTCTTCAGAGAAATACCTTCCGTTTGTCTTGCAGAGGCTCAGTTCATCCCCAACAAGCAGCTGCAGCCCAAGGAGACTCAGATCTACATCAAACTGGTCAAGTATGCGATGCAGGCCCTGGACATCTATCAGGTAGGAGGACCTCACCTTCAGAAGCTGGTGGCCTACCTTTTTAAGGGCCACCCATATTGTGTGCTTGTAGAACACAAATACAGAGGAAGCTCAGTGAATAAGGGAGACAAAGCTCGAACGAGCCTTAGCCGTGGCTGATACAGTCATTTGGGCTCAACCTCTTAAATCCTCCTACCCACGCTTATGTCCCTCTGTTTTTGCACTGAGCTCAAAACACTGACACTACTTGAATTTAGCACACCATTGTCATATAAATGCTTTTTAAAATTATAGCTGCCACTATGTTCCTATCTTCAAGAAGTTCATTGTGTTCAGGTACGTATGACCGTAAACTTGAACATCGTAAATCTGTCTAACTGGATAGTTATGGAGGTCCACTTGACAGCGTGCTGTTAAGCGGCGCAGTGGCCTTGTTTCTGGCATGCTTGAGTCAATCCACGCTGATCCGGCGTGCCGCCCTGCAGGTGCAGATCGCTGGGAACGGGCAGACGTACATCCGCGTGGCCAACTGCCAGACGGTGCGGATGAAGGAGGAGAAGGAGGTGCTGGAGCACTTCGCCGGGGTCTTCACCATGATGAACCCTCTCACCTTCAAGGAGATCTTCCAGACCACGGTGCCCTACATGGTGGAGAGGATCTCCAAGAACTATGCCCTGCAGGTAAACTCCCCCCTCGACTGTAACTCATTACAGCCTGATTGTTTCATGTAACTGACATCATGCTGCTTGTGATCAGAATACATTTCCAAAGGCTAATGGTAGGCTGTGGAAAACCTGTTTTTGGGGAGGTTTAGCTTGGCAGTGACTTTCTGTCCTCGTCCCTCTCTAGATTGTGGCCAACTCCTTCCTCGCCAACTTGTCCACCTCGGCACTCTTCGCCACCATCCTGGTGGAGTACCTGCTGGAGCGCCTGCCAGAGATGGGCTCCAATGTGGAGCTGTCCAACCTCTACCTCAAGCTCTTCAAGCTGGTCTTCGGTTCCGTCTCGCTCTTCGCGGCCGAGAACGAGCAGATGCTCAAGGTGAGGGCCTGGCGGCGGCGATGGGCGGGAGGAGATATCGCCCAGAACGAAAAGCCACACTTCTTCTCGGTCGACTGTTAGGCTCACGTTTTCCTAATGCAAACAGACACATCTTTCTGCAGACTAGTGTGTTTCTGGAAAACGAGCTGTCAAAGGAACCGTCTCTGAGTTTTTTTTTATTTAGTGTTGTCCCAATTCTGGTTTGGCTGTCCTACGCTTCCCTCAGTGCTTGACTCTAGTTCAGAGATGGTTTCTAGAGAAACTGGTCATGATCTTCTCTTTCCGTTCTTTAGGTTTTTAATTCCTGCTTTGCTGCTAACGTTTCTTGTCTGGCAGTTCTAATGATTTTTCCAGTTTCTTGAGCGTGTTCCCTTTTAGAAGGCTTGATATCGGCAGGAGTGCTCTAACAGCTGTCTTTCTTCTTCATGCCCTTTTCAAAGCTGCAGTTTCAGCCTCCTTCGCCTGCCCTGGTTCTTTTTACAGATCAGGTTCTTATTCTCGTGTTTGTATCCTGCAGTGGCCCAGAGCTCTCTGACAAGGCCTGATGGTGCCGCTGAAAGCTGGAATGGTATCAGCAGCTCTGAATGAATTTTAATGAGTTCTGTCAAGCCTGTGAGAAGCTATGGCACTTCTTTCCCAGATTGATGCCTTAACCCAAGCTGTATGAAGTGAAGGTCACTTTAAAATAGTATTTGTTATAAAAAACGAAAGTGTGTCTTCTCATTTTTCGTCAATAGCAGCATCATGCAGCTCAAGGTTGTGAGCATTTAATGATCTGTAACTCCAATTTAAACGTGTTGATTTGTTCTCCCTTTGATCTGCTACGTTCCCCCCCCCTTCTCTTCGGGGTGTCTTGACTGCAGGAATGAGAGTTTAATGGCGAGATGGAGCAGCGGTTTTAAAGAGCTTTTTAAACACGGAAGGCTTCAGCTCTTCTGTTACTTAATGGGCAAATCACTTGGGTTCCACAGGGCCGAGTCCTGTGCCCTTGAGCTTGGGCTCCACGAGGGAGGGTCAGTTCAGTTTTAGTTCCTTGTTCTCGGTCACCGCTGAGCATTCCCTGAATGGGAGCAGGTCGAGGTTTCCAGAGCCTTTCTTTTAGCCGTTTTCCCCGAGCAATCGGCCGAGCTGAGTGTCCTGTGGGTGAATCCAGCCGGGCAGCAGTGTGTTGGCCTCCCCTGACGTCTGCGTGCTGCTCTCTTCCAGCCCCACCTGCACAAGATCGTCAACAGCTCCATGGAGCTGGCGCAGTCGGCCAAGGAGCCCTACAACTACTTCCTGCTTCTGCGCGCCCTCTTCCGCTCCATTGGGGGGGGCAGCCACGACCTGTTGTACCAGGAGTTCCTGCCCTTGCTGCCCAACCTGCTGCAGGGTAAGTTCTACCAGCCCTGTGCCCGGGGCAGTTCCCCCAGTTCATTCCAGTGTTTCATTATCTGCTGCAGCCTTGATGGCTGTAGTGTGTGAAAGGTGGTGGGCAGCAGGGTGGTGCAGTGGTTAGTACCCGGAAGGTAGAGGCTTCAAGTCTCAGCTGGGACATTGCTGATGTACCCTTGAACGGGCTACTTCATTCAGATTGCTTCAGTAAAAGAGAGTCAAATTGATAGTGCATTAGTATGAATGAGTCCATATTGTAGTTGTTGTTAGTTCAGTGTTGTAGTTTGATTCCTGGGTAGATCTGGAATTGCGCATGGAAGGCAGGACAGCCTCTGACCCAGTTTCTGTCCGCGGGCCCCTGCAGGGTTGAACATGCTCCAGAGCGGCCTGCACAAGCAGCACATGAAGGACCTGTTTGTGGAGCTGTGCCTGACGGTGCCCGTGCGCCTCAGCTCCCTGCTGCCCTACCTGCCCATGCTGATGGACCCGCTGGTGTCGGCGCTGAACGGCTCGCAGACGCTGGTGAGCCAGGGCCTGCGCACGCTGGAGCTCTGCGTGGACAACTTGCAGCCCGACTTCCTGTACGACCACATCCAGCCTGTCCGCGCTGAGCTCATGCAGGTAGAGCCCCACGCCTACGTTCTGCTCGCTTGTCCTGAAAGACCAGAGGGGTTCTTACAGACGATAACAGCTCATACGATTACACTTAATAAAAAACTACCCTTGAGAAGAGAAATGAGAGCACCAGGGCTCGCTTTGAAGCGGGACTGTACAGTATTCAGTAAGTGAGGATTGTTTAGATCTGTGATCGGATGGTGCTGCTTTCTTGCTAAGGGCCCTGTTCCGCAACTCACTGAACACATTATTACTGCCTCCTAGGAGCGCTGTATTGTGGAGCTGTTTACTTGGCCAGTTTGGGGGGATCTGACGCTGTTGTGCTGTTTGTTTCCCTGGGGACCAGGCTTTGTGGCGCACGCTGAGGAACCCAGCAGAGACGATATCCCACGTGGCGTACCGCGTGCTGGGGAAGTTCGGCGGCAGCAACCGCAAGATGCTGAAGGAGTCCCAGAAGCTGCAGTACGTGGTGACCGAGGTCCTGGGCCCCAGCATCACCGCCGAGTTCACGGACTGCAAGGCTTCCATCCAGCTGCCCATGGAGAAGGTACCCCACTCTCTCCCCCTGCCCGGGATGGTCCCATGCTTTTGCGAAAGTAGGAATGTCAATCCGTGGCTTCCAAACCAGTTGCGGTCCATAGGGAAGCAAATACAAAGCAAATTGTGCATGTTGGTTCTGTGCTGCTTCTGTGTTTATTGATGCATCAGGCTGTGGCTGGGCTGTTCGCTCTGAGTGGTGGAGAGATGCAGCATGAGGAATGTGCTGCACGAGCAGAGGGCTTCCACTTCCTGTGAAAGCTCACTCTTCTTGAGACTGAGAGGCACAAGACTCAGAGGCTGATGGCCTGATCTGGTTAATGCTTGAAGTGCATTGCGCACACGCACACACACACCCCTTTCCTCTCTCCTTTCAGTTTGTTTTTTTGAGAAAGTATTCAGCACTTGGTAGTGGGGGGTTCTCCAAAGGTCACCCTATCTGCATAATTTCATATTAAGAGACTAATGTGTGAGTGATTGGATTTCGGCTTGTGGCTAGTCAACCGATGCAATTTCTTATTTCATGCACTTCTAAATGAATTCTCCGAGGAGGAGGCTGTCGGTGTGTGTCCGCAGACTGGCGGGGAGTTGGGGGGCTTGAATGGAAAATAAGATATTTGTTCTCCTGGGTACAATGCAGTCCTTACTTTGCTGTTCCACTTAACAACCGCGGGAGTGTGTGTAGTTTTTTACCAACGGTACTGTTGTTTTGGGCTGGTGTAGAGTTGGTGTTAGCACTGCGTTGTCACTCTGATGTCCTTCTGTTCCCTTTTCCACTGCAGAGGCACTGCATTTCGGGTGTGAAAAGAGGTGTTGAGGCTTCAGGATGGGATGAGGGTTGCAAATGTGTTCTGGTTTCTCTGGAGGAAAGTGCTTTGGTTAGGTGGTAACCTTTAATCCATCTGCGACATGTAAGAGCTCTGAGGGCCTGGAATCAAGAACAGTTGATGTGCCACTTTCCCTGAAAGATGTTTTCCTATAAGACATTCGATGTAGACGGGTACGCCTTAAAATGGATAAATACCTCTTCAGATGTGTTAATTACCCGAGGGGATTGAATGATTTTCCTTTCTGGCTTTCTTTTCTAAATTTGAGTTTCACGTAGCATTGAATTCATGCAGCGTTTTTTCATCCCGAAGGATCCTACAGTTCCACGGAAACGTTTAATGTCTTACCTGAAGGAGAGCACCTGATGTACCCAGGCACCCAGCTGGGCCAGTGGCTTTAGGCTCTGTCCCAGAGAGAACTCTCCTAGTTCATCAGAACCTCACTTGTGTTGGAAGAATGTGTCTTGAAATCCCAGAAAATGTTGGCACATTTGTTTTTTCCTGGAACTCCTTTTTTTCCCAAATTTAAGGCAGGTTTACCTTAAGTTGTAGCAACTGCCACGTGTAGTGTAATGTAAACATTATTTTCTTGCTTGGCAAATTTAATAATGTGCAAAGATGTGTTTGGACTGTTAATGACTCTTAGACCTCATGGAATAAACAGTTTAAACCAGTTGGAGCCGCAGCAGATCTTGCCATTTAACACGCAGCTGCATATTGGCGTAGGGACGGGATTGCGTGACTTTGAGGGAGTTGTTGAACAGGCAGAATTACTAGTCACTACAGGGATTTCAAGGCCTGACTCGGAGTGATGATCTGGAGCTGCACCCTTGAGGACACTGGAAGCCGCGTTATTGTTTTCTAAGGGCAGGTTCAGTATAGAATTAAGTTTAGTGGGTAGAGGCTGACATCCTGCTTCTCTCTCTGTGTGGGGCACCTCTTCAGGGCTGGGTGTTGAGCCTCACTGACCATGTGGTTTGTTGAGGGAAACGTCACACGCAGACTTCTCTGAGGACACAGTTGGAAACGGGAAACGTGTCATCCTCTTCTAACAGGATCTTGCAATAGCAAAAACAAAAGTCAAATGTTGCAAAAAAAAAATCACAGACATAAAACCAGATGTTCACCAGAAAGGATCCTTCCTCTGATGTTTTTGTTAGAATGTTTTAGGTTTATTTTTTTTGCTCCCTGATTAAGTGAATCAGGCTGATGTATTCTGTTCCCTAGTAACTCAGAACTTTCTGTTGGGAGCACAGTGCACAGCACATGGCACAGTTGGCCAAACATGCGAATTGGCACATCCGGATGAAGACTCTCTGCCCTAGCGCCATGTTTTAGATTTTCCAATGCTTGGCCTCTCATCAGATTCCTCTAAACCTTGAAAAGGAACCAGCTTGTCAGTGTGCTCTGGATTCAGCCCTGTTGCTGCGTTTCATAATCAAATGTGGAACACGGCTTTTCCTGTAATTATTAGGTTTATATACATTTTTTTTTTATTGCTTAGGCCCAACCTGTTTGAGAGGAAATTGCCTTCTCTGACTGTTAGCAGTTTTGCCCGGGGACAAGAATGACAACTTCTCTCCTTAGATTAAGATTAGGAAGGCAAGAGATTAGAGAGAGGCAGGGGGGCTGGCTAGCGGTGCCAGAGTCAATAGCTGCAAACGCTAGCATGAAGGCAGCACGCAAGGGAAATTTGTGCCCTCTGTGTTTTTGAAGGCTTCTAAGTTATGTGGCAATTGCAATAAAGAACGAGACCAGGTAACAATTCGGTTTAGAAAGTCTGAAGTCCAAAACCTATGAGTCTCAGGTTTGTACGTAAAACTGAAATGTAACGTAAGCTTCTGCGGATTTTTAACATGAGCGTAAAAATGTTTCCAAACGAGAGGTGCCCCTGGGCCCATCAATCCCGTTTGCTAGCTAGTGAGTCTTGATCCCAGCATCTCATCCAGCTGTTTTTGAAAGAGGAATCTGCATCAGCATGGTTTGGTACCTTGTTCCATACTCCCACGACCTGTAAGGAAGCATTTCCATTTCTCTAAATGTAGTCCCATGTTTCTAAAGGAACAGTAGATGAATAAAATGGTCTATCAAACGTATTTTAATGTTGTGCATTTCAAAGAAAGCGCATGTCGCAAAGAGCATGTTTTATACCATACACGTGTCTCCGATCAACAAGCCACTTATCCCTGTTGAGGGTGACAGGAACTTGGTGCTTATCACAGAAGCGTAGACTACAAGGTAGGATTACAGCTTCAGATTGAATGGATTCAAATACAATTGAAAACCTCTAAAATGTGCGTAAAAGTCATTAGGAAAGATAGCAGCTGCAGTTGAAAAAAATAAATGGTTGTGAAGCTGAGAATGATGGGAATATCCCCCAATGCATCGAAGTTCCACGATACAGCAGCTGTGCAAGCCCTGGACCCAGCCACAGCCTAGCCAGTCGCCAGCTCTGAACTCTGAATTTGCAGAAGCAAGCCAGTAAATATGTTCTAGATGTGTTATGGTTTTTCTGGTGAGTTAATTTCATATGTGACCTTGGTAGTGAAATCCTCGCACTGGCGTTTGGTGATTTCATTTTGCAGATGTTCAATACGGCAGACTTACTCAGTAATGACTTTCAAAGACAGGATCTTAAAGGAGATTTTAACTTTGGCATAACTGCTGTTTTTTTCGTCCTCAAAGGCATTCAGTATTACGCTGCATAAAAGCTCGCTTACATTTGAATATTAAAGAAGAGAAATAAAACAACTTTGTAAGAAGTCCGTTTCTAGCCGCACTCAATATTTCAATTTAATTACAAAGGCAGAGAAGGAAAAAAGCAGGCACTGTTCTCAACTTGTAATGAATTCTTGTCAAAGGAAAGCATCTCTGAAAGGAGACAGTGCCTTCTCCAGGTAATTAAATAGATCATCAGGCTTTAAGCTGTGCTCTTCTCCTGGCCTTAATCAATCTTTAGAAGAGCTGATGGGATTATTTACTCTCGCTAATAGGTCTTCCTGCCGACTGGGAAACACAAACTGTCATCTCTGTAATTGTGTTCGCACGGCAAGATGGATGCCATCTCAGGTTTTTTTTTTTGCCTGTGCCGCTTAATTTCATTTGCATGTGCTGATCCCAGCTACAGGCTACAGCTGCGCGCCGTGAGTGGAATCAAGGTCTGTCTGTTCAGATTAAATAAAGTTCTGGCACTTCGCTTTTCTCTGCATAATTCATGTTGCTTTACTGAAGAGGAACAGGATTGAAGAGCTCGATTTGGTGCCTGGCACCTCTTCAAGACGTTACCACAGGCTACTTCCTAAGCACCTCCTGTTCCTTCACCTGTGGTTCTCATCTTGTTATTGTTATTCCGCAGGGTTTCAGGAGTATTACAACTCCTAAATTGCACACTAATGTTGAGGCTGTATGCGCGAACTCTTTCTGGACCCTTGTTTAGATCTTCTTCTTCCGATAGCCAGGCGTGACCGGAGTGTGCTCCGAGTCTGTTAGTGAGCAGTGCCGGTGCAGGTCGAAGTGTTGGTTAGCTGATCAGTGTCTCTCCTTCGCTGGTCAGGTGTCTGTCAGCTCCGGGGTCAGGATGTATGCAGGATCTCCAGGGACTCGAACTCAGCTCCTGCTCCTGTCAGGAGAGACTTGTTCTTACTGAGCTCGAGTGCTAACGGAGTTTCGACTGCCAGGGAGGCCAGGTTAGGAGTGTCTCAGTGTCTTTACTGGTCCCCCTTGACCCGTACAGAAGCCCACACTTTTTTGTCAATTCGTGTCCAAGTCTTGGCAGAAATGTTGTGCATAAGCAAAGAAATTCAAAGCAAAAATGAGCTTGCTCAAGCCTGGTTTATACATGTATGATATGATGCATAAATCTTTCAGTAAATTTCTCACCTTTTTAAGCAAGAGTTTGTTTTAAAACAAAGCTTTTCAGTGCTCCAGGGAAGCTGCTTCATTTGTATGTGTGTTCTGTGAATTTCAACTTGTTTTTGCTTCAATAGAAGGAATGCTCTGAATGAGGCACATAAAATAGTTAACACAGTTCCAGTTTTGTGCTTTAGAATTTTTTACTAGAAGTCACAGATAGTAAAGATGTGCTTACCAAGAAAATGTTTTTGCGGTTTTTGACTGTCAGGCTGCGTTTCCGTGGCAAATGTGTTGAAGCTGTAGTTGTCTGTAGTGTGGGAATTCTGCTCTCTCTGTTGGAAGGAACAAGGTGAATAACTTTCTTCTTTATGTAATTTGGCTGTAAAACGCTAGATGTAATTAATGGAACTAAAAAACGTTCGGGCTAATAGAATGCTTATGGGCGTAGGAGACTTGGAGACCTGTAAAGACAGATGTAAGCCGTTTTTTTTTTTGGCATGGTTAAGTACATGTTAACTATCCCTATTCAGGAAATGTGAAGTCTGTCTTTGTGCCATTCCAGTGCTAATTTACTACATCTGTACCTGCTGAGTGGTGCAGCAATTCAATTAGGGCTTCTTCCTTTCCTGTCGACCAGCCAGTCCTTTCCCGAGTCGTGGTAATTAGTTCATCTTGCTGCTTGAGGTTGAACTCGCCCGACTATTTGCCGTTTTGAATTGATTTTGCAGGAATTCTCAGAAATGGCGTTTGTTTGTCGCCCATGCTCTGTCACTCTAGTGGTGGAAACAGAGGATGAGACCTAATTTCCTGTAGACATGGTGAAGTTAGTCTTTATTTTGTAACACGTTGAGTGTGTGCTTTTTGGAAAATGGTTTGAAATGCTCTTTTTTTAATCTATTTACCTTTTTTTCTTTGTACGTTATTAAGTTCTCAAATACTCCTGCTTTCCCTGGACGGATAGGCTGTTTAGCACAAGAAGCTTTGTAGAGAAGACCTGAAAATTTTAGTTCTTCTGACTGTTCCCGAGACCCCTGCTGTGTGAAAATGAGCCTGGAGGGGCAGTCAAATACCGTCCGTTTCTTAGCGGTAACTTTCAACTAATTAGCAGAGATTAATGTGATCTCCACCCACCAAGAATTAAGGTTTTCTAGTACTAGCGCTGCAGTCCACTGTTTTCTTTGCCTGACATGCCTTATCATTAAACACCTTTTCTCTTTCTTACCTCGGCTCCTGTCCCTCCCCCTGTGGGAAATACTCGAAAATACGTTATTTACATCTGCTTTTTAAAAGAGAAACTGCCTGGATACCAGACTTGAGAAGATAATCTGATCAGCAAAGATACTGTACACTAAGTTTTCCATTCACTTATTCTTGCCTTGAAGGTTTTTCCTTTCAGAACACGCAACAGCAGTGTCCGTACGGCCCTTTCAATTTGGTGTGCTCAGAAGCGTTCAAACCGTGCTTCAGCCTTGTGTTATAGGGGTGGGTTAAGAGAACAAATCAACTTTCCTCCGCTAAGTAACTCTAAAGTTTTTTTTCTTTCTATTTCTCTTATCAATTGTGCAGTTAAATGAGGGCTTGACACAAGATTCATTTCAGCTCCAGGGAGAGGAGAGCAGAAATGTTCAAGTGAGCGAGGAGGGTTAGGAGGCCATTGAGTGCTGGCGATGAGACAGCCACCTCTTTGCACAGCCCAGGCAGAAATCCCACTGGACTTTATTGCTTTATCACGTCAATACTGAGAGTCTCGGCCGTAAAATCAGGAACTTAAATGAATGGTCTTCAGATCATAAGCCTGAGCTATTGGCAATTTCTGAGATCTAGTTTGGAAAAGTAATTCCAGGTACTGAAATAGATATTAATGATTCCTCTTTGCCTCTCGATGTGAGGAGAATAGAAATCGAACGCAGGGCATCGTGCTAGTGTCAGCGTCTCTCCGGGCTGCAGACAGAATCTTGCTGCAATCTTATCTTGGCTGCCATACAGCATTTTCAGAAAATTTGACTTGTGTGTTCTCAAGGCTCAATTAAAAGCTCAGCATCACTGTGCATTAACTCTGCTTGGAAATGTCGGTGAGATTCAGCATCGCATATAGAGAACACGAGTATCATCCTTTGTATTTGGGCAAATGGTATAAACTATAAATGCGTGGCTGCAAGCCAGGTTTGTCGCGCGCTAATGGCCACCTGTGTGTGTTTCAGGCCATCGAGACTGCCCTGGACTGTCTGAAGAGCGCCAACACTGAGCCATGCTACCGCCGCCAAGCCTGGGAGGTCATCAAGTGCTTCCTGGTGGCCATGACCAGCCTGGAGGACAACAAACACGCCCTGTACCAGTTACTGGCACACCCCAAGTAAGACTGAGGTGCCCACACACATGGCCACCTGTGTAGATGAGAGCAGTGTCATGTTATTTCTTACATCATGCATGAGTGTCGTTGAGGGCTGGATTGGGGTGTCGTTCTTGACTGTGCTGCGATTTGCACTGCAGAATAGGATTCAGAATTCATTTGTAAAGAAAGGAGTTTATGTAGTTTATTTTCAATCTAGAGTTACAAAGGAAAGGCGTACAATTTGATCAATTCAGTGGACCTGGAAATAAACCCCCGTCCGCCTGCACTCCTCCAGCCCTGCAGTGGTGGGAGCTGCACCTGGGTCAGGCTTATTGATGCACGACGTCCAATGGCACAGGCCGCACAGGAAACACACATATCGTGGGCTAAGAGCTTGTGTGCTGTTTTTCATGGCATCTTCTTTTTAGCACAAACAGTAGCAGGATACACGCCTGCAGCCTAGGCGGTGGGCGGCTCTGGGTTCTTCTGACTGGCCTGTATGCGCGTCACAGCAAGGCGAACAGTGTGCTTGTGTGCAGGTGTATTTGGGGTCATTCAAACAGCTGCCAGGAGGGAGCGCTAGGCAAGGCGCTGCTGTGATGCACGCGGTCCTGCAGGAGGACGTGCTTGTTGATAAGTGGCTGCAAAACAGTCTGCAGTCAGGTTGTGAAAAGGCACAGAGTTACATAGAACGTCAAATCTACTTGGGTGATTCGTAATTAGAAATATTTAAAGCTTGTTGGGACTTGTCTATAAGATGTTTAATAAGGGACACTTGTGCTGTGGCTCGTGACTAATTTGGGGCTGACAATCTGGAGCCTCTTTTTGCTCTCTCGTGAGCAAGAGCAAACTGCCTTTATTAGCCAGTTCCCTGCTGTGCCAGTTCTTTCTTTGCCAAGGTGCGAGAGGCTAAATGTGTGAAAAGTGTCTTGTTTAGTCTTTTTTCTATTTGTACTCCAGTCTCCATGACCAGACTCATGCTAGGCAGAATTGATAAGTCCAGTGATGTGTTTTCACAGGGAGAGGAGTGTGTCAACTAATTGATGCAGTGGCAGATAGATGTTTGTGAAGCGAAACCTTTTTTTTAAGGAGATTTGGCAAAAAAGCAGTATTGAGACCAGTATTGAGCTTTTGAAAGTTACAAAGCACAGTAATTGCTTGCCAGATGTTGCCCATGTGGGTTTGCAATGGCCTGCTTTGGTCTGCTTGTGCTTTCTCTGGTGCTGAGGTACTCTGGGACAGGCTGCTGTGAGTGGTGACCAGCAACACCAGAGTTTTCATCTAGGCTTGGAGTTTTTTACGTGGGGAGGGAAAAAAGGTCTCTTGTCTTGGCCATTTTTGTGGACCCTGATCTCTCTCTCCCCCCCTCTCAGACTTGGGGACTTTACTTTGCTCTCCTGTTTCTGTTCCTGGTTTAACCTTCCTGTCTGGGGCACAAAGCAGGGTAATTACTCAGAGCCAGTTATGCTAACTGGAGGGAGGGTCACATTACTATCATTGATCCCTCATTAGGGGCTAATTGACTTTCCCCTGTCTGTTTATCCTGAGAGGCTGGAGTTTGCAGTGGGGTTGAGATAATGCAGCATGTCAGTTATGATTTGGAGAGTGCTTCGCTCTTTGTCAGATTCCTTGATTCATGATGTCCTTTCCCTTTTCGGGTTTGTTAATTCCGAAGGGCTTTCAAGAGGCGGAATGCTTTCTGAATATTGCAAATGCCAGGCTGTAATTGAGTTCCATTCAAGTGACAGCGCAGTGATTCTGAAATTTATCCGACTCTGTATTTCTGAGCTGCTGTCCTTTTCAAGACCGGTAATGAAAGAAAAAGGAGCAATCAGTCACAATTGGTCCCAGGCAGCTTGCATTATGAAACATAAGCAAAAGCATGAATTAAGAATAATATAGCGACCCCACTGCTCAATGATTCACCCACCAACAATGGAAAAAGACAAACATGAAAGATCCATGATGCTTGCGCTTGGCTTGTGTTCAGAGAAGGTTTTAATGTCATCTGCATGTTGGGCGTCTTCTTAATGTAAAACCTGTAATCTGTGTGAGGAATAGAGATCTGTTTGGCATAAAGATCTTCTTCATTTTAATCAGCACTAAACCTGCAGTTCAAGAGTTTTCAAAGTTAATTTTGTATTAATAACCTGCAAAATGTGGAAGTGGATGTTTTTCTTGACCCTCATTTTTTAAATTGAATTAAAAGGTGCAATACACTTCATTTTCTGTGTTTTCAGTGTTTATTTGATATCTCTTTCTTTCATGAAAACGTATTCCTTGCCCTCAAGGTGTAGGTAGTTTTTTTAACAATCAATATTTTCATTATCATAATTGTGATTGTTGTACACTGCTATATTTTTTGTGGAAAAGAATACTGTTGAGATCTCTCGAGAAATGGGTAATAAAAATAAGTATGAACGGTTTGCAAGCATATTGGTAAACTCAAGGACAGAAATTTGAATTAAACATGCACTGTATTAGGGGTCACCATCACCTTTAAACCATGCCTGAGGGTTTGAAGAGGCAGAACTCTCAGCAGGTGATCTGTGAAAAAAACTTCAGACCTTGTTTTTTTTTTTAGAGTTTTAACTGAAGAAATTGATTTGACCGTAGGCAAGTTCAAAAATGAAACGTGATGAACAAAAGTATAAAAGCTGAGCAGCATGTAACGGAGAGATGTCTCCAGTAAAAGGCTGGAGCATCCAGTTCTTTGATTTGAAATGTTGATTTTTAAAGAAAGTCTGTGTCTTTTATAGTGCGACACATCACCATGTCATTGGATGCGGGTGAAGACTTTTGCTCCTAAGCAGTGGACTGGAGCCTTTATCTTGTGCGTGGTGTGTTAAATTGTACGTGAACTCCAGCTGAGGCGGCGCAGCAGAAGTCGCGTGTTCTGTGTTCTGTTCCCCATGCTGCTTGTAACTCCCCCGGTTTCTGCTTTGCCAGCTTCACGGAGAAGTGGATCCCCAACGTGATCATCTCTCACCGCTACAAAGCACAGGACACGCCCGCGCGCCGCACTTTCGAGCAGGCGCTCACCGGGGCCTTCATGTCGGCTGTGATCAAGGACCTGCGGCCCAGCGCCCTGCCCTTCGTGGCCAGTCTCATCCGGCACTACACCATGGTGGCTGTGGCTCAGCAGTGCGGTGAGTCTTTCAGTTTGGTGGCTGTTCGTCTCTCCTTATCGAACTTGTTTACTTTTCTCTCTTGGTGTCTGTCTTCCTCGCTCTGTGGTTCTTACCTGCTTCTTTCTGAGTTTTTTTTCTTCTTTTTCCAGGTTTGTCTTGGGTGCTTGTAGGGCACTATATAAAATTACCCTCTTCTTGGGTGGGGCTGAATTCCTAAAGTATTGCAGTGCTGCGATTAATGTTGCCAGATTCTAGTCCGTCACTCCACGTTGCTGGGGAATGGAATGCAGCACAAAGCAAAATCTCACTCTTTTGGTTCTTGTTCCTGTCTGGATGTTAAAACATTGTTCAGAATTGTTGTTAAGCAAGGACCAGTGACTTATTCACAGAGCTGGAAGGAGTGCACTCGCTTAATTCCCGAAGCAGGAAAAGGTATTTGTGCTGTGGGCATTCATACCTCTTAGTAGATGGATTAGGTGGGCGCAGTCTCTAGCACAGGCAGCTAAGGATGAAGTCTTGCCCAAGGTTCAAGCTTCTTGTTTTCCCCTCTGTGACTGGCAGGGCCCTTCCTGCTGCAGTGCTACCAGATGGGCAGCCAGCCCAGCACCGCCATGTTCCACAGCGAGGAGAACGGCTCCAAGGGAATGGATCCGCTGGTGCTGATCGATGCCATTGCCATCTGCATGGCCTACGAGGAGAAGGAGCTGTGCAAGATTGGCGAGGTGGCCCTGGCTGTGATCTTTGACGTGGCCAGCATTATCCTGGGGTCCAAGGAGAGGGTGAGGATCTGTGCTGGGCTGCAGTTAGCCTCCCGCAGGGCTCACTGTTGATATTCATGCCTGTGGTAGGCTTACCCAGTGTGAAGAAAACAGGCAGTAAACCTGTCGTGTACCTCTCTGCTTGCACTACAATAGCTTTCTGTAGTAAACTTATTTAAAAACTATATCGAACTGTGCTGGGACATCTTGCATCCTTACAAACGATAGAGTGTACTAAAACTGTTCTTTTCGACATGCATTAATGGTAAGCATCAGTAAGAATTCTTTCTTCGTTTCAAAATCCTAATTGGTTGAAAACCGAGTATGAACGCTTCTAGCTGTGCTGTCTATGTTGCCGGATTCAGAGAGGAGGGATGGTTGATATAATTTGTTTTATTTCTGGTCCCCCCCAGGCCTGCCAGCTGCCCCTGTTCTCCTACATCGTGGAGCGGCTGTGTGCCTGCTGCTACGAGCAGGCCTGGTACGCCAAGCTGGGCGGCGTGGTGTCCATCAAGTTCCTCATGGAGCGCCTGCCCCTCATCTGGGTTCTGCAGAACCAGCTGACCTTCCTGAAGGCTCTGCTGTTTGTCATGATGGACCTCACGGGTGAGGTAGGGAGCCCATGCTGTCACATGTTGCTACCGTTGTGCTTCCTGCTTAATACTCCTCTTCAAGGGAACTGCTGCAGTAGTAGTTTCTATAACTGGAATTACAGTTGACTCCATAACTTATCGGTGCAGTCCCTTCCAGCTCTCCTCTCATTTTACCTTCTTCCCACTGGCCAGGTGTCGAATGGCGCTGTAGCTATGGCTAAAACCACTCTGGAGCAGCTGCTGGTCCGCTGTGCCACACCCCTGAAGGACGAGGAGAAATCCGAGGAGCTCCTGGCCGCGCAGGAGAAGTCCTTCCACATGGTGACACACGACCTGGTGCGCGAGGTCACGTCCCCCAACTCCACCGTGCGCAAGCAGGCCATGCACTCGCTGCAGGTCCTGGCACAGGTCACCGGCAAGAGCATCACCATCATCATGGAGCCTCACAAGGAGGTAGGCAACTCGAAACGCACCCAGTCCAGCCATGTCCTTTCCCTCTATCCGGTGCGTGGCACAGAACCCGAGATCCATTGTTCTCCTGTGTCTAGGTGCTGCAAGACATGGTTCCCCCCAAGAAACACCTGCTGCGCCACCAGCCGGCCAACGCGCAGATCGGCCTGATGGAGGGGAACACTTTCTGCACCACGCTTCAGCCACGCCTCTTCACCATGGACCTCAACGTCATGGAGCACAAGGTCTTCTACACAGAGGTGAGCCATTGTTCCGCACGGCCTGGAGGGCAGGGAAGGGAAGCCTTTCCCCACAGAGGGGAGGTTCTTTCTGCGTCTCAGCCCCTTTCTTTCGGAGGCTTACGGCCGTGTGACGGTTCTACTGCTCGGCGGGCCTACGCAGACGTCTTTCCCCTGCCCGCCCGTCCCCCGACCTGGCTGCCTGGGCTGATCGGAGCTCTGCAGCGGAAGTCCCGTGTGCACGTCTTGAAACCCGAAAGGGGGTGCGTGGGGGGCAGGGAGGGCTGCGAAGCTTTCCTGAGGAGGCCCTGTGTTCTTGCAGCTGCTGAACCTGTGCGAGGCGGAAGACGCTGCCCTGATGAAGCTGCCCTGCTACAAGAGCCTGCCGTCCCTGGTGCCGCTGCGCATTGCCGCCCTCAGTGAGTCCCTGCTGCGCACAGCCTCCCCTGCCTCTTTAAAGCGCTCGTTTCAACAGGAGCTGGTTTTCAAGCATTTATTTGCCTTTTTTGAAACTTTTTGTTTGGGCTGTGACCATGCTCGAATCTCAGTCAGCTGAGCAGTCCTCAGTCATTCCTCTGCAGTTCCCTGGTCATTATCTGCACGTGACAGGTGTATGTTACATGTATAGAATTTACACAGTTACGGAAGAGGTTGTTATACCCGGGAGCATGCCCATTTACATAGAAGCAGGACATTGCAAATGTGTACTTCCCCACTGCCTGCACGTGCACATGAGTAATAGTCTAGGCGTGATTGCAGACCTCTGATACCCTGCCTTACTGGGGCGTGAAAGGATCTCATTATTTTGTCTTCTCCAGATGCTCTTGCTGCCTGCAATTATCTGCCTCAGTCCAGGGAGAAAATCATTGCGGCTCTCTTCAAAGCTCTCAACTCCACCAATAATGAGCTGCAGGAAGCTGGAGAGGCCTGCATGCGGAAGGTTAGTATTCCCTGGAGCCTGGTGTCCCGATCGCGTCCGCCATCCCCAAGAACGCGCCCCGCCTCGGCGGCTGTTCGCTGCCGCAGAAAATCAATGCAGGACAGAGCGCTCTGCAAATGCACTTAGAGTAAAATGAATGTGGTTGTAATACATCATTCCCCCGGAGTAAAACACATGTGGCTGTTATTGAATCGTGTTTTTTTAATGAACATATACTCTAGCTTTACTTTTTCAGGGAATAGATTGTGCACAGGAGGCTCACTCAACAAATAATAAAAAAAGACCTTTATAATTGTAGTTTAAAAAATGCACATTGAAAACGTGTAGCTCTCTGTGCATGTATGACATTAGAAGTATGGGTATTGATTAATTGAACATTCACGATTGACCTGATGTGTTATCACTTTATACCTCATTGTCTTGTGATGTGACATTAATGCTAATGACAGTTTGCAACACTGGAGCTCTACTGGACATTTGTGGAAAACACATGATTGATGTGTTGCATCTGGAGCTCAGAGACCAGTGGTGACAAGTGTATTCTTGTCTGGGCTCTTTGAGAGGGAATGTGTGTGAGTCGCAGACATACGGCCAGTATGGTTTCTGACAGTGACCAATGACCAGAGCCAGTGACACTCACAGCAGACATCCTGTTGATGAAAAACTATTTCGCCATTGTCTTGCATTCATTTCTTGCCTTTGTGTTTCAGTTCCTGGAAGGAGCCACCATTGAGGTGGACCAGATCCACACTCACATGCGCCCCCTGCTGATGATGCTGGGGGATTACCGCAGCCTGACGCTCAACGTCGTCAACCGGCTCACCTCCGTTACCCGCCTCTTTCCCAACTCCTTCAACGACAAGTTCTGTGATCAGATGATGGTGAGTGGTGCCCAGCAGTCAATGTCATTTCCTCCCATGTGTCTTTCGTAGGTTAATCTGGCATAGATGCTCTTGGGGTGTTATATGGGATGCATCCGAAACTAATCCTTTGCACAGCTTTGTTTAACTGACTTGGTTATTCAGTTGAATTTAAAGCGTAACTTGTTCTAATCCCTGAGATGCCTAGATGTGGGAAAGTGAACTTGGGTTTATGTCTTAAGACATTCACCTGCGACCCATTGGTAGCCTGAGGTAGTTTCGCTGCCGGTGTGTGTCCAGGTATGTGTTATGTGCAGAACTGAGATAAAGTTTTCCTGTTAGATCCCCTTAAACCCGTCTCCTGTCGTCGTTCTCGTTCTCTGCACAGCAACACCTGCGGAAGTGGATGGAGGTGGTGGTGATCAGTCACAAGGGAGGCCAGCGCAGCGATGGCAGTGTAAGTGCCCGCGTGCTCTGCGTTTCACATGGCTGCTCCCAACAGGCCAGTGCCCAGCTCTGGGGCTAGCTTAACAGAAACAAGTTGTCTAGGAAGCTCAGAGGGCTGCCATAGTGGAAGAAGCACTGAATTCCTCCCTAAAGTGCAGATTACCTCTCTGCTGAAACTGCTCTCAAGTGTGCATCCCAATTTATTTGGCCTTGGTCCAGCACTGCCGGGGAACCTTGGCGTAGGTGCAGTTGCTATCTCTCTTCACTTCTGTGGCAGTGGGCATCTGTGGCTTTGGCCCCCTATGGGCTCTGAAGGACACCTTTGGCATTGTGTCTCGCACATCCACAGCTCTTCGTGTAAAAAAGCGCCTCCTATATTTTAGCCCAAAATGCAGTTCCTGCTTATTTCCACTTGTGTCCAGTCTGCTGTGCAAGGAAGGTGCTGCCTGGCAGGGTGACTGCAGGTTGTAAATGTTAAGTGTGAGCTATGGTTTTGCAGTTTGATTGAATGTAGGTGGCAGATCCCAAAGGGTGTCGGGTTTGTTATCTGCCAGACGGAAAGACGTGAAGGAAAGAAGGAACATCTCCTTTACTCGATATAGATAGACGAGACTTTATTGATCCCGAAGGGAAATTGATGTGTTACAGCAGTCCAGCCCAAGACAAGCAAATAACAGACATCAGAATAGATAAGTTAAATTAGGTACAGTAGTACAAAATAAATATAAAATAAATACATAGGTGTGTGCAAGATATGATCATAGTCACTGTAAAGACAATAAAATATGGGCAAGGTGTGCATAGGTATATACAGATTAAGTGTCCAAAAAAGAAAAGTACAATGGTGCTACATGCTGTCCATAGAGGAGCAGATGAAGGGCTAGCAGTCCTAGCCTAGGGCAGCGTTATACACTCTGACTGCTGCCGGGAGGACAGACCTGCGGAAACGTTCCCTTGAACACCGTAGCTGCAGCAGTCTGTTGCTAAAAGATATGCGTCATTCCTCCCTTCCCCCCCAAAAAAGACTAATCCTAATTAAATGCAAATAACCTCTCCAATCCTTTGCCTTTAAACTTCCCCACTTTCCTTTCTGCCAACATCTTTGACTGCAAATTAAAATGGAGGTGCTGCTTGTGTAGTGTGGGTGCACAGGTTTCAAACCACCTCAGACTTGTGAAGTGAGGACTTTGTTGCCCTGAGCGGAGCAAGAATGAGATTTGCTGAACAGCGTGAGGCCGCATCTGGGCTGAAGGGTTTGTGGAAGTACGTGACAGCAGCTCTGAGATTTGTCTTTCTGCTGCTGGTAAATGATAAAGAAACTGTTTGTTGTTTTTTTTAAGAAAGGAAGCAGTAGGAAATTGCGGGTGAATCAGACAAGCAGCCCTTGAATCATTAAAGTGTAGTCAAATTCCAGAAAAAAAAGTTAATATTCTGGTGCCCAGCGGTTTAAGAAATGATAACGTGGGTTCTGTTCAGTCCCCTTCTAGCGTGATCTAGGCCTGGTTCCACAGGCACCCGATTGATTCAGTAGCACATGACTCTGCCACAGGAATGTGAGTTGGCCTCTTATTATGAGAAGATCTGGTGAATAGAAGCAACCCTGTCTTAGAGGGTTATTGTCCTGTCCAGTTAGGGGATGATACCGAGTATAGACTATTGCAGGCCACCGTCCGTCCAGCAGGTGTTATGTGCCATCCTTAAATTCACCCATTATTTCAGTTTTGTTCAGACCACTGAGCCACGAGCCCTGTGCTTTTAAGATGCTTAGTGACTACGTGAACTTAAACCACCCGTCAAAAGCTGCCAGAAACCACAGCTGGCCATTCACGACTTAATTTAGCCAGTTAAATTATTCTAGATTAATCATGGCATGCGTGTTGCAGTGCTCCGATGATTTTGGAGCGGCCTGCGAGGCCTGCTGCAGTGCCGCGGGTCTCCAGGACCAGGGCTGTTGTGAGACAGTGTGGACCTTGGTGTCCTCTTGTCTGCGTGTACTGGGGGGGCAGCAAGGGGAGTAAACACCTGCTGTGCAGGAAAGGACAGGAGGCCCAGAGAGCCTCTTGTGCGGCAGGGCGGCCTTCTCCAGTCTTTCCTGTGCCCACCTCCATGCACTCTCCCCGGGCAGTGCGCAGAGTTGCCCTTGGATTTATTTTTCCCTCTTGTTGTTTCCCCCTCCGGTTCAGCCTGCCTCGGAGGGTGTCGAGGTGAGAATGTCGGTCCAGCGCCGCCTCCCCCTTCCTGTTGTGCAGTTTGTTAGTGGTTTCTCCTTGTGGCGTTGTTTTGTTGTTTTTGTTTATGTGTTTTCTGGTGCTGGTGTTGCTGCCGGTGTGCCCTCTATTTTCCGTTGCGTGTCTGTGTGTATTGCTATCGAGCTGTGATGTGGAGTCGTTCTGGGGTGCGGTGATGTTTCTCCGTATCGAGCTGCCATTTTCGTGCGAGACATTCAGGAGAGAGGCGAACTGCTGATCTCCGGGAAGTTGTCTGGGCAAGGCAATGTTGAAGGCAACATTCAGTGTATCTCAGAAAGTGAGAAAAATGTAATGTGACTGAAATTACTGTCTTTGGAGTACTGCTAGTTTTTTGTGAATAATTTAGGTGTTTTTCCCCACTGCTACCCAACCTCTCTCTTTCTCTGAATTTTTCATGCAGAGAATTAAAATTTAATAAATGATTGAAATGTTGTAGGGAACAGCGCACAGTGACCCGGTTGAGTCGAGTTTTGCCAATAGCTGTCCTGTGTGATGATAATGCTGAGGGTCTCAGTGGAATTGGTTAGGGTTTCGGCATTCAGATCAGTGATGTATCTTAATCTCGCAAAACTGCACCAGTTGTTTCAGTTTGTCGCTTAAAAAAGGTATTTGAGTTTTGTCCTTTCAGTTCTGATCTAGATGGTATAGCTGGAGACCTTTGTGGCAGTTTGCAATGTCCCTCGTTTGTTTACATGCAATTAAGCCACTGTAAGTGCTTGATTTATTTGTAAGACATCAAACTAAACTCTCAACAGCCCTTTGATGCCTGCAGTATCAGCTCCTGTTGTTCTCCCTCTGGGGGAGTTCCTATGCCTGTAGCTGGACAGTAAGAGAAGCAGAACATGTATGAGATTCCATTATTTATAATTAGGTTTAAGGTGTTCAAGTGGTTAATCTCTCTTAACAGCCTCCACTGAGAGAGGAGATTTACGTCTCTTAAGTGCCTGGCTGGACCACAGCCTCTCTCTGCACTGGTTAGGCTGCCTTGAAGGACAGTGTGTCTGTATTGTGAGAATCGGCTCCTGTGGTCCTTAGGAGAGCCAAGCAGAACTCGGGACGGGTTTTAAGTGCGTGTGGGAGCTTGCAGGGAACCGTGGCTGGTGTCAGGTGAAAACAGCGTGAAAATAAGTTGTTTTCCCCACCGCCTGTACATTTGCCCCGTGTGTCAGAATGCTTCCTTCTGTAGTGTGTGACAGGGGGTGGTGGATAAACCCTGTTCCATAAATGACACTTGTTGAAATGAGGGAGGGCACTTCCTGTGTGAGCTGGACTGTTCCCTTCGGAACCCGGCAGACTTGACAGCTGGCAGGACTTGGGCTCAGTGCTGGTGGCGGCCCCTGCCGTCGGCTGAGGTTAGGAGTTTCCTGGGAGAGCTGGCCGTATGTGTGTGGTGAAGGGGGCTGACGTGTGATGTGTCTGACGTGACCCCACCTTGCCTTGCTCCTTTCACAGGAGATGAAGATCTGCTCAGCCATCATTAACCTCTTCCACCTGATCCCCGCGGCGCCCCAGACCCTGGTGAAACCCCTGCTGGAGGTGGTGATGAAGACGGAGCGCGCCATGCTGATTGAGGTAACCTCCAGCCGCTGGTCTGTGAAACCGCTCCTTTCTCTTCTCAGAAGCCACAGTTAATTGTAGCTGGTGTCTTCATAACACTGACGCGAACAGCCTGATCATGTTTTTTAATCAGAGCCTCCCACTCTTGATTTGTGCATCTTACATCTGCAGATCCTTCATTAAAGAGATTTCAGTCTCCGGTGGCTTTTATCTTATGTTTTTCGAAGGCAGGGTACGTTTTTAATGTTGCCGAGGCATATCAAGGGCTAAGCTGCAGGGGTTCAAAACCAAGCTGTTTTAGCTAAAAATCCGGCTTCTTTCACAAGCTTTTTTTTTTTCCTACTGTACTGTGTTCTCCTTTTACATCGTCAGCTAATATCATCATGCCTCTAGAAAACAAAAATGCAGACTAGTATCAAAAAAAGTTTTAAATGCACACACTCGCTGGCCAAATCCCTCCCCCAAGAGCTGCCCAATCCAATTCCCATTGCTCAATCCCCTTGAGCCAAGGCTGTGACAAGGTCCAGTGTGGTACCACCGGTTCTGCCCGGCTTTCTCTAGGATTGAGATCCAGGCTTTGTTCTTGCCAGTGAGGAAGTTAGTTCCCTGTTCCTCCAGCGGACAGCACTGATCACAGTGCTGGTTCATACGACTGGGGGCTCTTGAGAATTTGCTCGGAAAGTGCTTTCCATTTGTTTCACAGATGAGAATTTGTCCCTTGCGTCTTGATCTGGCCTGAGACAGGGTAAATGATTTGTCCTTGTGTCATTGTGTTATTTGAGATGCCACTTTTAAAGGTTCTATAAGTTTATTATTATTTTTATGATGATGAGGATTTGGTGCGACCCACTTTCTGAAATAACTTAAGTCTAAGTTATTAGTTATTGACATAGTGCGTTAGTCATAACTAACAAGATGTCACACGTGCCGGATAAGTTTAATTCCATTTATTTCAAGCTCCAAAATAAAACTATACAAACAGGATGGGTGGAGACACAAGAGAGAGAAAAAAATACACTATCTCCCACTTTAACAGAAACCAACAGCAGAAAACAAAGATTTCTAATCCCGTTCACTGTACATACTAAAACCAGGAGACAAAATTACACAGAAAAGGTCTTACCCTATCGGAACCGGGGCTTTAATATTTAGAACAAATAGTCAGTTGAAAACAGCAAAGCCTTTCTGCTTACAACTTACAGAAAACATTTCAGAACCGGTTAAAGCATAACAATCGGTACTGTGTGGGTCAAGTCGGCTCGGGTCTCTCGGGATTTCTTTTAAATTGGGCTCATCCAGTCAACAAAAGACACGGGGTATCAGCCCATCCATCCAGTCCCCTCCGAATCGTCAGCAGCCTAGACTGACGCCGCAGAAGCAAGGAAGACAAAGAAAATCAACACGCCCACCACCTTGGCAAAGAGAAACAGCGCCCCCCGGCGTCACGTTGTGGTTTTTGTGTTGTCAGGCCGGCAGCCCGTTCAGGGAGCCGCTCATCAAGTTCCTGACCCGCCACCCGTCTCAGACGGTGGAGCTGTTCATGATGGAGGCCACCCTCAACGACCCGCAGTGGAGCCGCATGTTCATGGTGAGAGCTGGGCCGCCTTCGCTCTCGATCGTGGTCCCGCAACTCGTGAGCTGCAGCCAGTCCCTAATCCCGCGCTTGCGTGTGCGTCCCTCCCAGAGCTTCCTGAAGCACAAAGACGCCAAGCCCCTGCGGGACGTCCTGGCCGCCAACCCGAATCGGTTCGTGCCCCTGCTGCTCCCAGCCGGCACCCCGGCGGCGGTGCGCCCCGGCTCTCCCTCCACCAACACGGCGCGGCTCGATCTGCAGTTCCAGGCCATAAAGGTGACAACGCTGACGACCAGATGCATCCTATTGTTCTTTTTCTTCTCTTCAAGCATGCAAAGTTATAAACTTGTAGGGCTTAATTTAAAAAAAATCTCTCAGAATGGCAGATATGATTCAGAAGGAACAAGTAGGGGTGGACTCCACGCTGGAAAACAGAAAGAATAAATGCATTGCCACTATTGAGCCTTCTTCACCTGACATACTTCCTGCTCTCCAGCGTGGAATGATCATTAGCTTGTTGCTCTGCAGCCAGCACATGCTGACACAGGTCCCTGCTTGAACCTCTTCTGTAGATGATTCCTTGGAGCTTTTTCTTCCTTTTTTTTTTACCATTTTCCTCAATGTTCAGGAGTGCTGCATTGCTATGTAATGTGGCCCAGAGGCTTCAGATGTGGAGTTTAGTCAGCTGAAAATTCAGGTTGTAGAACATGCTTTTCTTATAGCATCATCTTCAGTGTAGTAAAACAAACAGAGGTGGTAGGTTTTGTGTCCCAGTCCTGTATTAGCGCTCGGCAGGGCTGGTGTTTGTGTTGCTGGCCTAGTTTCCTGCGCTGAGGCGTGTCTGCACCCCTGCCCTCAGATCATCAGCATCATTGTGAAGAACGACGAGGGCTGGCTGGCCGGCCAGCACTCCCTGGTCAGCCAGCTGCGGCGTGTCTGGGTCAGCGAGGCCTTCCAGGAGCGACACCGCAAAGACAGCATGGCCGCCACCAACTGGAAGGAGCCCAAGCTGCTGGCCTACTGTCTCCTCAGCTATTGCAAGTAGGCGCCCATCTTACACGCTCATTGTACTACCAGAGCGCAAAGCCTGGCAATAAAACAGTGCTGGAGACCTCTGAAGCACGAGAATGGTTACAAACCACCCAGAGCGGCCAGCAATGAGCAGATCAGTTTGGAAATACCTGCATGTCCAAGAGTGTGCAGAGGAGGTCAGCTGTTAATTAGAAATTCGTTGGAACAATTACAAATGAGAAGAGGCCATTTTAGGCCATCCAGCCCGTTTGGTATGTAGTTAGTAGACCTGATCTTCTCCAGCTGTTTCTTGAAAGATGTCAGGGTATTGACTTTGGGCTAAGCGGTACCTCCTGTTTTTGGTTTTAAATGCACTTCTGTGTAGTTTCTGCTTGTGCCTCTGGTTTGTGTTTCCCTGTTAACTCTGAAGAAATGCGCTGGGTGGACTTTGTCAGACTTTATCAGGATTTTGTTTACTAGTATGAGGTGCCCCCCCAACCTGTGATATCCCTGTCCAAGACTAAAAAGGTTCAGTTCCTTCAGCTTGTCAGTGTGGGACAATCAGAGCAAGGTGGTTTCCAGCAGGGTGGGAAGTGGTCAGTTCCAGCCTTGTCCAGGGATGCTGGTAGCTGTATATTGATGGCTATGGGTTTTTGGGTAAGCTTACTGCCAGATTACACTGATAAAACCAAATGCAATTCTCTGTTATTGCAAGAGAGTAGATGTTGGCTGTCATTGTATTTGTATTTTGTCTTAAATGATAATGATCTATTCTCTGTCCGATTCCTCCAATTCAGTTTTTTTTTTTACTCTGGTCCTCTTCCAGGCGTAACTACTCTGAGATTGAGCTGCTGTTCCAGCTGCTGCGGGCTTTCACGGGTCGCTTCCTGTGCAACATGACCTTCCTGAAGGAGTACATGGAGGAGGAGATCCCCAAGAACTACAGCATCACCCACAAGAGGGCGCTGTTCTTCCGCTTCGTCGAGTTCAACGACCCCCACTTCAGCGACGAACTCAAAGCCAAGGTGAGAGTCTTGGCTTTGGAAACAGGCGCCTTAAACGCATACCTTTCAGTTTAAATGAAAGAATAGCGGTTAAGCCAGGGTCCCAAGGGTGAAAATGGATCCCCTGAAATATCTTAAGCACTGTGCAAAGAAGTTGAGGAGCAAGTCTCTTTTGTGAGCACTAGAAAGAAACTTCATGTGTCAGTAGGGATGCCCACGTGTTTTGAACTTTTTCTTCCCTGTGAAAGAAATCTGAATTTGAACTTTTTCACCATTGATGACAAACAGCAATGAAATGAGCTATGTGGCTGGCAGGAGGCCTGTTTTATTTCGCTAATTAATAAGGGACACTGCTTGTTTTGTGATCTTTCTGTGCCATTTGCCTTTCCGGTGACAGACACTGATTCCTGCCTGCACGGGGCCTTATTGAATATGTATAGCTCTTTTGAAAGGCCTAGGCTGACACACTCTGCTGGGCTCTCAACGGCAGCACTCCACATGATTGTGCAAAATGAAGCATTTAAGAAGACTTATAAATATTTATTTGTGGACGAGGGTGACAGCGATCTTTAATTGAGCCAGCATCTTGTAGCCATCTGCTGTGAAGAGCAGGCAGCCCGGCTCCTGATTGTTTATGGCTTTATTTATTTTCCTCTCATATCCAGGAGTAAGCTGGGAATAGGTGCAGGATTATCTGTTCGAAATGCTGTTTACGTGGAGCACATGCGAAGTATATGGATGTGTAAAAAAACGTAATGCAAAGACGTACAGAAAAACATATAGCGCCGTCATACATGCGTTTGGAATGCACATCGAGCTCCCATTTGAAATGAGGGAAGGCAGGCTTGCACCTTCTGTCAAGAGGGCAGCCTTTTTTAAATCTTTTTTTATTTAACCAGATAACCTCTGTAAGCCTTTAGTAAACCTCAGCATTCTGCTGGAGCAGCTTGAGTGAGGGACATTGTTCAAAGGTTCAGCCCCCTCCCCTCTGGTCCAGAGTCAAGAACTCTGACCACTGCTCTACCCTGCTGCCCTGAGCCTGCCTGCCTTGTGTGACACTGCAGGTCCCTCAGTCTCTGCGTGGGTGTGAGCACTGAATGGATGGGGGCTACAAGCTTGCAGGGTCTCTGTTGTTACATGACAAGCCAACAGGCCAAGTGTACTGTATCCAGTACAAAATTAAGGTCTGGCCAACTTCGCCATGTGTGGCTTTTTGTACACCAACGTTCTGGGAAAAACGGTTGACCTATGAAATAGCCCTGTTTTAATAACGTGATCACTGGACTGTGCAGGTCTCAGCCAGTGCTCAGAATTAGCACCCATAACAGTCGGACCTTTTGAGGTTTTACATTTTTTAACCTCCACAGCTGATCCAAGTTATGGATTCCTTTGGGCATTAGTTCAGTGATGGTCTGACTGACGTTTGAGATCCCCAGTTACCTTTCCAGTGACCTTAGCAGCGTTTTCAGTAGCAATCAAACGTTCCTTGCTCAAGTGTTACTGAACCCTGGGTATCCTTTCCTTTTAAATCTCTGTCACGTATATATATATTCACGCTGAATTTTTTTAATTCGATTTGTTTTCTCTGGCACAGAGCTGATGCCAGTGTTACTCCTGCTGACATTTAAATAATTGACTCAACAAATGTTAATGAAAATGCCACGCTCGGAGAAGGTGGGGAGAGGGAGCTTGAGCCGCAGCCAGGGGTGTGCGGTTTTGATTGTGCTGCACAGCTCAGTAATACATTATCAACAGCATGGTGGCCAGATTGCCTTGTCTTTCTGAAATAAACCCGAGGCTTTTCCCGGGAATGTTAAAGGGTGTTCGGGCTGATTTTTTGTGTCTCTTCCCAGATTTCATAGGTGGGTGTAAGAGCAGCCCGGAGCAACTCTCCTTCAACAGGGGCAATCAGCACAGCTCAGGGTGCTGTTAGTAATACTGACACTGTTTCTGTGCCTGTCCTGCTCATCCTCATAACCACTGGACTTACAGAACCGAACTCTTAGTAAATCTTTAAAGATAAGATCACTTTATTGGCCATGTACAATTTCTTGTATTAGGAATTTGTCTTTTTGCTTACCCCAGCTTGCTCTCCATGAGACACGCAGATAGGGAGAGAAGCTGGGGGTCAGAGCGCAGAGTTGGCCATTTATTCGGTGCCCCTGGAACAGTTGGGGTTCAGGGCCTTTCTCAGGGGCCCAACGGAGTAGGTTTCCACTGCTGGCCGCGGGATACAATCTGGCAATCTTCCAGCCACAGACGTACGTCCTCGGCCACAGTGCCACTGATCCGCCCATAAAAGTATTACCTGACCCCGACGTGACCTGAACACGCAACCTTCTGATCTGAAGTCCGACGCGATACTGTTGTGCCACAAGGTCACAGGTTTTACGAGACTGAAACAAGACGTGGAAGAGCCACATCATGCCTGTAGGGTTACACATGTGCCAGTGAACGGATTAGTGAAAGTAAAGTCGCTAAGCCCAGAGTGCCGATTTGCCATTCGTTCGCTGGCTACATGACGTCTGTTCCCCGCAGGTGCTGCAGCACATCCTGAACCCAGCCTTCCTGTACAGTTTTGAGAAGGGGGAGGGAGAGCAGCTCCTGGGACCCCCCAACCCTGAGGGGGACAACCCGGAGAGCATCACCAGCGTCTTCATCACCAAGGTGCTGGCCGTACACCCCTCGCCGCCCCCACTGCACACCTCGCTGCAGGGTTGGGAACTTCAGCTAACTGAGCGACAAAGGATTTGTGAAAATATTTTCAGTTCTCACCACCCAACCCCCCCCCAGCGACAGATGACCATCATCAAATTGCCTTTAATTGATATTCCACATAGTTTCCCAGCCTCACCTGGCTTCCAGGATTTAATCAGGGTGATGGATTGTAGTGCTGGATGAATTATGATTCGCAGTGTGTAATTTTACATTTACTACAGTGTCTCTGCCAAAAGAGTAGGTCATAATAACGATTTGCTGATGGAGTGCCTCTGTCCTCTTCGCAGTCACTTTCTTAGCCCATCACCCGATTGAATTACACTGGTAGGCTGCTTGTTTCTCTGTATGCCATGCGAGGGAGTGGACAGTAGCCTGTGACCCCTGCCCTCGCCCTCAGGTCCTGGACCCCGAGAAGCAGGCGGACCTGCTGGACTCCCTGCGGATCTACCTGCTGCAGTTCGCCACCCTGCTGGTCGAGCACGCGCCGCACCACATCCACGACAACAACAAGAGCCGCAACAGCAAGCTGCGCCGCCTCATGACCTTCGCCTGGCCCTGCCTGCTGTCCAAGGCCTGTGTGGACCCCGCCTGCAAGTACAGCGGCCACCTCCTGCTGGCGCACATCATCGCCAAGTTCGCCATCCACAAGAAGATCGTCCTGCAGGTCAGCAGGGTCACTCCCAGTGCAGAAGGCTGGTGTAGGTGCCAGCCTAGCCTGCCCATGGGCATTCCCCTGGCTACCCCCAGCTGGTAGCCTTTTCTACAAGCCCACTAAGCATTCAGCACTGAAAGGGCATTCAGTGCGTGAAACTGGTTTTAGGACATGGCGGAAGGGGATGATGGCTGGAAAGCCATTTAATCAGAGAGGGGTGTTATTGTGTCATGTTTTCAGGACAGAGCTGGATTTATTGGTGCATCGTGTTACAGTCTGGCTTCTTTAGTGTCAGTGGTCAAGCCCTTATAAAGAGTTCATACTCATATGACAGATTGGAGCAGAGAGATTTAATGTAGCACTGAAGTTCTGATAGAGCCATGATATATAGTGAATGCATGGCGCAAGCAGGCTAAAGCCATTGTTTACTGTTTAAAATACATGGTGAAGCTGCAGCGCTCACAGAGGCCAGTGCCATGCTGAGATGCCCTCCCTCACCTGCTCTCCCCAGGTGTTTCACAGCCTGCTGAAGGCCCACACCATGGAGGCCCGGGCCATCGTGCGCCAGGCCATGGCCATCCTGACCCCTGCAGTGCCCGCACGCATGGAAGACGGCCACCAGATGCTGACGCACTGGACCCGCAAGATCATCGTGGAGGAGGGGCACACTGTGCCGCAGCTGGTGCACATCCTGCACCTCATCGTGCAGCACTTCAGAGTGAGTCCACGCGCTGCCCGCTCTGTAATCGCCAGCATCCTGGAGCTCAATGCCTTTATGTGCTCTCGCCCTGTGGCCATCTTTAGTGATTTGGTGTTTTTGTGTCCTAAAACACATGTTCGGGAACTGTAAAAGCATTCGCATACTTGAGTTCTGAATTAAGTCACAAATGAAAGAACAGTTGGGCTTCCTGGTTTCTGATGGCACTCAGTGAGCCATCTCTTCAGCACCCCTGACCCTCAGCAGGACTGAGCAAAAGTATTATTGCGAGATGCACGGTGTTGGTAGATTCTCTGTTCACCTAAAGCATTTTGTGCCTTTGCGTGCAGGTGTACTATCCCGTCAGGCACCACCTGGTCCAGCACATGATCAGCGCCATGCAGAGGCTGGGCTTCACCCCCAGTGTGACCATTGAGCAGAGGAAGCTGGCCGTGGACCTGGCTGAGGTCATCATCAAGTGGGAGCTCCAGAGGATCAAGGACCAGCAGGTGAGAGGTGACCGAATGGCGCCGCCTGTGCTCCAGGCTCGGTGGTTCTCTCTCTTGCTCCATGCTTGTGCTTGTGGGTGACGGCTCTCGTCTTCCTCCCTGCAGCCGGAGGCGGACGGCGACGCAGGCGGCAGTGGCGAGAGCAGTGCGTCGGGGGCGGTGAAGCGTGGGCTGTCCATGGATTCCGGGCAGGATGTGAAGCGGTTCCGCACGGCGACGGGAGCGGTTGGCACGGTGAGTGGGGTGCTCCGAGCTTGGGGCGTTCTCTCTGCTCTCCGGGACTGAACCTCCTCTGCCACAGCCCATTTTTGTGGACACCGTTTCGGCACCTTTCAAACTTAGTGTCGCGCCCCCCTCTCTCTATTGCCTATCAGTTCACCTTTTTTCACATGTGTTGAAAGTAAATTGGATGTGAAGAAGGAACATTTTACTCTCCAGCTGAAATCATGAGTCTTACTGACAAGCTCCCATCTTTTTTATCACTTTTTCTAGATACGGGCCTTAGAAAGTCAGGCCACTTGTAATTTCACATTTGCAAGCTGTCCAGATCCTTGTTTTGTTTCTTTTTAAAGGAGTGTGTTTTTGTATATAAGGTTGTGTTCCATTTGAGGAACCGATATGGGGTATCTCTGCGAGAAGGAGACTGACAAGAATCTATTTTGTTTGGCAGGTGTTTGGCCGCAGCCAGTCAATGCCGGGCACAGAAACGTTGCTGACCAAGCCGGTGGAGAAGCAACATACTGACACGGTTGTCAATTTCCTCGTCAGGATCGCGTGCCAGGTAGGCGCAACTTCCTCGCATTGATCCCCAGCTGTCAGGTTGTTCATCACAGGAAACGGGAAACCAGAACTTTTTAATCGAGTCCCGCCTGTACACCCACAGAGGGCTCTTGTTCCTATGTGAAACAAGCTACAATTACAGCCCTTTCTCATTAGGATGAAATAATAACTGGATGAAAATATAGGCAGAGCAATTTAGTTAGCATAACTGGGTAGGACCTAAGTAGGAGGGCTGCAGGAGAATGTGTGTTCGCCTGGCACAGCAGGGAGATGGAAATGGCAGAAATTGAAAATCAAGCCCTATTATAAGAGAGCATTTTAGGCAGTTATTATTATTGCAGTTATTATTTTTACAGTTTATTCTTCGCCTTCTGAGTCTTGCCGAGCTCTCCCTTCCCTGCTGCACAACGCACAGCGAACACATTCGAGTCATTTAAAATAGCTGATTAGCCTTCAAGCTTATTGTGGATTTGTAGCAATTGCTTAATTTTAGGTTGTGTGCCATTGTGCACGGAGGGTTTGCAGAACCACTTTGTTTGCTGGCTTGCTTGCCCATTTGCTCTTAATTCACTACGTTGAAGTTAGCATTTGTTGCCCTAATAACAGCTTTCTCTCGATAGAAAGAAATTGCAAGAAACAACAGGAGAGTTTTATGTCCAAGGATATAAAAAAAGGAGGATTGTAAAAAAAGGAGAGTATCCCAGTGTTCTGCATAACCTGCATGACTTAAATTTATAGTTATTTCTCTAATTAGGGTATGTTTTCCAGCATGGCACACTGTGGATCTGGGCAGTGGCACTGGATTTGGGCCTTGTTAATTAACGCGAGTTGCATCGTTTGTGCCTGCAGGTTAACGACAACGCCAACACTGCGGGCTCGCCCGGAGAGCTGCTGTCGCGGCGCTGCGTTGCGCTGATGAAGACGGCGCTGCGCCCGGACATGTGGCCCCGCGCCGAGCTGAAGTTGCAGTGGTTCGACAAGCTTCTCATGACTGTGGTGAGCCAGGCCTGTCCCTCCGTGATTCCCTCACTTGAACTGTCCTGTCAGTTTTGCAGAAGCTTTTTCATCAGTGCTGTGAGTAGAGACTAGGGTTAAGCCGCACATCAACAAGCAGCTGCAGGGTCATTTGCAGCAGGATAAATGTTGGGGTTCAGACCAGGGGTTCTGCCATTCACCATCTTATCAAGCCCCGTTCAAGAGTTATTCTACAGACAGCCGAGTTTACTACACGAGCCATTCTTTTCAGAATACACAAAGGATTCTAGAGTAGACTGCTGTGGGGGAGCTGTGAATTTTTTGGGCTGACACACTGGGTAACTTCTGCAGCACTGCAGGAAATTTAAGGTAAATGAGAGAGGAGACCGGTACAGGTGCTGGCACAGAACACGTGACAGGAAGCACGGGGAGCCGTTTCAAGTGATCAAGGCTCCCTTTGTGGGTTTTACGAGGCAGCTGAGCTCTGCTCGGAAGCAGCAGGCTGGTTGTGCAATTAAGGAGGGAAAGAAAAATTGAACTCCTCGATTACAGCAAAGTGTTATAATGGCAATTAAAGTAGGGGTGTCTGTATCTGAAAGTATTTTTTTAATTCCCCCTCGCTCTCTGAACTGCAGATGTGTGCAGTCCAGCAGACTTCTGGAATAATGGCCAAGTTCTGCATGAAGGCATCCCGGACAGCAGAGCTGGGAAGGGATTGTTTGTTTTTTGCAAACAAAAACAGTTTAGCGGCTGGACGCGGTTGCCTTCTTTCTTCTTCTACAATGTGGTGCCCACAGGCACCACATTGTAGTGTATGTGGGCCACTTACAGCATGAATTCAAGCCGTGTGGCGAAAGGGAGAAGAGGGTCTTATTTTGGGCTGCAAAACTAAATCAATACGAGAGTCAGCACAGGGAGGAAAATCAATAACCTTAATTTCTGGGCTCTGTAAGGACAGGAGCAGAGGGGGCCGGTTTTAAACAGGGTGGAAAAACTGGAGCTGCACGCGCAGTTTAATGTCCAGCCGGCCGTACCTGCACAGCTTGTTAAAGCCGTTGCTCAGGGCTCTCTTCAAGAGCTTTCTCTGGGCAGAGTGGGCGACAGACCTGGCCACAGGCAGATAGGCTTCTGAGAGCTGGGAGGGCAGTGCTTCGGTTTTGTATCCCTTTTATTTTCTTGGCGTTTTCCAGGTTCCTGCCAGTTGTGTTCAATCAGATGCTTCGCGATCGTTCTTTAGTATTTCTTCTCCTGGAATGGAAGCCAAGCAGCCTGATCCAATGCGAGATTAATCCTGGGTCCCGTGTGGAGCTTTCTTTATTACTAAACCTACTTCGTTTTGCTATCTTGAGTTTATTTTACAAAAACACAGCCTTTTATCTCCTCCCCTCCCCCCCTCTCTTTTAACCACTGTGTAGGATTAGTGAGGCAAGGTTATCTCCATTTTCTTGGCAATTGACAATGGCTTATGGTTTTTATTTGTTCTTTTTAAAAATCTGGATCATTGCCTGCTCGCCAGCTCTCCTTCGTCCCCGGGAGACCGTCAACAAACAAGCGTTCTGTGTTTAGAAGCTCCTCTAGTCCCTGAAGGAAAAATAGAAGAAATGGTTATTGCATCTGATTAAAAGTAATAAACAGCACTCTAAATCGGATTGTTGTGTTTTTGTTGTTGTGGGTGTGCCAGTGATTTAGGAACACAACGCCAAAAAAAGCCCTGGATATCCAGGGTAATTGTGTTCTTGAACATAAAAAGGACGGTCTGCATCTTGTTTCCCAGGAGAGCAGCCTTCGGTTTCTCAGACCGGATCGATACCTTCAGAAGCTTTTACTCATGGAATCCATGCTTATTCTTGGTGACTTATTAGTCATCAGCACGTTTTCAGAGCATGTGGTTATTGTAATTGCTGTAATTATTGTTACTATTTTATTTATAGGCCTTTGGGTCATCTTCAGAGAAAATCATACACCGTGGGTATAACGCGATGGATAAAGCACTGTGGCCTTTCAAAAATTAACATTAATTTGTGTCAGCACGTGTATATTTAACTGCGGAGTTACTGACATGTGTGCTTGGCGCAGTGCAAACCAAGCACAGAGATAAGATAAGAGCAGTGGTGTTTCTCAGCTGTGTCTGATTCCAGGTTTGGGTCAGAAAGAGCAGATGGATTATTCGGGTCTCTTTCTGTGTCCTCCTCCTTCCAACAGGAGCAGCCCAACCAAGCCAACTACCCCAACATCTGCACCGGGCTGGAGATCCTGAGCTTCCTGCTGACAGTGCTGCAGTCCCCAGCCATCCTGGCTCACTTCAAGCCACTGCAGCGCGGCATCGCCGCCTGCATGACCTGCGGCAACACCAAGGTCCTGCGGGCCGTCCACACCCTGCTGTCCCGCCTCATGAGCATCTTCCCCACCGAGCCCAGTGAGTGTCCCTGTCCGTCCCCGGTCCTGTGTCCCGAGTCCACGCAAGGCTCAGCGGTTTGGGGAGCGCGGGCGGCGTGTCCCCTTTTGTGAACCAGTTGAGCTTGTCAAAATACTACTGCTGGACATTTTTGGGGGGGGGCTTGTAAAAATAACGTTTTTCCCCCGCCTTCTGCAGTGCCAATACTGTCTGCCTGCACAGACAAGCCAGCCACTTCTCTTAGTGTGCCAGGCCCCCGGGCCGCTTTGAGTGGGGTGTGTGTGGTGCAGCGTGGCGAGAGAGGGATCCAGCCAGCTGACGGAGTTGTGTGTCCCCACCAGGTACTTCAAACGTGGCCTCCAAGTATGAGGAGCTGGAGTGTCTCTACGCTGCAGTGGGCAAGGTCATCTACGAGGGCCTCACCAACTACGAGAAGGCCACCAGCTCGAACTCCACGCAGCTTTTCGGTAAGGCCGACTGACGCTCGAGCCCGTAGCTCGGACCTCTCTAGAAAAAGCCACAAACTGCTGCAGAAAAGGGGAGGAAATGTTAAATTGAAATTTGGGATGTTTTTTTAGTTGATCTGTCGCGTTTCGTGTTTATGGGGGAGGTTTGATCATAAGAAAGGTTGCAAAAAAGAGGATGTCATTCAGCCCATCCAGCTTGTTCTGTACTGGGGTATCAGCTTGGTGCCTCAAAGTCAACCCAGTGGACCAAACAGAGGACACCATTGGAAACTGCACACTGGCTTCCTCCAAGAAAAGACTGGATGACTTCGTTTAACTACCAAATGAGCTATATGGCCTCGTCTTGTTTGTGAACTTTCTTCTGTCTTTTCTAAATTTAAATGGGCCAGTAGATATCGGCGATTGCGCGTCTCATTCGATCTGCCGTTCTTGCCCATAAGGCACCCTGATGATCCTGAAGTCAGCCTGCAGTAACAACCCCAGCTACATCGACCGGCTCATCTCCGTCTTCATGCGCTCGCTGCAGAAGATGGTGAAGGAGCACCTGGGACCCCAGACCACGCCTGGCACCACGGAGACGAGTACAGGTAACCACCATCGTTACTGCTAACGAGGCATGTCGTTACTTGTCACCGGTCCCATTGGAAGTGACTGCTGTTATTGTTAATGGTGCAGTCTACTCCTAGTGTCTCAGAAGCACTGTGGATAAGTGGCTGCTAACAGGCTAATTAAAATTAATAATGCGGTCTTCTTATAGCACCCCACAAGTGAAAAATCCACTTGGGGGTGTTTTACTGACCAATTTAAAGTGATTCACCAGCACATTCAATAATCCATTGACTTGCTCAGAAAGTAAATGCCATTAATAAATGTATAATTTGATTTTGCAAGTCCACGTCTCAGTGCAGCACACTTTTGAATTTGCATTGATTGGAGCAAGGTCACAGGGTACATCTCAGCTTGAAGTCACATAGCCGCTGACATTTCATCCGGCTGGTCTGGTGGCTTTTTTTGCGCAAGAGCGAGATGGGTAACGTCCCCAAGGCTTGAGATATCTCGTTGCTTACTTTCCAGACAAAAGCTGCTGTCGTCACACAGATAATAAGAGAGAGATGTGATTTCACAGGGAATGTCCCTGCCCAGGTTCATTGCTCACTTGTATTGTACTGAGAGTTGTTCTCTGGATGAATTAAAAAAAAAAAACAGGCCTGCCTTTCACCTTGAACTAAAAACGTAGTCACTCTGGAGCTGGTGACAGTGACTGAGCATGAGCTTGCAGTACCAGCAACAGTCCACTAGGTGCTGCAGCAGCACAGCCTGTGTCTCCTGCAGCTGGCAGCTTTCTCAGGGATCAGTGTAATCAAGCTGCAGTGCTATTGAACTGGAGAAAATAAGAGCCTCCTGCTGTTAAGTATGAGTTTATTAAAGAAGCCAGTCTCTATCAGCTCAGGCTTTTACTCCTGTTTACACTGATGGCAGCATGCTGTTGGCTTTTAAAGAGCTCGTAATGACTCATTTTCTTGACCAGTAATAGAGAGCAGGTGGTGTGATTCCTGCCCGAGCTTTTCCCACTAATAGGCCCAGCAAAGCTATCCTGCCCTTTCTGTTTTGGGGATCCCTTAAGATTCATTCCTCGGTGTAAGAAAGCTGTTGAGATTAGATTAATCACAGTGCAGTGACAGGAAAGGCAACACAGATTTTTCTGCCCCACTTTTTTTTAGATCCGCCAGCTGTTTTCTCCCTGAATTTGGAACTGATCGCAGAGCTCAGCCTTTTCAAGTGTTCGAACACTTTTACCAGTGGGGCCCCTCAGATCCACCCTTTTGAATCCCCCCCCCTCCCCCAAAATAAAACAGGACCAGGACCCTGACACCCTGTTTTTCAATTGAATTAGCTGGAAGAAGGAATGGAAAATAAATGAATAGCTTTCCAGGCCTAAACACATAAGTCACTGATAATTTATTTAACTGGGAATTAAAATGAGAAAATAAAGGTTACAAACGAGAGGAGGCCATGTGGTCCATCTTGCTCGTTTGGTGTTGAGTAGTTGGAGGCAGCTTGTTCCACACTCCCACCACCCTTTAGGGCTTTTTTAACCCTCTCTCTGGAGAGCAACACTCTGAAGTCGCGGCAGTGGACGACCATTTTCCCGTTGAAAACGATTTACTTTGTCATTGGACCTGCTGTAATTAACCCAGCCCTAGATGCAGGTCAGCTGACCAGCCCCTTCTCTTGACCTTTGCCCCCCCGCCCAGTGACCAGTGAGCTCGTGATGCTGAGCCTGGACCTGGTGAAGACGCGGCTGGCCGTCATGAGCATGGAAATGAGGAAGAACTTCATCCAGGTCATCCTCACCTCGCTGATCGAGAAATCCCCTGACGCCAAGATCCTGCGAGCGGTGGTGAAGATCGTGGAGGAGTGGGTCAAGAATAACTCCCCCATGGCTGCCAACCAGGTACCTCAGCACCCATCTTCCCAGCGCCACATCGAGAGCAGCACCTGGGCAGTTTGTTTTGTTTGCTTTTGTGATCCCCTCATTAAAACCGTAGCCATTATACTTTCAAATTGAGATGAGTGAATAAGAAACCTTTTCTAATGCAAAAGATTCTCTGAAAGCAGTATGTGGCGTCTGCACCTCGTACCCAGGTGCCTTCCCTTTGAAGCTCTTTGATGAGGCACTTGTGCTTTGAAGTGGGGATGCAGACAGAACAGATGAGGGAGATGCGCTGAGCCTTGCTGACTCGCGATGCATTAAAGATAAATGGGACAAATGTCAGTTTCTCCTTTCTCCCTCTTACTGTGCCTGTTCCTCTACACAGATGCCCAACCTCAGAGAGAAGTCCATTCTGCTGGTGAAAATGATGACCTACATTGAGAAACGCTTTCCAGAAGACCTTGAATTAAATGCCCAGTTCTTAGACCTCGTTAACTATGTCTACAGGTAATTACAGCAATTAATCAACAGGCGCATTACATTGCTCTGTCCATACAGGTATGCAATTCATCTTCTGGTTATGAGGAAGTAGCTTATTTGGCACGCAGGCTTGCTGTGCAGCAGACTCTGGAGCAGGAGCCCAGTGGCTCAGCAGGAAGTACCTTGTCTAATGTGCTGTACTTATCCCATGTGCCTCATGACATCACTAATCACTGACATCAGAGTATTGACAGAATGTCTGTCTGTCTTGACATCTCCCCTCTTTTTATCAAACTGAGCTTTCTGTTGTCCTTTATTTGTTGGGATGTTTGCATCTACAGTAAACTTTACTCTTTTGACATTTTTCTGCAGTTTAATGCAGTTCCAGGGTATGGCCAACATGTTAGATTCAAGCTTGTTAGCGGAAGATCTGGTAATGAAGGCTTGTAGCATGAGAAACGTTACGTTTAAATATAGATTGTGCTGATTATGACAGCTGAGTTATTTAGCCGATGTGGTAAAAATGAAGCTAAATTTATCTGATTTCAGGTCTTGTGGTCTAGAAAAACCTTGAACATTTTTGCATATTTTATCAATAAAACGTAGGTTGTAGCTGTTGTGTGAACAGGTCTCGGCTTTCTCACTGTGCACCTGATATCTTGGCATAATTTTATTGCATTCCTCACAAAGTGATGAGAGCACATTGGTAAAACGCTTGGTGGACTAGAAAGTTAACTGAACTTGCAAATTCAATTTCAGAAAGTGAGTTACCTGGCCGCTTGGGTTTGTTTTCTTTAGCTGCTGGGTGAAACCCGTGCTGCCTCCCTGCACTCAGACGTAAGTTTCCGAGCGCGGTTCGTTTCCGGTGCACACTGGTGACCTCGGCCTCCTGTTTCTGCCGAGCAGGGATGAGAACCTGTCTGGAAGCGACATCACCTCCAAGCTAGAGCCCGCCTTCCTCTCGGGCCTGCGGTGCAGCCAGCCCCATATCCGAGCCAAGTTCTTCGAAGTCTTCGACAGCTCCATGAAGAGGCGCGTCTACGAGCGGCTTCTGTACATCTGCTGCTCGCAGAACTGGGAGGCCATGGGCAGCCACTTCTGGATCAAGCAGTGCATCGAGGTACCGTCCACGCCGGTTCTGCCCGGGGAGCGCTGGAGGGGTTGGCACCAGTGTGCGGCCATTTCTTGAGGGCATTCTTCCAGGTTTAATTCTTCCCAAGTCTTGTGGTTTTAACTTCATTTTCCAAGCCCTAAGCAGCTCGTGGCCCTTGTAAAATCATTTTCTCTTAGACCTGAACTCAGCTTCAAAGATCTAGTATGACTTGCTTTCCGTGTGAAGTTCTGAAGGGTGTCCACACATCGCTCAGTGCTTCCTTGTGCATCTAGATTTAAGTCACAAGTTTTAAACCGTTGGAAGGTAGAGGCCACGTCTCTACATTATGTACCAAATACACATTCATACAGAATCTTTTGAAAGGCAAAAGGATTTTAGGTTTTTATTCAAACTGCCCAAAATTCATGGTTGAGGTCTTCAAGAATTGTAATGTTTGCATACTACAGCCACTCTTAACATTTGTCATTTAGTGTACAAGACTGCTGGTACCCGTTTGCAACATACAGTGACTATACAGGGCTTTGTGCATCAAATATGTTTCTTCATTTATTTAAATGAGTTTTCTGGCTCTAGGGGATTCACCCTCTGACCACTCTCCATCTTGAGTCTGCAGCCTAGTGCTACTGCTTATTGAGAATTTTCCCTTCCTCCTGCTGGCGGGCATGTCAATACTGCGGGGCCATAACAGGTTAAAATCTCCCGGCCTGCAGATAAACAGAAATCCACTTTTCACAAAACTGACCCATCACAGATGCACTTCAGGCACCTAGTGTGTAGTCTAGGCACTGAATATTTCAGAGTTCATATCTTGTTTGAAGTAAATATGCCTACAGTGGCACTTGGAACTCAATTATCATAAAACACAATGTATCTGCTTCATTGGTACAGTTGAAGGAAGGGTCTGTAGCTCCTGGTTTATTACACGGCTCAGCCTGCTCTTGCAAGGAGCATCTGATTTGCTTCCCTGAGTCTGGCCCTGAGTCTGCACATTTTCTACCTGCCTGCCGTCTGTAATTGATCAGCTCCCAGATGTCCAGTCCTCCGCACACAGCTGCCTTGTCTTCTGTACTGAGAAGTTTACATTAAACAAAAAGGCATTTGTCTTGACCACAATCAATGGAGCTGCCTGTCGGTTAATAATTAATGCTTTCTGTGTATGGCTTCAGCCTTGGCACTAAGTCTCGGAGGGAACGCATCTTATCATTAAACAGACAGTTATTGTTTCATTCAGCTCTTTATTAACTTATTAATCTTTTCGTGATAGCGGCCTGGAAGTGAATGTACTTGAGGCAGAGCCTGGCTCACGGGGAGTCATTTTGTAAGCGTGTGAAAACAGTCATATGAGGACACTATTTCCACCCAAACTGGACATGCGCTCTGCTGGCCAGGCACTCAACCTGCTGGCTCGGTGCTTAGCAGAGCATCTCTGTCGAGACTCCCTGTCCAGGGAAGGGAGTGGACAGGCGCCTAAGACGATGGGGCTGAGAATGTGGGAGGTTTATTTCAAGCTTAACGAAACCCCCCGGTCGGCATCAAAGTAAATCAGCTTTTTTTTACCTTTCTTGCTGAATATACTGATGAGCTCTTCCTCATGAGTTGTGTTCAGGGATAACCCCCTCCAAGCTGCATGCTGGTTTACAGGTTTGACCAAAGCAAAAGGCAGTGAAGAAGGTGCTTCCACTGTCGACCATGTTGGTGGATTCTGGGGCGGCGCTGCTACACGCAGGCATGAGGAGTAGTGCGAGCGCACTAATGGGTCCTGATCTTTGCTCCCCCCACCCTCAGCTGCTCCTGGCCGTGTGCGAGAGAGGGACCACCATCGGCACCAGCTGCCAGGGAGCCATGCTGCCCTCCATCACCAACGTCATCAACCTGGCCGACAGCCACGACCGCGCCGCCTTCGCCATGGTGGCACATGTGAAACAGGAGCCGCGGGAGAGGGAGAACAGCGAGACCAAGGAGGAGGTGAGGGCCGGCGGCAGGGATAGCGGAGGAGGTCCGAGGGGCAGAGCCTTGGCACAGTTCTTTTAAGATAAGATCTCTTTATTGGCCATATACAATTTCTTGTATTAGGAATTTGTCAGAGCGCGGAGTCAGTGGAATCCTAGCCATTTATACGGCGCCCCTGGAGCAGTTGGGGTTCAGAGCCTTGCTCAGGGGCCCAACAGAATAGGATTCCACTGCCGCCCGCAGGATATGAACTGGCAGCCTTACAGCTACGGGCGCAGATCCTTAGCCTTAGCCAGATCCTTTCTGTGGATTATCTCCCAGAGGGCCATCTTGCAAATGAGCAACTAAAATCACAGAAGCGCTTCGGTAAAGCAGGGCTGACGTAGTCTTTGCTGCTCGCTGCTAAAACTCAGGAACTTCCCTCCATTTTGCCCCTTTTACGGTTATGCATTTTTTAAGTGAAGCTCGTTCTAGAGAGTAAACATTCAGGCTTGTTCCGTCGGGATTGGCTTGAGTAAATGTCTCCCGTTATTTACGGTGCGAAGAGTCAGTGCTCGCTCTGCTCCTGCTCGTGTGCCGTTACTGTGCACGGGATCTAGAGTGGAGTCTAGGATGTGTTTATTTTTGTTGTTTGTTTTTGTTGTGCTTCTTGTGCAGAGGAGTGCCCAGCTGTGTGAGCCACAGCAGTTGCCTCTGCATGTGTTCCTCTGTCTTTAAGCATCTCAGGGCATGAATTGCATTTCTGAGATTGATAGCTAATGCTGTAATTATGCTAACCCAATAATGCAAATGAACCGCCTCATCGTTTAAAAGAGATTAACCATTGCAAACGTGGGAGAGGCAAATGTCTGTGCAGTTCCAGGTGCGCATCTCTCTTTTTTTATATTTGATTCCTAATTGCTCAATCACCTTTTCCTCCCCTTCTAGGATGTAGAAATTGACATTGAGCTCGCTCCAGGGGACCAGACCAGCACTCCCAAAACGAAGGAGCAGGCAGAACGAGACGCAGGGAACCAGCTCCACATGCTGACCAACAGGCATGACAAGTTCCTGGACTCGCTGCGGGAGGTCAAGGTCAGCAGCCCCACATCTGTCGGGTTCTTTTAAGAAGCTCCACGAAGCTGGAGGATACCTTGGGGTGGAGCACTGTGTTAGGGGACTGTATAAGACTCTTTTGCGATATGCAGGACAGCCCTGTACTGTAGCTCAGTAAGAAATGCCCGTTTGTAGATTATGCTAATCCTCTGGAATACACACCTCTCCCTGGAAGGTGGCATTAACACTTCTGTAGGGCCAGCGGAGTCCACCGTCACAGCTGGGGATAGACCTTCCTGCAGAGCTGAGCCTCTCCCCCACCCCTGAAACAAAGCTCTCTGCAGTCGTGTAGCCTGCTTGAATGTTCATGTCTGCTGAGAGTCTAGCTCCTAAGGGGCAGTGGTGCATCGTGACCTATGTGTCTTTTCAAACAAATCTTCCTCTCTCCATCCCTCCCTGTGCCAGACGGGAGCTCTGCTGAACGCTCTGGTTCAGTTGTGCCACATCTCCACCCCTCTGGCGGAGAAGACCTGGATCCAGCTCTTTCCTCGGCTCTGGAAGATCTTGTCCGACCGGCAGCAGCACGTGAGTACCGCTGGGCTGCGGCAGCGACTGGATCTGGGCGTTGGGTGCAGTTTTTCAAGCCCTTTCCTTTTTTAATTTCCTGTTGCCTTGGATGGTAGGTGAGCAGTTTTGGGTCCTGTTCCCAAACCCTACCTTCAATGTCACACGGTGTTAAGCGGATCAGGAGCAGAGTTTTTGCTTCTGCGTGTTGAGGGTTTGAGGACGGGAAGCACCAGACTGTTATGTTGTCTCAGTTCGGCGTTGCTAAGAAACTGCGGTGGTCAGACTTGCAAAACAACACAGAGCCCAGATTAAATTTAAACTTTGACCCATCGGCCAATTTTGATATTGGAAAAGCTTTTGGCAAACAAAGAGCTGCCGTCAAGAACTGGTTTGTAATTTGCGTTCAGCGGTTGGGTCGAAGTTTTAATTTAATCCGAACCATAGCCTAAATGGGGCATCGGTTTATTGAGGAGCCACATCCGGAGATGCCTTTCTGTTTTCTGATTTTTTCTCTTGTAAGTGGAGGAATAAAAAGCTGTGTCAAAAAAGTAGGTCACACATTTAAGCGAATCAGATTCTTTACTCTCTGGTGAGGCTAGTTCTAGGCTTTTCGGAGAAGTTATTCAACCTGTTTCAAAGATGACAAAGGAGACGGAGAATGTGCACCGCGGTGGCCCTGTCGATTCAGTGAGCTCACAGCCGCCTGTGTGGAGAGAGGCCACTTCCGAGAGAACACCGAACTGGAAAACAAATCGACCTGCTCTAAGGGGAAATTTATTTCTCCTCGTTTGTTTTGTGTTTTTGCTTCTCATATAAACATTTGCTTTAACGAACAGTTTGAGGGCATTCCTGCTTTCTGAGGATAAGAGGAGCAATTTGCCTATCGCTAAGTTAATTATGGTCCGTATCAGTACACTCCGAAAGCGGAAAGTGAATTCAGTCATGCCAAGTGGAGACAGGAATAAATTAGCTCTGGGCTTTGCTAACAACTCTCATTTTTAAACTGGCGAGTCAGTGTGAGCGTGAACAGCACAGGGTTGCAAGCACGGCTGACTTCCTGTGATGCTGGTGCTGCTTCCCTAATTTCAGCTTTATGCAGCTGGTTTCCTAAATGGTCCTGCGACAACTGAGCAGGGATGAAAAGATCCTTCCTATGTGTTGGTTTTCTTAACAAAACACTGAATGTCAAAATAATGTGTGAATATAAACTTTATTTTTGTGTAAATGTACCTGGTTCTGCAAACGTTAATTCTTGTTTTTAGGGGACAGGAGTGGGAGGTTTGCCTGTGTTTTTTGGGAACTGATTTTTCTAAGGCTGTCCGTTCAGTAGTAGATAAGAGAAAAGTGTTAGTTCAGGCCCCCTTTTTTCTCTGTTCAAACTTGTCGGGCAGATGGCTTAATGTGTTGTGTGATCCTAATGGAGGCATCCTGTCCTGCTCTCAGGCCTTGTCTGGGGAGATCAGCCCTTTCCTGTGCAGCGGCAGTCACCAGGCACAGAGGGACTGCCAGCCCAGTGCTCTCAACTGCTTCGTGGAGGCCATGTCCCAGTGTGTGCCCCCCATCCCCATCAGGCCCTGCGTGCTCAAATACTTGGGCAAGACGCACAACCTGTGGCTGCGCTCTACGCTCATGCTGGAGCAGCAGGCCTTCGAGAAGGGGCTCAGCCTGCACATCAAGCCCAAGCAGACCACCGAGTTCTATGAGCAGGAGAGCATCACACCCCCACAGCAGGTGCGAACGCCCCCCCCCACCCCCCAACGACAAACTTTCAGTATTTTTTCCAAATTCAGCTGAATGGCCTTCGTCCAATTTAAAGCAGTGGTTCAGTTCCCATGTCTCTGGGTCCTGTGCAGGAGATCCTGGACTCTCTGGCGGAGCTGTACTCCCTGCTGCAGGAGGAGGACATGTGGGCGGGGCTGTGGCAGAAGCGCTGCAAGTTCCCCGAGACCAGCACGGCCATCGCCTACGAGCAGCACGGCTTCTTCGAGCAGGTGAGCCGAGCGAGCGAGAGGGCCGGGGAGCAGGGTGGAGTGTGCACACACACAGGGCCTCACCACGCGCAAAGGGGCCTGGGCAGAAACAGCTGGTCTTCTAGAGTGCAAAGGTTGTATGTTCTCCATCCCAGGACTGACTCCATCTAAAGTATGAAATCCAGGTAGTGTGTCGTAGCCAGGTCTGAAGGTAGTGATCGTGGCATGGCGCTGTCCACCTGAGCCTGTCAGTGACCAGGGTGGGCTGTGTGTTGTCTCGCAGGCTCAGGAGAGCTACGAGAAGGCAATGGAGAAAGCACGCAAGGAGCACGAGAGGAACAACGCTTCTCCTGCCATCTTCCCGGAGTACCAGCTGTGGGAAGACCACTGGGTCCGGTGAGTGCTCTCAACAAAATGCATGACACCAGGTCTCGTTTTAGACCACTTTCTGTGCCTGCAAAGAGGTGCACAAAACTGATAATGTATTAGGACCATATGTATGCAGAGCTCATCCCTGGTAATTGCTCTCCTCCAGCTCTGCAGAAATAATTCAGAGTCCAGATGACATGACGTGCCAGAATAATGCGTTCGGCTCCAGTGACGTGTGTCCTTGTACAGACCTTGCCTCCTCCTCACTTCCTTGCCCTCTTCCTCTCTCTCCTGCTGTCTAGCTGCTCGAAGGAACTGAACCAGTGGGAGGTGCTGACAGAGTATGGCCAGTCCAAGGGCCATACCAACCCCTACCTGGTACTGGAGTGTGCCTGGAGGGTCTCCAACTGGGCGGCCATGAAGGAGGCGCTGGTCCAGGTATAGAGCATGACCGGGCAGGTACCACTGTCCCCAGTCCCCTCGCTCCTCCTGCCTCCGTACTCCCAGTTCTCTGCCCCTGTTAGTCAGCACAGTGATGCAGCTCAAAAGATGGGGGCGACTGCTTTGATATCTCGGAGAACGGGTGTTCCCTTAAAGACTCGGGCAGAATTAATGCAGAGAAAATTCATTCGTGCTGAAAATGCAAAATTTGTATTATAGCCATAATGCTAATGTTTTTTTTAATTTTCTGCACTAACTATAGCAGTGAAAAAAGCAGAACCTTCTTGTTGAACATTTTTTTGAGCTCATGTGGTGCTCAGGCTTGGGAGGGCGAGCTGCCAACAGGGTCTGGAGACAGAGCACTGATACAGGACAAGAGCTGCTTCCCATTTAAAATGGCAGGAGGCTGAAGTTCTGGGCCGCTTGTTTTGTGTTCCTGGAGAGTCATTAATCTGTCTTGGAACTCTGGTGTCTTAAGCTGCAGAGCAGGGTTAAGAGCCCTTTTTTAAACCAGGGCTGGCCAGCGTCTCAGCACTTAGCTGTGAATGGGAAGAGAGATTAAAGGAGTCAGGGTGTGTGTGGGTGGACAGCCACCGTTGTGAAGGATACTCTCTCTGTTGTCGGCGCTCCTTCGGCTGGCAGAGATGATGCATTGCAGAGCGCTCTGGCCCTGTCCCCTCCGAGCTCCTCTCGGGCTCCCCATCCTGGCCCTAATGACATCTCCCGAGTGCTCTGTCCTAGTAGATCAATTAACCTTCAGCTTGCTGTCCCTCCCAAGGCATGGCTCCGGATCCTGCTCCACTCAGCCCAGTTTTCCCCCTCCATATGTTTGATTAATTGAAGTGCAGTTGAGCACGGCCTCGACCACAGGAGTCATGCTGGCTGCAGTGCTGCGTCTGATACAGGGGCGTGCTGTGCTGGCTCCAGGATCGCGCTCAAATGCATGGCACTGCTGGCCTCTCCGCATTTATTTTCTTTTCCAAAAGAAAAAGGCTTTCCTCTGCTCTTTCACTAGAGCCAAGACCAGGACTAAAGTATAAGAAACTGGGGTATTCACAAAAAACGGAGTAGGCATACCTTGTGGTGACTTTCAGGATGTTTTGTTCCGTGAGATTCATGACCTTGTGCAGCTTTGTTTGTATTTGCCTGGATAAGCCAGCGTTCCTTCACCTGGGCGAGTTACAGCACATGTAATAATACAGGTAGTGTGCAAAAAAGGGAAACACTGAGGGACACCAAGTATATTGAAACAAGGAGCTTCTGTACAGGTGCGGCTCATGCATTAGCTAAGCAAACCACAGCCCCAGCATGCTTAGAGTCATGTATAAAAATGTTAAACAGGCCTGGTTGTCTGTGAGTATGGCCAGCATGGCTGCAAGTGGAGTCTTCAGAAACGTAAAAAGAGGGGCGATGGTTGGGCAGGAGCTTCAGTGACCAGGAGACTCAACTTGCTGATGTTTCACGAGTGGCTGTGTCTTAAGGGGATTCCGGCATGGAACTGGGAACCAAGGGAAAGGCATCGGGGAAAAAAAGGCAGCACTGGGTGGAAGCGCATACTCCAAGATCGGGATGTCTCTGCACCCATTCAAAGTGCACCCGCTCGTCTGTCAGTTTGGGTTTTGATGGGTTTCATCAACATCAGTTTGCTGAGGACTCCACAGAGTGGGATACCATAGGAGGAACTGCTTGTCACACCTGGTGCAAAGAGCTACCAAGCCGTGGAGAAGTATGATGTGTTCTTGATTCATCTGTCCATGACGAAGGGTGATGGACTACCTAAAGAGCTCTACAGGACCAACTTGGTCTTGTTGGTTCCATAATGTGGGGTGCATTCATTTCCTTAGAAGGCAAAGTCAAAGCTAATTGCCCCCGGAATGGTACCGAGTGATTGTCATCACCCTGTGGGGCAACAGTTCTTTCCTGCTGAGGCAGAAAATACCTTCATCCACAGAGAACGAGTCGTCGCTCAGTGGTTTGTTCGTTTCCCACCTCCTGGACCTTTCTGTCGGGCATTTGTGGAGAAATGGTGCTGCATCCCTCCTGCAGAATTGCTAACGGCGGTAGACTCTCTCATCCGGCACATACTGGCCGTACTGGCTGCACATGGTGGCCCAGCAGCCACATTAAGTGACTTTCCATTGATGTTTCCATTTTTTGTCTGCTACCTGGTACCTAAACTAAATTCACAATAAAGAAAAGAGATCCTTCAAATGCAGGAGGGAGAAAAAGTCAAACTCCTCCTCTTCTCGTGTTGATTGAGGTAAGCCCTCTTCCTCAGCTGCCTTCCCGGTCCTGTCCTCCTCTTGACCCTGGTGGCTGCTATTGCTTTCCTGGTTCCCAGCTTTATCGAGGCGTCCAGTTACGACGCTGTAAAGACAGAATAGCTCCTGGATGTAACAGATGTGCCGTCGCTGCTGAGCTGTTGTTCAAGGGGACTCTGTCCTCAGGTGACACTTAATTAAATTGTCCACTGCCGTCGTTCCCCCTTCGCTTACTGTGTCATATTTACAGATCTGTCCTTGAATAATTGCTTAAACATCTGCGTGGGGAGTGATTTATCAGAGACCCGCTGCCTGCCGCTGGGGAGCTGTGGTGCAGAGAATGGGAGTGTTGGTTTCAAGGCCTCGGGGGGCTGATACAGGCGGAATTGATCAGGGCTGACAGGCCGGTGTCTCTCGCTCGCGGAAGGCGACAGCGAGTGCGCAGGCGAGACAACAGGAGGTACCGTCCTCCTGAAACAAGGTGCTCTGAGAAGAACAGATCCTGCAGTGTAGTCAAGCCCCTACATGTCTGTCCTACACACGGCGGCAAACTCATGCAGGCTTAACTCATGTCCACTTTTATGCCTGGCGCCACCAGATACGGTCTTGAGGTCTAAACCAGGGTTAAGACTTGGAGCTCATTTCTAGACCTCTAAGAGTCTTTTAATTAGAGCTTCTAGAGTCTTTAATCTTTAGTTTCTATATGTTACTTTTTTTCCCATAGAAAACATCATCTGTTATGCCCTTTGTCTCCATGCTCTTAAAACTAGATCATGGCTTCATTTATGATGCTTCTGCACAAGGGGGCCCCTTGTGAGAACATGCAGCAGTAAACAGCTAGGGCTTTTGACATATTTTACAAGCCTAAAAGCCCTTTGCTGTTGATTTTGGGTCCCCCCCCCCCCCATTCGTTCTGAATTCTGTTGGTCTGTTTTAGCCAGTTGTACACACTGGTGTACGAATGGACTGTGGGCCAGCTAATGGGCTCTAATAGAGCTACACTGTACGCCACGGATAACATGGCAGCGCAGGCTGTGATCACAACGCCGGTTCAGCAGATCACAAGCCCACAGCCTTGGGGTTAATAGCAGGAAGTTAAAGCAGGTGTGCGGAGAGCTGTTCCAGTTCTCTGTGCCTGATGAGATCTGTTGTGCCCTGCATTTTCACGGGTGTCTAGTAATGTTATGTAAGCCCCTGGAGGAGTTCTTAATTACATTGCATCTTGAGGAAGGGTTCTAAAATAGAAAATGTTATTAAAATATAACCAATGCTCATTTTTTTTATATGTGCATACTGTTTAGTTGTGCCTTACTGTTTTTCATTAGATAATTCTTCTATATGTCAGAATATTGCGGAGGAGTGAATTAGATCCTAACACAAGGAGGAGTGCAAGTTGCAAACTTGACTCCCCAAAGCTTTTGTGATGGTTAATTTTGTTGCACAGGCATGTGAAACCCTGTCTGTAAATGGGTGTAGATCCAGCTCTGTCCTTTAAGGGGGTTTATCAGCCCTTATGTTAATTGTAGGTGGTCAAACAGAGCTCCTGTCTCTCTCTGCCAGGTGGAGCTGAGCTGTCCCAAAGAGATGGCCTGGAAGGTGAACATGCACCGCGGCTACCTGGCCATCTGCCACCCCGAGGAACAGCAGCTCAACTTCATCGAGAGGCTGGTGGAGATGGCCAGCAGCCTGGCCATCCGCGAGTGGAGGAGGCTGCCCCACATCGTCTCACACGTGCACACGCCGCTGCTGCAGGTGAGGGTCTCGTCCGCACAGACGCACAGGAGCAGCGACGGTGCACCTCAGATCGGGGAACAGACCCCTAAACGCTCCGGTATAAGGAACGCTCCTATTCAAGCATGCTCAGTTACAGGAACAGAGGAATTATGTAAGCTGACAGTGCACTGCATACATTTTCTTCACATGGTTCTGTACTGGTTTCAAAGGTTTTGTGCAGGTGTTCTTCCTGGGAGTTCATCTTATTACCCAATTAAGAGGGTACATGAGTTTGTGGCAGTGACTGTTAATGGTTTTATTGCTTCTGTAGTCTCATTCAGTTCCAGATACACTGTTATATTAGGTCGTTGTTTTTTATCAGATGGTGATAAAATTACGATGTGCTTTTGGGATTATGGTTCAGTGTCTTAACACGTGGAACAGCGGCCTGTCACGGTTTCCAGTACAACCTCCAGCGTCTGGAAGTGCTTGGTTGCGATTTACCTGGAACTGGTGCATCATCTCCCTCTCGGTGCTGGAGCTGAGCTGAGAATTGGCAGGAAACTGGAATTCATGCTTTGATTCGGGTGCTTCACCTAAAGCTCGTTTATTCCAAAGGGCCTTTCTGTGTGGCCAACCCGCGGAAGTGCTGGCCTGAGTGCTCTGTGATCACGGGTCAAGCCTGGGTCATGTCACCGGCTGACTGACAGCACGGTGCACAGCTAGATAAGGGTGGGATTGGTTAGCCAGGGCTCTCTGGGGTCTCAGCGACCCTAGTGACTTGCTGCACACATAAAGGCCCGCGGTGTTGTTGGTGAGGGACACACCCTACACCAATCAGTGTAGCCCCTCCAGCAGGGGGCGGTCCAAGGGGGAGTGGCTCAAGGTGGGCGGGATCTGCATACACTTCCTCACTTTCCCCCATGTGCTGTTGTGGCGTTGGTAGCAGCGAGCCGAGACCTGAAATCAATCATGCGAGTATAACTAAAAAATAAATATAACATTTTAAAAATAAAGTAAGATAAGATGGCTAATCAAATTTTCTTTCCTGGACAGAAAAACAAAGCCGTTGTTTATGCAGTCTGGGTATTCTAATCTGCACAGCCGGTGTGAAATAACTAGCTTAGTTTATTACGTTTAAGAATGTAATATAATGTAAATTTAGATTTAATGTAAATATAAAAATGTTTGTCTAACAAGCATGTGTGTTTGTGTGAAAGGTAATTTACTACACAATTTGCTAGAAGGCCAGGAATCTCTCTACGTGCAATGACTTAATTCACTTCTCTGCTTCAGCAACAATCTGAGGCATAACGGTGAACAAGGCATTGTTCCTTTCAATAGAAACCTTTTATTAAAATTCTTTGTCAGCACAGGGGACTGAGAGTCTGACAGCTGAGCCATCAATGTAATCTGCCTCTGCAGAATAGCGGGCTTCTGACTTGATGTTCACTCTCCTCGTGGTGCACTGCTTTCCTGTGTGCCACGGTGCCGCAGGACCACTTTGGCAAAGCAGAGCTGTTGGTCTTGGTTCGGTTTAAATGCAAGAGACCCCCTGGACTCGTGCATAATTGTTAGAGAAACATGTATTATAAATGTACTTACATCTGTGTGTAAGTCTGTGTGCTCTCTACATGCATACATTGCAGTTTTCCAAAACTTAAAGAGTAGAAGGATTTGGGAGATTGGCAGCCTTAGCTACCATCTTCTCAAAACCCTCCTGTTCACATGATCCCATCCCTGCTCAGCTGGACACGGAACGTAGGGATGTGCTAATGAATAATTATGCACCATGTGCAGGGTGTGATTAATTTCAGAGGAAGGAGGACATGAAGCACATCCACCTTGTCTGGATGTGTTCTATACTGCAGCTCGGCACGGAAATGTATGATGTGAAAAAACGTTGCCATACTTCATCATTACCACCTACGTGCTGAAACATTTCCTGGGAGTTCAGTTGGCAAGAGTGTGTCAGTCGTGCGTGTTGGGCAAACTCTGAAGAGTCTCAGACTGTCGAGAAGGGTGTCACCTCGTGTCAGTGTGGGGGTACCATAGGCTTGTGGGCACAGAACTGTCTGGAGATAAGGACCCACAGTAAGACCAGGCTTAACCAGGAACATCTGATTTCCTCCCTCTTAACTCTGAAGCACTGTAAACGGTATCATCCATTACTTAAATAATTGCCGGCCCTTTGAAGAGTGAAAGTATCTCTGATTATTCTGCTCTGTGTTTTGGTCCTTTTATGACGATATCGATCTCATCACTCGAATGTGAGTTTTGCGTTTGAGTTTTTGGATAGGTGAAAATGGAGTCAGCCCCCTTTTTGGCTGGTAAAGAAATCATATGGGAATAGTTCCTGCACATTAATACTTGACTCGGAAGGCTTTATTTAAGATAGTGCTAAATAACGTTCTAAAGGTTTGGACGCTTCGATTAGCTTAACTGTATTCCGCTTATCCAGTCCCCCATGGAGGTCTGTCCTCAAGGCCAGGGGACTGGGAAGAGCCACCTGCCATGACCCTGATTCTCCCTCACAACACCTGGCCTTATAAAGGAGGCCGAGGAGTTCCAATATCAACGATTAAAGACGACAGGGATGGCAGAAAGAGACTGCGGGTTACAGCAATAAGTTTAGAACGAAGGTAATTACTTTTCTCCATCAGATACTGTTTGATTAAATACCTGTGAGAAAATTAAATTTACATGATGAATGGGAGCACAGAATGAAGGTTATAAGGTAGCATCAGCTGATGCTACAGATAATTGTGAAAAATATTATATTGCCTAATTTATTTTGTTTCGAGAGATTTGATTTGTTAAATGTGGACCTGATTTAGGACATTTATCTTTGAAAGTGAGGGATTAGAATTGAATACACTGTTATCAGCGCTCCCCTCTTCTCTCTCCCTCTCGGCTGCCCGGCTGTCACAGTTCATTTCAGCAGCGGCTGCAGAGCACAGTGTGTGGTGCTGGGTGTCAGGCTCTATATCTCTCCTCTCCCCTCTGCCTGGCTCACCGCAGTGTGCCCATGGCTCGTTCAGGTTAAGTGTGCCTGGGAAGAAGCAGTAATTACTCCTCGGGTCTCGGTATTGGAGCTCCTGACTTTCTACCTGTTCGAGGCGTGGGTTGAAAGCTTGGATAAGCTTCATCTAATGGCTGATTGATCGGTTTTCAAAAGCAAGAGCAGCTCTGGTATGAGTTGGTTCGGGGTATCTCAGGATCTTCTGTCAGGCGCTGGATACTTTTGGGTACATACAATCATTTGTTGGGGTGCAGTTGAACTTGGGTTTTAATGTTTGTTTGCACAGGTGATTAGTCTTCAGATAAATTAGTACATTTAATGGCACGTTGATGGAATGGAGGACTGTGCTGTAATCTTTTAAGGTAATTTGCAACAAGAGAACAACATTGGTTTTCTGCTTAGTGGATATTAACAGAGCAGGCCTGCCTTCATCTACTCCTAATTAAAAAACAGTTTGTTTGTTGTCCAAGCATTTTTGATGGACCAATCCCAAATGATCCAAGTAAGTAATTTCCAAGCAGGTCCACAACCTGTGTTGCACTCAGTGTTAATTAGTAACACTCAAGAAGAAATGTCTTGCTGTGCAGTTGTGCTTATGTGTTGTAGTGAGGAGAGAGGTATGACCGGTCACGGACTCTCAGGACAGAGGACGTCTTTTCCCCTTACAGCGTGTGAGCACAGCTGTTTGAAGATCGTTTTTTTTTATTGTTCATTCAGGCTGCCCAGCAGATCATTGAGCTGCAGGAAGCGGCCCAGATCAACGCCGGGCTCCAGCCCACCAACCTGGGTCGGAACACCAGCCTGCACGACATGAAGACGGTGGTGAAGACCTGGAGGAACCGGCTGCCCATCGTGTCGGACGACCTCTCCCACTGGAGCAGCATCTTCATGTGGAGGCAGCACCACTACCAAGGTACCCACCAGCGGCCACTGGTCCTGCAGCAGACAGGGCCGCCCTCTGTCCCTGTGTGCGCCAGCCTGGGCACCCCTCCTCCCAACGAGCAGTGCTGTAGCTCCAGCGCGAGGCCCTGTGTCTTGATGGGCGTGCTCTGTGGAGCTGTATTTCAGCATTGTCCTGTTTTTACTGTCGGGATAAAGAGGGAGACCCAGGCTTGTGTCCCCGGACCTCGGCCCCCCTTTTGATGTTTTCGCTCCTGTGTTTGTTGGTTAGGCTTTATTTTTTCGTGACTAATGACACACACCTGCCACACGACTCTATATGGCAGCCCTTCTCGACTGACTAACTGGTGTGCCGCTCCAATTTGGAAAAGGTCATGCATGAGAAAAATGAATGCATTTAGATCGGTTAGTCCCCCAAATTACTGTGCTTCACGTGCGGCGTATACACATGAGTCAGAGGCCAGGCTCTAAAACTGTTCAGGTAGGAGTTGCCCATTGCGCTTAAAACAAAAAAACAGAGAACAGCTGAGAGGAGCTGAGCTAGATCTCCTTGGCTGTCATCAGTTCCTGTCGGGATGAGGTGACTAAGCAGTATGAGGCCAGCTCAAATTGAACATTTAAAAGGTTTGGTTTATGGTGATGAGAACGTGCTCGGGCTGGTGATGTTTGAGGGTGGGGAAGAGAGGGGCCTCAACATTTTTATCCTCATGTAAGTGTTCTGTGGGAGGGAAAAGGTGGAGAGACACTGGCAGACTCCGGCCTTCTCCCAGCCGTGCACGACTTGCCATTTCTGTTCCCCTTCAGCCATCGTGACCGCCTACGAGAACAGCACCCAGCACGACCCCAGCTCCAACAACGCCATGCTGGGAGTCCACGCCTCGGCCTCCGCCATCATCCAGTATGGCAAGATCGCGCGCAAGCAGGGCCTGGTCAACGTGGCGCTGGACATCCTGAGCCGCATCCACACCATCCCCACCGTGCCCATCGTTGACTGCTTCCAGAAGATCCGCCAGCAGGTCAAGTGCTACCTGCAGCTGGCCGGCGTCATGGGCAAGAACGAGTGCATGCAGGTACAGGGCACACCCCTCGCCCGCCGCCCCGGGACCTGCAGCATGAATTGCCCACGAGCAGCTGTGGCTTTATGGAACGAACCAAATGGGGGCTCTTGAGTCATTTTAGCAAGCTAGCAGGCAAAATAAAAACCTTCCCTTGTATGCAAAACAAAATTTTCACTGTTGATTGGCCTTGATCTCACGATACAGTGCGCCAACTTCTTTCCATGCGCTGCACATCTCGGGCCCGGTTCTGGATGGGTTTTAATTTACTGTGAGGCTAACCACCCAGTGCATATCATTTTTAGCTTTTTTTAAAGTTTTTTGGCTTTTTGGAGTTTTGTGTTTCAGAAAGCCAAAACACACCTTTTTCTTCTTTTAGAAATTGTCTCCTTTCATTGCAGAGTAGCTCCAAATCCAAATTGCCCGTATTTAGAGAGCTGAGAGGGAAAAAAAGAGCCGATGTTCATGTGTCGAGCTAATAAGATTGAAAAGGTGATTTGTGTTAGATCAAATACCAGTTTAAGGACTTGCTGTGTGTCTGAGCTGCGTCAGTTAATCAGACTGCTCTCTGGACTGTGAAAGGAGGCTCACAAAAGAGCTTGGAAGGACTTTTTAATGTGGTTTTACCTGAATTTAACAAGCACCATAATCCTAGATTTAAGAGTAAGGCTAATTTTGCAGAGCAACCCTGTTCTCCCTTGGCGAGTTACTTGGAGGTGGTGCGCGCTCCTTTGATTCTAGGAATATGTTTTTGGATGTAATGACAGATGAATGTACAAAACAAAACCAAAATTCTGGAAGTCCAGAACACAAATCAGAGGCATGGCTGAACAGCACAAGAAAACGAAGGGAGAGGGTAGAAGAAATCACAAAGTGTTTGTCCTGTTCCTGAACAATAAACTTGGGGTGTTAATGTGTGCGCAGTGAGGGGAGGTCGGTGCCCCTGGCTAGACTCGGCAACCCCCCTCTCCTCCCGAGTGGGGCAGCTCCTCCCTGACTGTTTCTCTCCTGGCAGGGCCTGGAGGTCATTGAATCCACCAACCTCAAGTACTTCACCAAGGAGATGACGGCCGAGTTCTACGCCCTGAAGGGGATGTTTCTTGCCCAGATTAACAAGTAAGTCCAGTGATGGCTGCAGCGCACACACACCCAGGTTTACTGCTCCATCTGTGAGGAAACCTCCTGAGATAAGTGTCCTGCCGCATGTGAGATCACTTGATAAAGTAATCTACTGTGCAGCTTTTCTTGGAGTTTAGAGAATATGCCTTTCCATAGAGTATACCATTGTTTTCTTAAACTCTTAAGTTCCTGCTGATAAAAGCATCATCCAGATGAAGGATGCTCTGTACTTCGTCTGGAAAGCAAAAAGCCTTTCTGATTTGTTTTCCTGTCTTGACAGCCATCATGCAACATTTCAGGCAGCTGTTTTTGTTCTGTTTTTTCCCAACATGCATGATGACGCTCGGAGCACATTCTTGTTATAGAACTCTTTGGATGCGGGATCCGCGTTCTGTGCCATTTACCCTGGCATCCTGTGTGCCAGCTTGGTTCTTAACGAGGCTTGTCCCCGTTTACCCTCCTGTAATCAGCAACCGGGGGTTTCATGTGGATCTGCTCCATCCTCTGCACTCAGTGCGCTGGCAGGCAGTGTGGGAGCAGGGAAACACAGACTTGCTCCACAACTACAGAGTACAGCGCCAGAAACCTGTCAGAGCAGCGGCGGCGAAGCTCGGCTGTTCAGTGTGAGATCATGACCTTGCCATCCCGGCACCCCCTCCCTGTGCTGTGAGCCGCTTTCTCTCCATCGTCATCTCTTTTTTCCTCACCTTTCACTGAGGATTTAGGCTGCAGTCATTGTTCCCAAACAATCAGAATCTTAATAATTCCAGCTCTACCTGAGTGCATTTTAAACAGCTGCACACTTTAAAGATAAGTGAATCCCAACCTCCCTTAATTAATCATTTATTTAAAAGAGGAAACATTTCTTAGTTTTTCAGACACCGACAATTGATCAGTAGCGCTGTACTTGAATTCTTTACCGAGAGCCGCTCAGCAGTAATGATCGATGTGACAAGGGATTAATAATTAGAGTACTTCTATAGGACTCACAGTTTAACTCTGGGGCTTAATCAAAGATCAATCTTTATCTCTTCTCTGCATGCCTTTGAAGCTTTGAGGACAACAGCCATCTTGGTGCGTGGATTGTTGTTCTATCACTTGTGGGGAGTTGCTGCAGGAGCGTTCATATGGTTGCACGATGAAGAGGGCACGGATCTGTTTCTTCGCTCCACTGTGTTCGCTGTCTTGGCGTGCATGCCAGCAGTAAGACCTGTGGTTTGGGGTTGCAGCGGTTTGTTGGCAGTAATGCAGTTAGCGCAGCAGAGTGCGGGTGTAGTGGGCTTGGGGAACAGTGTCAGGGCGGGGCCTGTGGCAGCTCTCCCTGGCAGCTTCAGGGTGGGGTTGGGTGAGCAGGATGCAAGCAGCCAGAGCCCCAGTCTCTCTTGGGAAGATTGATAGCATGTCACAGGGCAGGCACAGGAGCGCGAGACGGGAGATGGAGCCTGCTGTTTGAAATAGAAGGTGGCAATAAAGTAAGTCGTTCATCAGGCGGCTGCCACTGTAATCTGCAGCGCTCTGCAGCCTGTGACACCTGAAGGCGCTGTGTGGAAGGCATGCCTAAAGCCATTTTTGGAAAATGGGACAAATGGGCATTTTATAACTCGCGGTTTTGACAGAAAAGTTGTTAAAGCAGCTGCATGCTGCTGCGCTGCCTGGAATTGACAGATACCTTATGTGCCGGAACACGTTCCTTTCGCATCTCTAAAACTGTGTAATTTAATTTTTCCCCCCAGGTGATTTCACCAACTTGCATCCCCCCCCCTCCGTTCCCAGATACGCTTTGCTAAAATCTTTAAGTAATCTGTGCTGAACAGATTTCCAATTGATTAGCAATTTACAGCTTGCTGTGGTGGTCGGCTCATTCACACCATTTAATTTGCACCTTATTGACGCAGAGTTGATAGTTTTGGTCTGGGCAGGGTATCGCCAAGCAAGAGTGAGCCAGTGGCTTCTAGCTGTGAAACTGTTCGGCTCCCAGAGTCAGAAGACACTTCTGCCTGTTAGGGAGAATTGAATTGTGAGAATTCTCACAATCCATGCTCACCTTTGACAAAATGAAATCGTATGGTGCTGAATGCTCGCTCTCTTTAGAATCGTAAGGGATATTGCTCTTTTTAGATCAGCGTCCCGTGAGGTAAAAGTAAGAGTATTTTGGGGTTCTTGTACAGGTCCTATACAGCAGTGCATGCATCTGAGATGTGGATGTGGTTTGAGAACTCAGTTCTGTCTGTGTGACAATTAAACAACTTGAGTCAAATTACAGATGTGTTAATTACAGTGTTGGCCCTTTAATTACATTTTAATTGCGTGGTATTTACACTTTGACATACAAGTATTTAAATATGAATTAATAACATGTATTGTTATTAAACTATAATATTAAATATGAATGAATAAAATGTAAATAATTACCTATGACCTAGAATGGCATGCTGCAGTAAAGTACATTTTGTGTGAGCAGTGTGAGTTACTGCTTTGGTTACAGGATTATCTGCAACAATGTTTATTGAATACTGTAGCTCCACTGCAATAGAAGCAACAATTCAAAATGGAAGTACACATCCAAACTTTAGTTTGAAGTATTAACTACATGTTCTATAATTACACATTGCTAAGGTATTTACATAATGCAGTTACAATTTCAGTATAGCAATATATGCATTTCAAAACGTAATTGCTGCACTGTTACAAGGTTGTTACAGTGTTATTGCACTGTAACTAGCGGAGCAGTGTTATCCCAGAGGCTGCGCTGGGGCTGGACCTCAGGCTGCCCTCAGCCCTGCTCCTCCAGCGAGAGGCTTGGAGTCTTTCCCCCTGCAGCAGCAGCGCTGTCTGTGTAATAGCTGCTGACCATGTGCCCTGGTGTGGCTGTCTCTGAGGTGCGACCGGCCCAGCCTCAGCCGACACACGGCGGAGCCTTTGGCAGAATTTGGCTTCAGATGTGTCTATGTAGCTTGTTCTATTCTCCCACAACAAGGATCTGTTTTTTTAAAGAAGCCTGGGTTTTGTTTTCAACAGCATGACCAGGGAGCTGGTCCCATATCCCCACAACCCTTTGGGTAAAGGAGAGTGGCCCCATGGTTTTGAAACCATGCTCTTCGGTGTCTTTACTGTGCCCCCCGGTTCATTCTGGAGACGTGCACTGGGCTGACTTTGTCCCTGAACGCTCCCTGTTCTCGAGCCGGTGGAGCGCCTGCCGGCCAGCAGGACCTGTGGGCTGGAGCTTGCCAGCGCTGAATTCACTTCATAATTCTTTTAAACTGTTGCAGCCCTCCAGGGAAGAGGAGGGTTATTAAATGTGTATAGAAAGAATAATTAACTCAATAGTAATTTGTGAAATCTCAGTATCAGCAGAACTTTTCCTAACCTCAGCAGTGCTTAATGTAATCATTACCTTTTCACACTGCGTGAATATAAACAGCATAATCGGACTTCAGGGAGGGCCAAGCTGGGGCGGCGCAGACGTGCAGTTCTGCTCCTGCCTCCAGGGGGAGTGTGTCGGGGACAGCTGGCCGCTGGCTCCTCTGCAGGAGCGCCGCTGGGCCAGCGCCCTCCTGGGGTTAGACTGAGCGCCGCTATGAACTCTTTCACACAGTGCCTGTGAGGCCCCGCTCGGATCACCATCCTGAGAACTGTAAGCCCTGCTGGTGACCATGCTGTTTCTGGCGGTGCTCCATTGTTATGGAATGCCTGCGACTTCGAGACCTATATCCGATTCTTATAATTGGTCGTGTGTTCTTTTATTTTAAAATATATTTTATCATTGCATAGGGCATCCTTGAGTTTGGAAAGGCACTTTATAAATAATTATAATTGTTATTAATAAATCTTATGTAAAGATAAAGTATATTTAAATTATCGCTGTTAATGATAACGACTGCTTGAGGAAATGGCCTGTATAGCTGCAGCATTTTGGTTTGTCAGAGGATGCATTGATTGCACTTGCACTGTATGGGGGATACATAACCACCACCAGAATTTTTCTTTTTGAGGTATTTACACATTGAAACCTACCTCCAGTTGTGCTAGAATCATGCCCATGTTTATTTCCATGAAAGCAGAATTGTTGATGATTCCAAGACCTGTGACAGGGTTTAGGGAAACATTTAGTTATAATTTACATTGCAGTTCTGTGGGAGCACTGTCAACTAGTAAAGAAGAGGGTGAATGAGTTTATTTTCAGTATGGACTGGATTGCTTAGACTCTGGTTTATTAGTACTGGCAACTCTCCAAAACATTGAAGACATTCAGAATTCGACTGGCTGCCCAGAAGCTGCCCAGCCTTAACCAGGGTGAAGCTTTTGGGCGATTAAGTGCCCTGTGTTTAAGGATGGAGATTTGAGAGGATTCAGTTACTTGAAGCAGAATGATCAACACTATAGCTGCCGCTGCCTTTTTTTTTTAATAGATCTGCAGATTTTTTTACCATCACACTGTCAAAAACCTGTTCCTTTCTAGCAAGTTTCACTTTCTTTATATGTCACTGAAGCATTTGAAGTGCACCTGTTATCTTTGGTGTGAAATGGAAATTAAGGGCTCCTGCACTGACGCTTTTATCTGCTTCTGGATTCTGTATTTTAATTTTTATAATGAACTTCAGAAAGGAGAGTACGATAGTGAAAATCCGCATGGAAGTTTTCACCTTCAAATTAATGACTCTGACACCCTTCTAACTGCTAAACTTGATTCAAGGTTTTCTGCAGCGCAGTGTAATACAATAGCACATTTCTTTTAGTGCGTGGGCAGTGAGAGACTGGTAGAAGACCAGACTGGAGACTGGTTGAGAGACAGTACAAATGACACACGGGTAGCTTTGCTTTTTATAAATGTTTTCTGTTGTATATTGTGGTAAATATAGATAAATGTGCAGCAGAGCACTGTATAATTGTCAAAAGCAAGTACAGCACAGTGAAATGTAAAGCATGAGAATGTAACAGAAGTAAAATGCACTATCTAAGCTACAATATATGGGAATACAATGGGAAATCTGATGATACACTGTGCAGATCTCCCACACATTTCCATCCAAGTTTCTGCTGACCCTTCACCTCTGTGCACCCTGTAGGTCGGAGGAGGCGAACAAGGCTTTCTCGGCCGCAGTGCAGATGCACGATGTCCTGGTCAAGGCCTGGGCCATGTGGGGCGACTACCTGGAGAACATCTTCGTCAAGGACCGGCAGCTGCACCTGGGCGTGTCCGCCATCACCTGCTACCTGCACGCTTGCCGCCACCAGAACGAGAGCAAGTCCCGCAAATACCTGGCCAAGGTGAGGCCTCACCTCTCTTCACTATTGCTCGAGACGAGGCGGATCACCAGTGCTTGTGAGCTCAGAAGCAGGAAGTGCCTTTTGGGATGACCTCATGAGAAAGACTAGGAATACAGCCACCAGGATTTACCTTTTCGAAATAAAAGGTCACCAGCCTTTCTCGCACACAAGTGCTGGGAATTTGGGGTAACCTGTGGGGAGACTGAGGCACAAATGCAAAGTTTTGGTCTCTTCAGCCTGCAGCTGTAATTGTCTCCAGACCTGGTGCTCAGAAATGCTCAGTTCTTCTTGCATGTATTCAGAGGTTGAATCAGTTGTAACATTAAGCAATAGAGCTCTATGGTTTCTTAGAACTGAAACAAGCCCACAAAGTTGTTCAGCAATTTGCAGACAGATGACAATAGGGAAGAGAAAAGTTTTGACATCTCTGCTTTGTCTCTCTGCACATCAGCCTGGTTTACCCATCTCTTTTATCTGCCTTTGAACAAAGTTTGTTTGCCATCCAAAGCCTGAGTCATAAAGCATTAGCGGAGCACACAAGTAAACTCTTCTTTCATCCTGGGACGGGGTTCAGCTGCCAACAACGAGAGGGAGAGACAGATTGAAGACCTACCTTAGCCTGTGAATCCCGGAGGTGGAATAAAACCTGCTTCAGCAGCCACGAGTTTATTAACTTGTGTGGCAGTAGCTGGTTTTTCTGCTGCGATCGTTACGTTTCTTTTTCTCCCACAGCTTGGAAGAATTCTAGGCTTTTTCATTTTTAGAAACTCCTCCCCCCTCCTTCCTTTTTTAACGTTTTATTTCGTTCTGTTCCCTGTCTGTGCTGCAGGTCCTGTGGCTGCTCAGCTTTGATGACAAGAACACACTCGCGGACGCGGTGGATAAGTACTGTATCGGGGTTCCCCCCATCCAGTGGCTGGCCTGGATCCCCCAGCTCCTCACCTGCTTGGTGGGCTCCGAGGGCAAACCGCTGCTCAACCTCATCAGCCAGGTGAGAGCCGACTCCTGCCGGCCTGCGCAGACCCTCTCCCTCCCCTCGGCTCGCTCACTGGTTTCAGTGGCTGCTCATCCCTTCATTTAGGTGTTTGTGCGCGTCGGTCTGTCTGTCGTGTGAGGCTGCGCCTAATCAAGATTAATGCCCTGCACTGATTCTCCAGGAAGCCTCTGTACGGCAAATTCCATTTATCCAATTAAGCGTTCAGATGAGTTTCCATTTTCACTGATGGCAGTTCTATTTTCTTTCTTCCCTAGAAAGCTTTTTTTTTTCCCACTTAATACCAAACAACTGCCTGCCACTGGAATAGAACTTGTAATTAAACTGGGGATTAATTCACATTTCTTAATAGCATATTATTTCTGGGTAATTTAAAGCACTTGAACTTCAAAGAGCAGGAAGCCACATGGGTCTTTCTCTTCTTCCCAGAAATGATTGAGTGTGTTTGTGAGGGGCTCTCAAGAAGCACAGCAGTGTGAGGGAGGGGCTCCCCCTCACCTTCAGCCCAGCACAAACACACTAATTAGATCCTTGTTTTATCTGGAAATCTTACATCTTTGTTTTTTTTCCCCACTGACATTTTAATTGTTTTATTCTTTTTCTCCTACAATAACATCCCAAATAAAGGAAAACAAATAGCTTCTGCATATATTTTTGTAATCCACTATATCCAATGCAGTGTTTGTTGTCACCAGTTTTTTTCCCCCTTGGTTCTGCATGAAGGATTGTCGAGGTCTCTGTGCAACGGCGGTTTTTGATCGCTCGCCTCAGCCTCATCAGAAAGGCTGTAAATGTTAGTGCAGACGAGGCTGGGGGGCGCTGTCAGACAGCAGCAAGGTGAGGTGTAAGTGGAGGAGACCCGCCTCCTTCCTGTTTCAAAAGTCATCGCTTCTATCAAGTTTACACTTGCTTCTCCACTAATGGGCTGAGAAGGGGACACTGAGCATTAGCGCCCATTCAGCTTGTCCTCTGGAGAGCTGTGAAAGTTGCCTTTCGCTTGTGGGGGGGTTGTGTCTTTTTGCCATCGTGGGCTATTCTTCATTTTCCTATCAGCACCTAGTTGGCATCGGGTTTCTGTCTAATGGGCTGGCGCTCAGCTCTGCACCGAGACCTGAGAAGAGCTGCGGCCTGTTTCAATACCTCGCTGGTGTCATTAGGCCTTTTGCCTCCCCTTGTATTACTGTTTATCTCCTTTAAACGCTATCTGGGCGTTCTCACATTGTGCTGCCTCCAGAATTATGTTGAAATAAGAAACCGGGGGTTGTAATTAGCTGTCCTTCTTGATGCCCTGGTGCCTACTGGCATGCATGCTCTTTACCGACTCTCAGTGAGGTAGGTGGCAGTGGGGAGGGGGTCACATCATCGCTTCTTTCTGTCCCTCCTTGACTTCTCATTCATTGTGTCCTCCCATTCTGCCTCCATCTGCAGTTTTGTGCAGTAGAAATTTTTCCTCGCAGGCCAGCACTTGTAACAGTATGTTGGCTGACTGGTGACTCAGCAGTCATGAGGAAGGTAGGCTAATCACATCAAGAAGTCAGAACATATTCTCTTAATTTTCTAAGCTTCTGCCTCTGAGTTGACAGGGCATTTTTCTGTAAGTTGAGCAGGTTTCTGCCAAGTCCATATTTTACTCAACCTTCTTTTTCTAACATCTCCAAATATACATCACATTGTTTGCATATTTTCTTCTTCAGGTATGGTAATAAAAAGCCGACATCAATCTCTTTGATTCATTAGACACGAAAAAGCACCAACCTCCTCCAAAACAGTCAAGCTTAAACTTGTATACAGGTCTCATGGGGCTTCACTGTCTCTACACAGGGCAAAGGCTTGTTCGTGACATTGTGTGGTTGGTCCATGTTGAGGCTGTCTGGGTATGACTGATCAATCAGTTGATTTGTAATTGACAAATTCACATGATTGGGGAATTAGCCCTGATCTTGTGATTTATCATGAAGGCAGTCTGTGAACTATTTAAATCCGTCAGTAGGTCTGTGCTTAGAGGCCTGTGTTGAAGGATGAGCTGTCAGACCTGGTGATGAAATCTCTAGCAGTGTTCAGCAACTGGCCATGTGTTTTCTCTTGCTGGGTTGTTCAGTTACCCTGGGCTCCTTGGCAGTCCCTTCCCTGTCCATTTCCTAACTCCCACCTTGGACTAGAAGAAGCAGCAGACCATGACAGTGCACGGAGTTCCTTATGCACCTCTCCCTACAGCAGTTCCCAGCAGAGTGTCTTAGCCATGTTGATTTGCAGCTGATGACTTTGAAGAGAAATCGCCGTTTGGAATTTTAAAAGGAAAAAAGAGAAGAAAAGCGAGAAGACAAATGAGGCGTCTGATCATGTAGAAGCTGTACCGGCCGCCGACTCTGGCTGCCCTGACTGGACTCGACCTCACCGGGGTCTCAGCGCTGCATTCGTCTGCTCTCTGATCTCCAAGCTGACAGGTTTATCTAAGTCAGCAGCAACCAGGAGGCAGAACCAATTAGCCTGCGAGAGGGCTCAGTGAGCTGGTTCATTATGAAGTCCTGCGAGCCGTGATTCCGACTGTGTAGTGTAATGGATAGCTCTGGAGACGAGACGAATTATCCCCGTGATTAAAATCGTCATCTGGTTTGTGTGACTGTAATAGCAAGAGCTCGCTGCCTTTCCTTTTCCCCTCTTGTCTTGTTCTTTCGGATTTTTTTTTAACGTTTCTACATGTCTGCAGCCAGTTTGATCTTCCTGACAGGTGACAGACAGACAGCATCTGTGACAGAGGACATCTGTTGTTCTCACCACCGATTGTACCTGTGTGGGTCGGAAAAATGGGACGGGTTGTCAGAAGTATTAAATATTGAAAGACTGAAACTGAAACATTAGTTTATATTGAACCTCAAACATCTGTGTTTATTTCTGGGCTTGTCAGTGTGATACTTTCTTTTCTGAAGAGTTCCCTTTCCATTTCAGCAATACTGTCTTACATTTGAAGAACCATCTGTGCTTGAGAGTCAAACCTTTCTCTGTTCACCCTGCCTCTTTTAGAATTGCCTTGTCTTACAAATACTCAGAGCTGTGTTCTGTGTTAATGTACAGTACCTGTGATAATCAGGCTTAAGTTAAAAGCATTCTCGCCCAACTTGATCTTGATTTTCCTGCTGGTGAAATCAGTCTCAAGCCTGCAGTGGAGATTCTCATTTGGTTCTTCCTCATTAAAGCATCTATTAAATGATACTCCAGTTTTCCTCATCAGTGACCTTGTCACCTGTTACCCTGCTCGTGGATGGTAATTCTGAAGATTGCGTTTATTCTGGCAGAATATTGTGAAGTTATAAGGCTGTATCCACAAAAGTAATGACAGCTAAAATGATGGTTATGCTTTTAGATATTTTTTCTTCTGACTTAACACCTTGTTGCGAATTAGCCTGACGGAGCCGAGGTTTGGGAGCGTCAAATTGATCTCTTTCCCTTGAAAACTGAGCCGCTGCCCTGTTGTCTGCCACGGCGCTTGTGTCACATGTCAAATATCTGTCTTTGTGTGCCAGGTGGGGCGCGTGTACCCGCAGGCCGTGTACTTCCCCATCCGCACCCTGTACCTGACGCTGAAGATCGAGCAGAGGGAACGGTACAAAAGCGGTGAGTGTGCAGGCTGGGGCACGAGCACATCCAGGGCCGGGGGTCATGCAGACGGCCGCAGTGTCCGCCAGGGGCAGCACCTGCTGCTTTCTGATACCTGCATTGGCATTTCTGCAGCAGCGCCAACACGCGATCAGGCTAGACATACAGGCTACAGCCTGCTTGCTTTTGTGTTCAAGTGCATTTCAACGAAACGCACCGAACGAGCTCTCGTACAGGTGCCAGTCTGCACTGCAGTTCTCACCCAGGTACCCTGGGTTTCCTTCACTCTGGCAGCCACCCTGACCTCTGCCCCCTCCCCCTCTCTGTCCAGACTCGGGCCAGCAGCAGCCCAGCTCGGTGGGGGCCCAGCCGCACTCCGCCTCCGACCCCGGGCCCATCCGTGCCACCGCCCCCATGTGGCGCTGCAGCCGCATCATGCACATGCAGCGCGAGCTCCACCCCACCCTGCTGTCCTCGCTGGAGGGCATCGTGGACCAGATGGTCTGGTTCCGGGAGAACTGGCACGAGGAGGTGATTCGCCGCCTGGGGGGAACCAGTGCCTCACCATTCTTAACCCAGCCTACAAATCGGCCTCTTTATTTCAAATTGTGTGGGTTGCAGGCCAAGGATGGCCTGAGGTTAATGCACCAGCATCTCAGAATCCTGCAACGTGATCCGTTGCTGCCAGGAGGAGGGTTAGGCTAAGCGTTAGGCAGGAGTGTACAGAGGAGGACACTCGAAGTTGGGGAAAAACTTAGTGCTTCAGTGTTAAAAAATGACTTCTAGTTTTGCATGAGTTCTAGTTAGCAGCCTGTCTGGTTTCGGATCAGGATTGATTAGTACGGCAGGTGTGGGAAGGTTCCCAGTGCCACATGAAGAGACGGCTGTTTAGCGCAGTGCATGACACCTGCAGGTGCTGCCTAGATAAGCATTGGGTTTCCCCCACAAAATGCCTGGCAGTGATTGACTGTGTGTGGAGACAGGGGGGTAGACTTCTCTGGAGTGTTTTCTCCATCCTGGGGTTTTTTAGCTCTGGAGTTGAGCACAGAGTAGGGGGACTGTCAGATCCTGCTGTGCCTGTCATTGTACCCTGTAGCATGACAGGCACCACCATCTAGGCAGAAGATGCCTACAGAAGCATCATCCAGTTTCAGATGTTTAGATTGGCAACATCCCACAAACAGAAGCCACACAGAGCTCTGTACGGAAGACTCGTCTGAGAGCAGCTGAAGTAAAAACACTGAATCACCTGGACGTTGCATATGGCATCACTGTGCCGTGCTGAAATCTTCTCTAATTGCAGCCGCCCGTGCGTGTGTTTTACAACACTCGTCTCTCGGCAGTGCTGTGTACAGCACCTCACTCCCGCGCTCTCGCGCTCTCAGGTGCTCCGGCAGCTCCAGCAAGGTCTGGCCAAGTGCTACTCGGTGGCGTTCGAGAAGAGCGGCGCGGTGTCGGACGCCAAGATCACGCCTCACACGCTCAACTTCGTCAAGAAGCTGGTGAGCACCTTCGGCGTGGGGCTGGAGAACGTCTCCAACGTGTCCACCATGTTCTCCAGCGCCGCCTCCGAGTCGCTGGCCCGCCGCGCGCAGGCCACCGCGCAGGACCCCGTCTTCCAGAAGATGAAGGGCCAGTTCACCACAGGTGGGTCCAGAGCTCCCCAGTGTTGTTCTTTCTCCACAGCCGCAGAATAAGATGGGATCCGTCTGTCCCTGCAATGGGCAGCTTTGTGCGTTGCTGAAATAAGTGCTCTTGTACAATAAGGTTTACTGTGTGCCTGCATCTCTAGACATAAACTACAATTTGCAGAGATAATGAAGTTTTAGCTAAACGCAGAAGTGGCATTATTAATAAGTGAAGCTCTTAAATATTTACTGAATTTCTTCAGTTTTTTTTTAATCTGTTGGTGCCTTACATCTCCAATTATGTGTTATGCACACTGTATCTATAGTAGAAGTACAGAAATCTATAGGTTTGCAGCACTTGCGGTGTTACAGCAGCGCAATTTAATTTTATATTTATCCAGTTTCTTGTTGCAGCAAGGAGGGGGAGTGTAGGAGGGTATGTGTTTTTTGTGTTGCCACGCTGAGAGCAGTGCTATTTTTATCTTGTGCTGGTAGCCGGGAAAGAACAGTATAATCGCTGCTGCCACTGAGACTTTTTCTCTTAGCATCACAAAATCACCTAACTGATGACAGGCTGCATGATGCCAGGAGAGCTCTGTGCTTGTTATGTGGGGTTTTTGACTGCCCCAGCTGAGAACACAGGCCTGCTGTCCATGACGGAGGAGTTTTCTTGTTGTTTATGGTCCAGGCCTGTCAGGATGAGAGTATTTAGAGTTACCTACTCTGACAGTCCTGTAGCTCAGCACTGACGCGTCCCTGCACGGTCCAGCGTCGCTCACTGTACAGAGCAGTTCATCCTCCTTGCATGCTTCTCAGATGCTTAAAACCTGAAGCGTGTGACATCTCCATGCGGCACTGCTTGTTAAATTAGCCTGAAAACAAAACTGAAGTATAAAATGCATCTTGTACTGAGCGTTGTGAAGTTCAGCGTAGTGGACTTGTCACTTGTAGGAATGGGTAGGGCACCACTGTGCTCTGTTGTGAGAAATGGAAGCTTTCCCAGCAGGCCAGTCAAGCTGACTTTGCTTTCAGTGTTTTCCATTTAATTGCGTCTTAAACTGATTTTGGTGATCCAGCTTGAGTGCTGGGGTAACTGCATCTAACAGGCATCAGTGCTCGCAGAGCGGCTTGTTACATTTCATTTGTTGTACTGGGAGACTGCATCTGAAAACCTGAGGGAGAACTAACCAAGACAGCAGCTCCACAGTGTTCAGTGCTTTATTATTTAATGAAAAGGCTCTTTACCTTCAGATTAACGAAAAAAGTTTTTTGACTTTCATGCTAAATTTTCTTTCAGTGTGCTGCTTGGTTAAAATTGAAGTTAATATTCGCAGTGCAGCAGCCTTCTGTGGTGAACCTTGGCCCAGGTTTTCTTGGTGAACAGACTGTGGGCAGACTAATTCATGCGCCTGAAAGTGGGCATTTTTCCCAGGCTTTGTCCACTGGGAGATGAGAGACCTTGGTGTATGTCTTTGGAGGTTCAGAGAGGGGATCTGAACAGCCGTCAGCCCCAGACAGGTGAAGCAGCAGGTTTTCTTTGAGCATTTTCTGCTTAACCATGATGTAAAAATAATAGACAGTCTGATGGGATTTGCTGGAATGTTGCTCGCAGACGTGGTCCTGACCTACATAGCTGGTCCTACATTGTGTTTGGTGCAGTGTTCTCTCCCAGGCATAAGAGCTGCATGACAGTAAATAATTAGGGTTCTGAACCATGTGATTTAATTTAATGGACGGTGGTCGTGCCTGCCAAGGTCTGTGTAGTAGCTGACATGGTGTTGATTGTTCGGAAATTGCACAGCCGTTCTGTTCTTTTGCCTTTTATTAATTTTTTTTCCTCTCGAAAACATGAAAGAGGAGGTGTTTTTTTGGTGACCGGCAACCCGGAGGCGTTTGGTGCAGTGGGGCAGTGCTGCTTGGCGCCGTCTCTGCTGGTGCGTTCTGCACGAGGGGTACCCAGGCTGCTCCGCCCAGGGCTGGGTTTGCGCGAGGCTCGGTGTGCACGCCTCTCACAGAGAGAACCCCAAAATCTACTCTATATCCTTTGAGCAAGGACGCTGGGGGATCTGCTCTTTCTGTAGAACTGGCTTGTGCAATTTATTTTGTTTTATTTCTTCCTTCCAAGTGGGGCAAAGCCTTCCAGACTGTACTGGAAAAAAATAGCTAAAGGATGTGGACTGGAAACCTTTGAGGGGAATCACCTCAATATTTTAATGAGTGTAATATGTGTCATATATGACGTAATATGACTTTCTTTCCCAAAACTGGGCTCTTGCAGGGGGTGCTGAATCTTATGTTGCAAGCACAGTGATGAAAAACGTGGGTTCTTTCGATCTCTCTTTTAGAATTGATCGGTAAAATAATCTCACTGCCAGGAACTGAGGTATGAAATGTCAACGTGTGACCGTTTCCAAATAGCACTATTACATTCGTGTCCCCTTCACGAAACATCCAGTATTGAAGAGGCCAGTGACACAGAGTGAGTGAGGTGTTAGTGCTTGTAACACAACACTGCTTTCTCTTTGGCGTAATACACTGGAACATTTGAAGGCAACTCAAACCATAATGTGAATTTTTAGTTAATTTACACATACATGTATATAAAGAAATATCTGGTATTTTACTGTGGATGAACTGATGTGATCTTCAGATGATCAAGTATTAGCAACACACTCTAGTTGGGCTGAGTGGTCTCCTCTCATTTCTCACCTTCATTGAATTTCGACACACGTGTAGCTTATAGTTGCATGAGAATGGAGAGAGAGACGCTTCTTGTCATTTAGATGGAATTGTTGGATTATCCATGTAAACTCTTGAGAATAACATTCCCCAGGTTAATCCTCAAACAAGATGCTGCCATGATCTTCTCAGCCATCACTGGATCTTAAAGGTTGTAGGTCAGTGTTGAAGGACATGATTGATTTTTAATGGAGCCATTATCATAACCCATCTTAAGGCGTGATAATTAGAAAAGATTTAAGATTATTGAGCTCATGTTCAGAAGCTGTTGAACTCTATTAAATGCGTGCTGTATCAACAGCCTTCAGGAGCCCAGAGTATGCTTGTCTTGTGGTCTGGCCATTTTCCTGATTTTACACAAGATCCGTGAAAGCATTTTTTTGTTTCACGGGGTTTAAGATGTGCTGTTTTGCTACAGGGTTTAGTTAAATAATTCATTTTGTTCAGTGTTTCACAGATGACCTAACAGTTGTTAAGGTACTAAAGAATAATGTCTTTTTATTTAGTTTTACAAACCTGTTTTAGAAGGAGCATTGAAATCCTCATGATAAAATACATTGACTGCAAGTAAAGAATCCTGCCCTGACCTTTGTTCACGCCTGAGCACTCCCACGCTTTACATCTCTCCTGTTCTCCACTCCCGCCTCCTCCTCCTCTTCCCTCTCTTCCTTGCCTGCTCCCCTTTTCTCCTCCTCTCCATTCCTACTTCTTAGTCCTCTTTCTCTCGTTCCTCAGCTGATGGGGCTGTGCAGGGGGAGACGGGGACACAGACAAGATACAAACTAGCATCTGTCAAGCAAATTGTTGTGCCGGCTCATTAATTCTTTAACAAAGGGGGCTGCGGTGCTGAGACTTTCTGCTGTGCATGAGGAGAAGGAGGATGAAAATAGAGCAAGGCAGCCATTGCCAGCTGCACATCCCAGAACCCCTAAGAGCGCGGGTCGTGCCCTGCCCAGCTGCAGCGTTCAAGTAAAGCCGGTGTGGCCACTCAGGCAGAACAGTTTAAATCCTCGTTCTCACTGGAGGACCACCTTGAATTCTCTTCGGGGCTCTTGCACCGTCTTTCCACTGCGGAGCTCTGTCTGCTGCTCGCTGGTTCCTCTTGCAGCAGCAGATGCCTGTGTACACAGATGTGCACCCACGTGAAATGCCTGCTGTGTCCCGGGGAAGCAAACTTCCCCTAAATAATCCACATGAGCCGTGCCTGCCTCAGGTTCTGCATGACCAGCCTGTTCTGTAGTGATCTTTTCCACTTTGAGATGTCTTTTTTTGGTTCTGGTTGGTGGTGTGGTAGCATTTTAGAATTGCGTATGCATCAGTTGCCTCCTGTTGATCGAGCGGTTTTTGAGATGTGTTTAGGAGGCCTGTCTTGCTTCACTTGGCATGTTTTGGGGTTAAAGGTGAAAGGCAAGGTGTGTGAAGGACGTGTTGGTGTGGCAGACTTGATATTAGGTTGAGAAATATCCATGATCTTGGAAGTGCTGTGTCAATGCTGGTGTCACTCATTTTTCAGAGTTTTCAGAGTTTTTATCATTTTTAAAGAAGGTCTGGCTGTTGCCTGTGGTCTGCAGGTTGTTGAGCTGCTCTCAGGCAGTGGGAGGACTGTGGGTGTCTGAGGGACAGCTGGTTGCTGGGGTGGCCGAAACCTGCTGTGTTTTCAGCTACTGCTGAGTTCTGTTCACAGAGTTTATTTTGCTGGAGGGCAGGAACAGTATCTTGCCAGAGACCTACGATATATTTAGGGCCAGGCAACCTCCACACTGAAGGCATTATTCATTTAAAAAACATTCTCTTGTTCAGACTCACTGGCCAGAAGAGACAGATTATTTTCTCCAAGTTGGGAACTCGATTCCCAGATGATCAAACTGCACATGGAGCAGAAAGCATGAGGGAGAAAAATCTCCAAGCTTTTCCCCTGGTCCTTCATTAATCTGAAAGGAGAAAACACTGTAGCTATATATAACCAGCAGGTCCCGAAAGCCTTTTACGAGTCAGTTAAGAAGTATTAATCGTAAAAGCTCTGTAGATGGCACTACTTTTTTATTCACTAGTTAGGTAATATACACAATGTTTAATATCTGCCTTCTGTAAAGAAAATGACTACAGCAAAGTGCCCTCTGTGTGTTCTGAATTTTTATGTCTGAGAATTGTCTATAGAATAACTCGGAACAGTGGAGGTGCCTTAAAAACCCTAAATTCTGATGTTAGGGATTTTCTCTAAACCCTTGTACATCTCGATTTTAAATTTAAATGATTTTTTTTAGAGGTACATGCTGCTGGCAGTGCCCCTGCGTGAAAGTTAATGTCTGATGTGAAGCCCCATTCCAGATCTGTACCTTGCTTACAGCGTGCCAGCAGTGGTTCAGCTACCTGACTCGGATGGACATGGCCCAGCTTGGGAGGGGGGGTTTAGCGTTACATAAGGAAAACTGCTTCTAATCAAAATGGCAAGCAAAACATCCGATGCCTCCTCTAGTGTCATTAAATGTGCACGTTCCTTAGACCGATTCCCCAGTCGTGCAGAGCAGGGCATCGCCTGGCAGGCTTCGAAAGTCTCCGGCTCACAGCTGGCGTGAAGGTTGTGAGGCTGAACCTCAGCCTTGCAAAGACCTTCCAGTGGGAAGAGACTGAGCAACTTTCTAGCTTTTCTAGTTTCTGTCCACAGAGTGCAGTTTGGAGCTCATTACATTCTCTGTCACTGATGACAGAAAACATCCTTGAGGTTTTATTTAGAAACTTTTTGCCTTCTTGAGCAGAAGGTGTATATAGCTCAGAGAAATCTGGTCCAAAGGCCCGTGTCTAAACAAACAGCTGTTTTGTTATGTTCATGAAAGACCAGTGAGAGGTAAATACCTGGCTGTGGTTTGTGATTACTGAAGAGCAAGGCTCAAGTTGTGGTAGCTGGAATGTTTTTCAGTAAACTGGTTTCTATTCACAGTCTGTGTCAAGGTTGAAGGTGAAAGACCAGCGTGATGTCAATGGAGCAGGAATTAAGATGTTTTTAGTGAGCTGCAGAAGTTAGCGTCTGCTGTCTTGCAGTTACAGCCGCGCTGACCCCTCCCTGTGTGTGGTGAGCTCCTTGATCTCCCCTGTGGGACACCACTGCTAACCTCAGATCTTCTCTCTGAACCTTGTCTTCAGACTTTGACTTTAGCGTACCGGGTTCCATGAAGCTGCACAACCTCATTTCCAAGCTGAAGAAGTGGATTAAGATCCTGGAGGCCAAGACGAAGCAGCTGCCCAAATTCTTCCTGATCGAGGAGAAGTGCCGTTTCCTCAGTAACTTCTCCGCGCAGACTGCGGAGGTGGAGATCCCCGGGGAGTTCCTCATGCCCAAGCCCACACACTACTACATCAAGATTGCCAGGTACGCTGCAGCTCGGGGCATCAGAGCCGGCCAGCCGTGTGAGTGCACTGCTGAAGGGAAGTGTGGGTTGACAAGCAATTGTACCATGAGGTCACAAAGCCTAACAGCAGAGTGCAAAATTGCTGCCACGTTAATAAAGGTGGGCCAAGGAATATATGGGGTTCAGCGCTCGCAGGCCGGCACCACCGCCTGATGCTCTCTGGTTTCTCCTCCAGGTTCATGCCCCGGGTGGAGATTGTCCAGAAGCACAACACGGCCGCCCGCCGGCTCTACATCCGCGGCCACAACGGCAAGATCTACCCCTACCTGGTGATGAACGACGCCTGCCTGACGGAGTCGCGGCGCGAGGAGAGGGTCCTGCAGCTCCTGCGTCTACTCAACCCCTGCCTGGAGAAGAGGAAGGAGACCACCAAGAGACACCTATTCTTCACCGGTGAGCCTCCTCAGTCCCCGACTGCACCCCTGCCACCCCCCCCAGCTGCAAGGGGCAAAACAGCTTGAGCGTGAGGCCTTTGAATTAAGCAACATTGCCGGATTTAAAATAACTGCAAGTCTTCGTAGAGCATTGTCTGTAGCTTCAAAATCCGCTCTTAGAAATATTAGTTGGCGGCTGAAGACACGATTGTGTTTGCGAAAGTTCTGCTGGACTTTATTCCTCTTTGCTGTTCAGAATACCTAAGCATTCAGGAAGGAGAAATGTCTTTTACCATGTCTTCCCATATAGTTTTCCTAAAGCTCCATGCTGCCGGCTGAACGTCCTAATTAGAAACTCAAAAGTGCTTTTTGCGCTCAGTGTGAAATCAAATTTGATCTCTTCCCAGTGCGTTTCACTAAGCCCCTTATTAAAGCAGCTGCTCACGAGGGCAGAAAACCAGAGTGTATTGTTTTCTCCTGGAAATATTGATCGTGATTTATGTAATTGTAAGTGTGGTTAGCACAAACGGACTGTCAGATCGGTTAAACAGGCACAGAATGGACACCACCCACCCGGGAGGCTTGCTGAACTGCAGCTTTTCTGGATTATTTTGATAAAGAGCTCTACACTATTGAGGGGGTTTAGCACAGCTTGCTTGGCAACACGAGCTGCTAGGAGGCAGTTTACTCTGAAGGAGTCAACAGGTCACAGCTACTATGAGTGCAGTGTTTGCGAGCCGTTCTCTCACAAAGGATGGCAAAGAGAGTCAGATTGGGGTCGGCAGAGCTTCGGTCCTGCCTGCGCGGCACAGGAGGCAGCGGAGGAGGCGAGAATGTACCTGCAGGATACAGGGGCTGTGATGAATGAAGAAAACCGCGTCTGGGAGCCCCGGGGAGATGGGAAGATGAGATCTAAATTACATCTCCATGATAGTCTTATCAGGGTCGTAACTCTTCCAGGTCAAAGTTCAAGGGGAAGCTATTGGAAACAAATCAGTGCCGAGAGCGGTGCAGAGAGGCCTTTCTTCATTCTTTTGCCATCTCAGATTCACGGCCTTCTGCCCTATTTAAATTCTCTAAACTCTTCTCCTTTTCAGGAGTCCTCTGCCGTCCCTTAGGATAAAAAAGATTTTCCCTCAAACACCACCACACACTATCTGTGCGATACAATCGAGATTAGGACAGAGATGTGAACTCTGCATTTGTGTCCACCCAGGAGACGCACTGTGTGAGTTACACACAAGGTGCAGGGTTTGATACCTGCCTTGCCATCTCCTGGCCTCACCTGGCCAGTAAGGAGAGTCGTGGCTATTTCAAGTCACACGGGAGATTCGCCCTACAGAATTAACTGTTGGGTTTTGTTTTATTTCTATGAAACTATTTAACAGCAATGAGTCTATGTATGAGGTTTAAAAAAGCAGGATAAAAATGGTTTTCTGTGTCATTGGTCATGTCAGACTCTGTTGAAAAGAAGAACGATGTGTACAATCCGTCATTTGATTTGCTATAACACCTTTGCTGCAAAGTGCTTTATAGAATTACACAGCAGTTGACAGTATTGTACAGCAAACAGCGGTCCATGTGCACACACAGGATAGAAACACAAACTCCCAGTGTGAGAAAGCGAACCCGAGTGCCACGGGCCCAGTGATTGTGGATCAGTGGTGTACAGCTGGTGCTTCTCCCCTGTCAGTCCTGCTCAGGGGCTGGGCTCCAGGTCCTGGTCCTGTGAGACTGTAGATGTGGGAAGAGTCGAGGAAAGAGAGATTGCAGTGTGACAGTGTTGACACAGCCTGATTGTCGCCTGATTGGGCAAATGTTTGCTCAGTCCTGTCTTGGGAATTTTTGTTTTACTTGAAATAATTTAAAATGTGTCTCTGAGCTAAAACAAGCCGTCATCCCCAACAGTCCGGAGCCATGCCTTCTTATACCTGCTGGGTCTTCCTTGCAGTGCCCCGAGTGGTGGCGGTCTCCCCTCAGATGCGCCTTGTTGAGGACAACCCCTCCTCGCTGTCCCTGGTGGAGATTTACAAGCAGCGCTGTGCGAAGAAGGGCATTGAGCACGACAACCCCATCTCCCGCTACTACGACCGCCTGGCCACCGTCCAGGCCAGGGGGACGCAGGCCAGCCACCAGGTACCTTTATCTTTCAAGCTCACAGGCAGTGCAGCAAGCAGGCTTCCCAGCACCAAGGACAGCTCAGCACAGAGGCACTGCAGCACCAGGGACAGCACTGCCATCCTTCTCCGTGTCGCAGGGATGCCCTCATCAGCACGATTCACTTGTAACTTGCCTGCCCAGTGTAGGGATGGAGAAGTGTTGTGTGTAGAGCAGGCAGGTGAGGCAGAGGCCACCTGGGAGTGATCAGAACACATCCTGATCAGTGAACAGAATTGTTTGGTGCTGGATCACCCTTTGTGTTTTTTTAAATGGAAGTTTTTTATTTTTGTAACAGTAAGAAAAGCCACCATTTTAAAGAGGAGAATACGGGGAGAATATCTACAAAGCTGTCATCTATATATACACACTTATACAGCTCCCCTTCTCCTTTCCCTGAAAACATAAGCTTATACATTGCAGGCAATTTGAGAAATGTCATGATGGTGCTATTAGAAGATGCTGAAACTGCCTCTTGTCTGAGCTTGTTTGAAACACATGCACGCATGGACATGGCTACAATACTCACATTGCTAACTGATCCCAATCAGCTTTGTTATAATAATGAGGTTATATTACTGTAACCTCATAATCTAAGGTTAATTGAACTCATCACGAGTACATTCTCACTTCTAAAGCAATTCGCATTTTGCATGTGTAGCAGCTTCCAAGGCAGAGAGCTGCAGCAGTTTAGGCCTTTCAGGGCTGACCTTCAGCTCTTTGATTAGGATTGTGCTGCAGTTCACTCTTGGAAAATTAAAACTGTTCACTTAGTGCTGTTCCCTCCTTGCACTGACTTTCCTCGTGTTAGATGGGTGAGCCTGTAGTATTGCCATGTACTGTAGTGCCAAAAATGTGGGTACAGTGTTCATTAAAACAGAGGAGTAGAATAACCCCAAAATATGGGTTTCTTATGAAGATGTTTTTTTCAGTGTGTGTATTTCATAAGAAGAAGCCCACATCTACATCGTGGTACTGTTGGGTTCTGACTGGTAGACTCGAACATCTTTTGGGGTTTAAAAGCCCAGCTGTGCCTCAGGCAAGAGCAGAACTCTTATCAGTGCTGCTAACTAGGCAGGTCACCTGCGTACTTAATACTTGCAGTGCACCGGTCACCACCAGGCTTCTCCCTGTCCACGTGTCTGCTGCCCAGGTTCTGCGGGACATCCTGAAGGAGGTGCAGGGGAACATGGTTCCTCGCAGCATGCTGAAGGAGTGGGCTCTGCACACCTTCCCCAACGCCACCGACTACTGGACCTTCCGCAAGATGTTCACCATCCAGCTGGCGCTCATCGGCCTGGCGGAGTTCGTGCTGCACCTGAACCGGCTCAACCCGGAGATGCTGCAGATCGCTCAGGTGGGCCCGGGCTCCTCGGCCTCAGTGCCACGCCCATGGGGTGATTTCAGTCACTGCTGCTTTAAGAAAGTCACATGCACTGACCCTTTACCCTGCGAGATCAGCGCTGCTTTGTGCTGTTTGCAGTGTCATCCTTTGGCTAATGAATTTATTGGGACTCATGGAGGTTTTCCCTGTGTACGTTTCTGCCGCTGTTGTCTGTCGTTAATTCAGACAGAACTGTGAGTGGATGCAGAGTAAATTCAGATGTGTGCTAATGAATAATAGCTTAATTAGGAAAATAGGTCAACTTTAATACCCTGGAAGGTCCCACTTTCCTTTGGGGAAAAAAACAGGTTGGGGGGTTGTGTTTTTGGAGAAAGAGAACAGTCCTACCTTGTTTCCTCACTCAGTACACAGGATATTACTTCCTGTGTCTAATTAGGCTACTCCAATGATAAGGACCATCCCATGCCAAAAAGACTTGATTACTCTCCAAAACCTGCAAAGCATTCAATTAAATTGACTGCGTACAGCTGATAGTATCTGCGCTAGTCTGCTCCACAGCAGGCTTTGGAATCCTTCTGGGCAGTGGGAACATTTAAAAGTCATTATTCAGAACGAAGCTGTCAAACACTCTGGCTGCTTGCAATCTTAATCTGCCTCTGCTGACAGGAAATGCATCTGATAGCACTGGGCATCTGGAATTCAGCATCAGGTCTGTCTTTGCATTATTGCAGTGTTCTGCAGTACAGATCCCATTAATCACAGAGAGATTATGTGGAGAATGTTAAAAGATTAGGAGATTTATATTTACACTGGAAAAAAATAGATTTTTATGAAATATCTTAGTGTGTACTAGGATTTGTGATTAACCTATTTCAGGCTGAAGAGGAATGTTTTTTTCCTCATTTTACAAATTGTTCTTTCAATGCATGCGATGCCAGTGCAGTTTTTTTCCCCCACACTTTAATGACCATGAATCCCTTTTCCTGTTGATCTACACGGCAACGGGAAACCTACAACCATTCTGCAACCTGCAGCCAAATTTTAAAATTGCTAATGTGAATGTTAAGAGTTCTGAAATAATTTCAGCAGTCAGACATCTTTCAAACAATTAAGCAATTGGGTATTACTTAAATCACAGGCTGATGGCTCAGGTCTGCTCAAATTTGGTTTCCTAACACTGAGTATACTCCTATTTTTTCAGGTTGTGTATTTGTTCTTTTCTGGAGTTTATAAAACCTTGGAATTGCATTGGTCCAGTAATACCCTGCCAAGCACTGACTCACAGATATGTTGTCTGATCTGCTTTCTATTCACACGTAGTGTCTCTCCCTTTAAGCTGCTATTCTGTCTAGCAATGCTCTGAAGTATTCTCTGTGTATTTCCATAGAGAATACTATGGAGTACTAATATATTAATACAGGATACGAACATTAATACGTTCATGATCATTAGTACTAATACAGAAATACGCAATTTATATTGCTTAAACAGTGTGAACAGTTTTGATACTGTAATGCCTTTAATGCTCCATTAAATACTTTGGATGCAGCAGCAACAGAAACCGAGCAACTTTGATTTTGTGGACTGTTACTTTATTCAAGAAAAACAGTTTCTGAGTGTCTAGATCAGTGTTTCTTAACCTTTTCTGCAGCCTATACCCCTTTGATTCTCAAAATATGTTCTCATGCCCCTTACCAAAAATCGTTGACTGAACTGGTTTTCAATGATTTTCCTTTAAAAAATCTGGCATGTCTCACACCTCAGGTTAAGAGCCACTGGTCTACACTGTATTCAGGAGTCCCAGGACCTAACCTGCATCTTTTACACTAAATCTTATGGGTATAATTAGTTCCTTTACTGCTGATTTGCTGTACATGTGCAGTACATTTAAGAACATGCCCCCTCTAATGCCCAGACAGGGTACGACTGTATCAGACGTTTGTCATCCTTCAAACTGGTACTTGGAGTTCAGCTAAGCTGAATCATAGAGCTTGTACAAGCACAGGAGGCGGTGAGGTTATCGAAGCAGACCCATAATAGCCTAATCGCATGGCTGTTACCACTAAGACTCAAGTGCAATTGTATCTCAGCTATTTTATTTTCCTTCCCTTCCTCAATCCAGCAGGGAAGCATCTGGGATTTGGCTTCCAGGCGCGAGGTGCTTGGATTTCGGTTTTAGCATTCATAGCGCGCAGCCTGAGCAGGGGGCTTGCTGGGAGCAGCACTGCCTCTTATCAGCGCCTTCTCGGGTAGCGGCTGACCTCAGGAGCTGGAGGCCACTGGGGTAAATAATAGAGTTAAACAGCTTTCTATAAAGCTGTCAGAATAGCCTAGCTTCTTCCAATAACACTGTATTTTTTCTCAAAAACTCACACTTACATAAAAACAAAGAGTGGTTTTATAGAATTACAGCACTCTGCCAGGTCCTGGTTTTCAGTGGTAAATGCAGTTTTAACAGATAGGTGGCTACATGGATTCACCCTTTGGATATGTAGGGAAATGGGCATCAATTGCTTTGACTGTGTGTGACTATTTCAGAGATGCAACAAACCACTGGGTTTGCTTTCAAATTAAAAGCGATTGATTTCTTGGTATAGTTTGTGTCTCACAGCCTGGTGAGTTTTAGTCTAGGACTGCAATATGTTCTCAAAAGGTTACCTGAGGTTACTGCTAATCAGTCTGTTAAACCCATCATTAATCTACACAACAGGTACCCTGCGTTGTTGAAATACAGACATTAAATTTGGAATTTATTGTCTTGCAGGGGCCTGCTGCTGGTTTTTATTGTCATCTTATGGTGATGTTCTTTCTCAAACCCCCATGCGTTCAAGTCAGTATTGAGATGTGTGCAAGGAACAGGCTTCATGTTTATAATTTTTTAAGGGAAGGAAACTTGTGCAGTGAATTTCACTAGTTTTACTAGCCATGGGTGCCAGTGTTTTCATGCAGTTGTTTTAATATTAAATCCTGTTTATTGTGTCATCAAGTGTCATTTCCAGTGCTAAATTAACCTTAAAGAGTCCATTGCTGCTCCTGTTGGTCATCCATTCTTCTGACATTTTCTCTTGCCTAAAATAACTGTCATTTTAATAGTGCAAATTCTTCCTGTTGTTACGTTGGAATGGTACGTCGGCTGTGAAATGGTTCATAACCCCTCGAAAGGCCCAACATGAATGCTTTTTTATCTCAGAATTTCAGCAGTGCTGCTCATAGAAATGGTTTTAATCAGACTGCTGTCTCTTATCGCCATGGCAGGACACTGGCAAGCTCAACGTGGCGTATTTCCGCTTCGACATCAACGATGCCACCGGCGACCTGGACGCCAACCGCCCCGTTCCCTTCCGCCTGACCCCCAACATCTCCGAGTTCCTGACCACTATCGGGGTCTCTGGGCCCCTGACCGCCTCCATGATTGCTGTTGCCCGCTGTTTCGCCCAGCCCAACTTCAAGGTAAGGTCACAGTGTCTGAAGCAGACAGCTCTGCTGGTCGGGCTCAGGTCATGCCAGCGCAGAAGAGCTCAGAGTGGGAGTGCGGCTGCCATTGATTTTAAGTGTGGTTCTGGAATTTGTGTGATGACTTTACCATAAAAAAATTCTTTAGGTACAATGTGAACGCTCTCATGGTGCAAGAAGACATCTGAAGGCAGTGTTTTTCTTTGTTGGGATTTCAAAGCGAGAGCTTTATCTATTTATCATGTGCAGTTTCAATTTCTCTTAGTCCACAAGCCATTTATCGTCATTGGGAACCTCTGATCTTGATGGTAAAATCTCATTTTCTTGCTTACTTTAAAGATGCTTACTTTCCAAGAAAGGCAGGTGGGTGACTAAGGCCAAGGAAAGATCAGTGCTGAAATCTGTAAGCATAGTGCTTCATCATCTGTAAAAACTGAAGGATTTTTTACAGTATCGATTATTACATGAGATGTGTGAACTGCTGTTTGCTTGAAGCTACAGTTGTAAGGATTTTCAAACCATTTTGTTGGTTCTTGAGAGAAAATGGAATTGCTTGAATTCCTGAAGTAGATGTTGGTGTTTCTCTGAGTTTTAAAACCTCAAATCCAAGGTAGTCAGCTTGCTTGTTGCCCCCCAGGATTTGTCACACTTATTAACACAATCCTTTTTAGAAGCACTTTTTATTTAGATTAAGTATGTAAGGGCAATGAAAAACCATTATCACACAACCAAATAAATGTTTTACTTGTCAAGAGCTTTTATCACATTAAAAAAAGGAGGTTGGCCTTGGATGTTTATGATGTCATAATCTGCTTTTAACCAAAGCATAGTCAAGACATCTCCACAATTAGAATGCAAGCAGACCCTGCAGCAGTACAACTAAGATAATATTCCACCTTTTCCTTGTGTTAAAACACTAAAAGAGATGGAAAGAGGATGTTGTTTATTCTTCACTGGCTGTATGGATACATCTTTGTAGCCTGCTTTTTAAATGCGATGCAAAAAAATAGATTTAATAGGAGCACATATTAAGCACATGCCCTATACAGTATGTGATTATGATTAACGCTGACTCCTCCATTAACAAAGCATCTATATAAGAAGTAGTTCAGGTGGGTAGCTGCGTCAGCATGTGTAGTCTGCAAAGGAACAGGAAATAGGTTTATTCCATCCTGAAAAGAGAAAAGAGAAACACAATGTTTTGGCTGTGAAGCCTTCTATGGGTGTGTGTGCAGAACCGGAGTGACCCTCAGCTAGTTCCTACCCTCGCTGCTTGACCTTGCAGCTGCTCACACATCACACAGGATCAGCACCCGTGAGCAATATGAACGACAGCCGGAAATCCAGAATGCGCTTATCAGGTGTATAAGCCTTCTGCGGATTAAAGAAAATATAAATAAGTGACTCCAATGGATTTTGCCATTGTGAACACAACCCAGTGCTTTGGCTAATAACCTCTGATAAAGCAGAATTTAAAAATGAAATTGGTGACATGAAAGTTTTCTGTCATGTGACTAACACCAAGTTCTTCTAACTGTTGTTCTTGCACTCCACCTCTGGAATGCAAGCTCTTGAGAACAGAGCAAACGAAAGATCCCCCAAGTGAAATCCCTTGGCTTTGTAAGGGGAAGGATTCACAAGGGTCTGCATCTTTTGGCCCCATGACCCAGGCAAACTGCCACCCTTTGCTCATGTTGGGGAGTCACATAACCCAAACCCTAACAGCGCTGTCCAAGGGTGTTTATGCTGAGGAAACCTACACAGAAACACAACTGCAAGTCTTTAGAGGGTTCTGCTTTCTAATTATTGTGCAACTGTCAGAACTAATGAGGTAACAAGTCGAGGGTAAAAAGATAAGCTGGACAGAAGAGCACACAATGTTTTGGCCATGCAGCGTGCCGAGGGAGAGCACAGGTAGGAGAGGAGGAAGTGGGGTGAGGACAGGGGAAAGAAAGAGAGGGTGATTACCAGGACATGGGGGCTCAGGTCACGAGAGGAGGTGTGTAAACGGAGAAATGCAAAGGATTCATTTACAGGTTGATACTTTTCATACTTCCCCATGTTAACTGTCCCTCACGTTTCTACCTTATTCTCCCTATTTTCACCTCTTCTCTCAACTCATTCCTTCGCTCATCTTAACCCAGAACTGCTCCCCCTCGAAGCTCTTTAGCAGTAATGTTCCCACATCCCTTAATCCACTATAGTGTAGATCTGGAAGACACATGGAAAAATACAGAAGCACAGGGTGACTAGATGTCATTTACTAAGCAGCTGTTTCATCTGCACGTGCCCTTGAATGCCACAGCTAGCAGCATGTTTAGCTCCCAGTACTATGGATGTGTGGGGTTCATGCCACCGAGATCTCCCAAAAAGCAAAAGAAAATCAGTTTACAAAACTGATTCTTTTATACCTGCCCTAAAGAAAAGGGTGACTTGTGTTTGCTGTTTCATCTGTAATTTTGAAGTACTGCATGAATAAGCCATGATGTGAAGATAAGGTACATGACACACCTGATTAAAGAGTGCAGACAGGAAGGAAATCGCACTGGAGATAGGGAATGGAAGTTGTGCTGGCTCTCACTGCCTGTGCAGCTGTCAGTGTGATTTATGAACTGTACAGCTTTGATTTAAGTGTAAGGCATCTCTGAGGGTGTTTCAATGTGCATTTAGTAAACCTGCATAGGCAGAACAGTTTTGCAGGCATCAAGAACAAAGCATATTAAAATAATTTCCATACACAGTATAGACCATAACTGAAGCTTAATTGCCAGGAGTACGAGTGTGCTGCAGCATATTTTGGAATGTCCTGGGCGGAAAAGGGGGGAGTCAAAGGATAATTAAAAAAAAACATTTGTTTTCCTGTCTGACGCGCGTGGGCCTGGCAGTGCTTTAAAGTCAAAGGTTCCAGTCCGCTGGCAGATGTTTCCACTTGAGGTCTGCGACTCCTTCGGAAACGGGGATGTGGCCGTCCGGCCCGCGGCCCGCAGGCCCCCCGAGAGCCAGGGACCGCAGACTGCATGGCCTCCGCTCACCCACGCGGAGGGGTTTGTTAAGGCACGCTCACCCTTCCTGCAGCTGAAGGAGAGCAGTGATGAACTCAAGTGATTTACAAAAGGCCATTCGCTTCATTTGTGCTCAAAGCTAGATGCAGCAATGTTTTTATCTCACTTTAGCTGCCATTCCTTTACGAGTCTCATAAAGCTGAGCCTGGAGCTATGTTTATATTGCATTTATGTCTGTCATCAAATTAGGAGCTAAGCTCCTTGATAGAATAAAAATGAATTGCCTTCTTTAGTTCAGGATGTCAAAACTGCTTTCTTTCGTTCAGAAACATCTGTTTTCCTAGACAACCATTTTCTGGTCTGTGTATTTGCATTGGCCGGCTGCTTTTACCATTCAGGTCAGCAGGAGTCTGCATCCTCACCGTGTCCTGATTGTAGCAGAGCACCTGTAGTGATTCACAGTGCAGTAGTCTTCAGCTGAAATCTCTGAAGGCTTTACTTCTTCTTAGCTGTCATATCTATCTTTGTGGAGGCAAACTGGTAAAATAACATTGCTTTGATGCCACAGAAGGGGCATTAGCATTGTGTGCCATTAGTGTTGCATGAAGGGCTGTGTGCAGTACAGCCTGAGCCACTGCTTGTGTATCAGAAATCCAGTAGGCAGTCATCCTATATCCAAGCAGAGGTATTTGACTAATGGGGGGAAAAATAAATTATGAATAGACTTGTCTGGAGTCGTGCCTACAAATCTGAGAGTGTTTTCCTCACATTGTTTTGAGCTTCAAGTCTTAGGAACTGAAAACTCCTTCCAATTTAGAGATAATGTTTAAAAAAGACCCAGAGGGAGGAGCCAGTTCTTGCATTGGTACTAAGTGATAATATCTTATTACTAATTAAAAACATTGTGCCATCAGTTGTTGTGACTCTAATCCAGAAGCAAATCTCTTGAGCTTGGCACAATACAAGGCTCCTTGGTTCACTTTTTTCCAGCATGCTACCAGCTGCACGCTTGTAACTCATATGGCAGAGAACATTCATCAGATAGGTGCAATAATTTCTGAAGAAATAAATAGAAGTAAATATAGCCTGTAATCATACTACAAAGTTGTGATTAGTAGTCACTCTTACGGTTCAATGGCTTTAATTCATGGTCCCGTTCGAGTTTGACCTGCAGAGACAGCAAGAATCTTTACCATTTACAGATTGCATCTGCACATCTGCCTGAGCAGCACTGAGCATGTTGTGAAGTTCCTCTTCATATTTGGCTGTGCTTTTTGGTGTTTTCTTCATGTTAAGACTGGTATACATCAGCATTCCTTTGATCTGTTTTTTAATAAAATGTTAGCCATGCATCTCACTTGTTTGCCAGAAATTAAAACTCTCTCTGACACTGAAGGAGCATAATCTATTTAAAATGACAGCACTGTTTCTTTGTGAACAATGGCACTGCATCTTCCAAGTTGTACATTCTTCTCCTTTCTTCTCATTGAGCCTTGCAGTACATTGAAGTTGAGCTGAGGAACAGTTTTATGACTTTGCTTAGTTTTAACAGGCCTCTGTTATTGTAAGAACTATTTGCAACAGATTTGATAGAAATGTAGCTCATTCTTAGTTTTAAGAGCTGATGTTGAAATGACTTATGCAGGAATGGGATCGGCCCGTTTTTCTGCAATGGCCAGGCTGTTGAAACTGCCCAGGAGTGAGGATGGGAAGACTGTGGCCCTGCGGGGGGTGCTCTTGAGCTGTCTTCTAGACAGGTTCAGCCTGCTCTGCAGTGCTCGGCTTGACTGGGCTGCGGCCCCGTGCAGGCTGCACAGCTGCAGGAGGTTATAGGGTGTTACATTTGATTCTGTTTACACTGGGGCAGGTTTTAAAAACAACAGCATGCTACAGTACCCTAGGATAGCATTTCAATAGTTTTTCACAAACATTTTAACTCACTGAAGTATGTTCAAGGCGATTAAATAGAATGTTTCAGTAAATCCAGAAAGGCAAGTTTTGTGGTTAGATGTTTCCTTAAACTATCTTTAGTTGATGTCATGACTATTGTATTACGATTAAAAAATGTAGGTCTAGTGATATGTTATTGTTTCATTGGATGGGGATGGTGATACTGGGTATTGATATTGCATTAGACCTATTAATAGAACCTAAAATGGAGCCCATTTTTAAACAATATGAAGTAAATCCCCTGTCAATCTTATGCCATTAGAAGTTCTGTCATAAGCTCTACTGATTTTTATTACATAATCAGACATGCCATTCTGAGTTTGGTTGTATGAATGCAAGCTACAGTGCTATTCACAAACTACTGCCTAATTTAGCAACAATGCTACATTGTAAAATCAAATTACAGGTGCAGTTTTTTCACCTGTCAAATAGTGTAAAACAACAGACTGTTTTTTGTACCAATTCTGTTACTTTTCATTCTCATACTACAAGCATCCAGTCTAGAACTTCATTTAGCAGCAGATTCAAGGTGAAAATATTATGAATTACAGATTAAGAGGTGTTATCTGGCTAAGGATCATAAAACAATTACTGGTGTTACATGTTAAATGTCTAATTAGTAAGTGGACTTGATGTTTGTTTTTACAGAGCATTTGGACAAGGTATAAGTTATAAGGTCAAGAAGGATTTTAGTTTTTGTGTGACCCAGTATATGATTTTTATTAAGCATGTGAGAAAATACTAAACCTCTGAAGATCCCTCCATCCAATCCTAGTTGCTGTTGCCCTAGGTAACAGGTATTGATTACTGTTTGAAGCTGTTCAAGTTCGGGGCTTTTTTGTAGAGCCCCCAGTCTTCACTTGTGTCTCAAAGTTCCTCAACTCTCAAAGCAGCTTGTTAAAATTTTTAGACATGCCGCAGGAGCATTTTACCACTGCTGGTGTTGCAAAGACCGGGAAAAAAAATAATAGAGAACGTCAAAATAACATGATTTATCACCTGCAAGAGCTGCCTCTAATCTCGAGGTTGTTCCGCTCTCTTCCTGCCCCTGTCCCAGGTGGATGGGATTCTGAAGGCCGTGCTGCGTGACGAGATCATCGCCTGGCACAAGAAGACTCAGGAGGACACCTCCATGCCCCTGTCGCCCGCGGGCCAGCCGGAGAACATGGACAGCCAGCAGCTGGTGTCCCTGGTGCAGAAGGCCGTGACGGCCATCATGACCCGGCTGCACAACCTGGCCCAGTTCGAGGGTGGGGAGAGCAAGGTCAACACGCTGGTCGCCGCCGCCAACAGCCTGGACAACCTGTGCCGCATGGACCCTGCCTGGCACCCCTGGCTCTAGGCTGGCCGTGCTCTTGGAGGCGCAGGGAGAGAGGGCCGTGGGCGTCGTAAAGGGATCTTCTTCAAGTAATACACTTCAGGGCTGCAAAAATGCTGGGCTTACCCACGCCCAGAATAAAATAACCCAGGATATGGAAGGGGCAGTAACTTTGTTCTCGGACTGCTGAGGAGCGCTGAGGTACCCACTGAAGAATGCACTGTGGAAACGGTTCTGTCAGAGCCGTGTGGCAGCCTGGGGGAACCGTGCTCTTCTAACACACTGGATGAGACGGATCTCCTGAAGTGCGCAAAGTGGTTTGATTGTTGTGACGTCCCACTGTCACGTCAAAGGGAGCGATGTGCAAGCTGTCTGTCCCGTGTCCTGCATCAGTATAAAGAGCACAGTATTCAGCTGAAAGCTTAAGCAGAATCATTTATTGAAAATGACATTTCTGAAGGGTGTTTTTTTAATTTATTATTATGCATACTGTGATTTCAATTGCTGTAACATCAGGTAGTGAGGTGCTGTAATCCACCTGCTTATGCTGAGACATTGTGAGCAAAGCACACACATGCAGCCTTGCTGGGGAGGAAAAGGTCAGGCCGATTACCGTAGCCCCCCCAGGCCTTTTCCTCTTGCTGTCGTTCTCTCTATAGAGAAACACATCTGTGGAACTGTAGCCTCAATTAAAGGAGGTGACAGGAGCTAGCGATACCCAGATGTGGATTTCAGTTAAATATGTTTTAGATGCACACCTTAAATGTAGATTTAAAGGTTGTGTTTTTTTTTTTGTTTTCAGAGCAGCCTGGTTGTGTTGGAAATAAAACTCTCAATCAGAGCCAAAAGGGACCAGAAGTACAAGAATCACTGATTTGGGGTAGCACTGTTATCATGCAGGTCAATCTACAGAGTACAGGCCATCCAGCATCATTTCACTGGCTTGTCTCAATATCATTTTGTTCAATACAGCTTACAATTCTATTTAAGCAGTGCATGTGAATAATGTGCTGTATTCTTTTTGAGTTACTGCCTTTTAAATGTAATACAAACCTGAACTGAAGGGTCAGTGTTTCTGTCCATTAGAGAGACTTCTTGACTTTGCGTGTTGCCAACTGTGGTTCCTGCCTGTCTTGAATCTCCACTGAAGGCCATGCTGAACATTTTTAATTTTACATGCGAGTGACTTACTGGATGTGATCAAATTCAAAGAAGGACAAAATGCATATATGCAGCTTATATTTTTGTATCTGGATTTTTTTATTGCAAAAAAATCCACATTTACCAGTAAGGGTCTCCATAGACTAGTGTGACAGTTCCCAGCAGGTATACTTCATTTTAATAGAAAGAAGATGAGGGATAAATCAACCAAGTGAATGAAATAAACACTTATGTATTTGTTAAAAGTTGAAATGCTCGTATTCGAACTATAAAATGCTGTGACCTTTTTTAACCCAATTTTGTAAAGGTACTGTAATGCATACAAAATGTTCCATTCTTGGGGTTCAGGCTGAGATGTACAGATGCATTTTGTAGAAATAAAATGCTGTTTTGTTAAAGATTCTCAATGGGTATTGCTTACCCTTCAGAAACAAAACAAATCGTTAAGGCTGCTGTTCAATTCCTGATTGAAACCTCCTACAGGTGCTTTTGGAAATGGAGGAATGCTTGCCACACTGCTGCTCCCTATCTTTGCAGGAGGAAAACAAACTAGTGATTTATTGTGAGTCTTCAGAGCTTTCACACTTTCATACCACATGTACTTTTGTTCATTAGCTTTAGTACCTGCAGCTTTTACAGCTGGCTTCATCCACCACTGCAAACAGCGATGAGATACTTAGCACATGCGTCCTGTATAAATTAAATTTGGGAACACTATGGAAATCGCCTTCAAGGAAGGATGCTCCTAGGAGCCTCCGTTAGAGCTGAGGAATCTTGTTAGTTTGAAGATCTGAGTATGTACTTCTGCAGTTCTGGTATGCAATGCTCTAAGACCAAGGAATGTTAAACAGAGCGTGTATGTGATGCATTTCATCTTGTGTTGAAGATATGTTTCAACTAAATGTTGAAACTATGGTATGTTTCAACTTTTTTTAATGGCTTAAATGCATTTTGTATTAATGCAAAATGCTCCAAGAGGCATTCTGTCTGTTAGATCATTATTCCCCAGTCAGAGTTGATGGTCTGTCTGGCAGAGGGGGCTGACAGCTGCGAGACAAGCTGCTGAATGATGCATTACTCCAGTGATTGGAGTGCCTGTGTGCTGCCTGATTCACAGGCACTGTATCACCGCTGCCAAGCAATAAGCTAAACCACAGCACTTTTTCTTCAAACATATTGGCCCAGTGCTATTTTGTCAAGAAAAGGTAAAGATTTGCATCATGTTAGCATAGAAACCCTTGCAATGTTAAGGGCAGGGTAGTCTGCTGGTAATACACTGCATCTGTGATTGCCTGTAGTATTAGGTTTGTAACGCCCAGTATCCTACAACCTGTCTACTCACTTACATGCAACACTCACTTCTGAGTCCATCTACAGTACAGCCTTTGTTATAGCAGCCAAGCTGAGAGCAGAGGGGTGATTTGTTAAAAACAAGGGTGGTCCTCATCTTCCTTTGCTGGATCCAAATAAGCTCAGAGCACTCATAAGGATCACAAGAGTACTCTTGGCTGACTAGTTATATCCTTGAAAGGCCAAGTCTGACACTCATCTCCAAAGGAGACCCTGCCTTCATGCTATGGTTTGCTCAGTGCAAGGTGTGCTCACAGAACTGCTTGTCAGCCCTACTGCCAATCACCTTTCAAGGCTAGAGGAACATGCAAACACAGACAAAACAAGTTCTTGATATATCTATAAAACACCCAGAGGAGATGCTGTGCGAGGGAGATGTCAGTGTCAGCACTTCATCTAGTCAGATCTGTCAGCGGAGTCTGTTGCAAACCTAGTGAAAGTCTAAGTAGCTGCGAGTCTGAGGAAGCAAGGGAGCTGAAGGCATGTTCTCCGTGTGGCCACCTGACTGCTGTACTGAGGAAGCCTGCCAGCTGGATGGGTGTGCTGAAAAGGAGAAGAGAGCTGAGCTCCAGGAACCTGCTTCCAGTGTAGGGACCCTGGGAGCTGGTCCCTCTCGGGAGACCGGCCCTCGTGCTCTCGAACCGGAACCCCCCGTTAACAGCCGGCTCCTGCTTTCGCCATGGTGCTCCAGTGCAAAAGGCAGCTGCAGCCATGATAAGTGTCCGTTTCATCTCTTGAAATCTTAAGATAGGAATGTGGCCTACAGTCAGCTCAGTACTTCCTTTTAACTAAATGTTGGTAATTCTCTGCAATTTCCTCATACAATTTATTATATATATATAAAGAGACAAATTTAGTTAAATGGGAACCTGTTTTTTTTTATTTACTAAATCCATAATGTATTTTTTTTTCAATACACAAATAAGATGTTTGTGTTTAATGGTCATGCTGTGGCTGCAGGCATTTTATGAATGGTTTTATAAACCTAGCATGGACCTTATAATTTTCTGTGTGCAATTTTCTAGACCAATATTTTGTTTTCTTGGAGATGGACAATTATCAGAAAACTAGAGGCATGCAGAGAAGGTTTGAAAGGAGTAAAAGTGAAACAAATCTGCTTTATTAACAGGAGTAAAAATCTAGCCAGGAGTTTTGACTTACTCCATCAGACTTCCTTCATTCGGAATTCCAAATCAATAACACTCCCTATTGCCTAATTAAAAATCAAGCTTCCTCTGCAAACCTTTACTTTCTGTTCTCTTCAGGAAATCAAAAGACCTTTGTTTTAATTGCACCCAGCCAAATGAGTGTCAGATCAGTGTCCAGCTGCCCTCTTTAGTTCTGTGGCACGGTGGTGCAGGGCTCTGGGCCTGGGTACATTTCCAGACCTGGGGTGCTGTCTGTGTGGAGTCTGTATGTTCTCTCAGTGTTCATGTGGGTTTCCTCCGGGCGCTCCAGTTTCCTTTTTAAAGACTAATAGTCATAAAATCATGTTGCCATCCTAACCTTTCAATGTGGTAGAAAGTAGAGTCACCAGGGTTTAGGTGTTGTGAAATGGCTGGAGGCACACATAAAATGAATACTATCAGGACAGAACCCACACAGTCCTCCTGCAACCATTCTGCATTCTCTCTCCTGTGAGATCTAGAAATCCATCTAGGTTTTAGCATTGTAATTCATGTATAAAGTTTATTTTGTCTGTGTTGAGGGACTGAAGTGACTCTTGGAAATATTATACATAAGGTTCGATTGTGTTTAAATTAATTTTAAATCATAGGAAACAAAAATAATGAAAAAACATCAGAGCTCACCAGGCCAAGAAACTACAGGCTCCAAGGGGGGCTAGACAGTGTCTTTCCTCCTTAAAATGAACTTATCTGCAAGTTAATCTAAAGTTATTCTTTTGATTCTATTGTAATGGATCTTTCCTATGGAATTTTAATGATGTTAAATGTTTGATTGTGGCAGGATATTATGTACAGTGTCTTGCAAAACACATTGATTAATGCACAGGAGGAAAATGTCACAGAAGTCCTGAGTTAATCAATATAGCAAATGCTACACAATGCTGATTGTAATTATTAATTCAGATTGCCTTAGGGTGTTTTAAAATTAACTCTTGTCCTCTCATTCTTTTCCACTCTTTAAGACAAAACGTGTATTTTTATGCTAATTCTGTATGGCCAAATGCAGTGGTCCCTTCTCTTAACACTCACAAAGCACCGTTTAAAGAATCTGTTGCACCCAAACATTTCCTACTATAGTGTATATTAAATTATAGTAATAGATTAGCACCCTGGACATCCTGTAATACTTTTTCTTAATGTTTCTTTGGCTTGTTCATTGTTCACTGTTACTGTGTACATATATTGGCATTCAGCGGAAAAGTGGATATTTCCTTTGCTACTTTTTTTTTTAACATGCTGTACATCATGTACTGTATAGTAAAACAGTGCTAAAAAAGCCATTTTACCCAAATGCACTGAAATGCTAAGCATTAGTTCAGTAATAGCGGGGGTCTCGTACTTTCACAAATCTGGTGTTTCTGAGCTCTGCATGCAAACACATCTCCTCCAGAATCTCTGTGTTTGGCGGGAAATACAATATTTTGAAGCTGGTGTTTCTCTCTGCTGTCTAATGGCAACACAAAAACTGCCCTTTTTGAGGTGTTTGAATTGTGGGTCTTCATTAACTAAAGTAAACAGCATGAGCCTGGCCTGCGGAGATGTGCAGAGGAGTGTGGGAAAAGGAGCAGATCACAGTTTACATTGAATTCTCAGTGAAGTGCCAGGAACGTGGAGGAACATAGGGATCTGTGCCAGAGGCCAAACACTTCAGCAGAGAATGAGACTTTTTAAATATATATTCAGAAGTTCATTCCAGCTGTGAACGCGAGAGCCAGGCTATGACACAATTCTGTTTAAACATCTACGTACTGTATGAAAGAGCACATTCAAATGCATAAGGAAATGAATAGCTGCATTGCAATCCATATGCACACAGCGAAAACAAAACTTAAAAGGGTAATCTGTGTTACAGGTTTTTTCATTATCTAAGTGTGTATAAATTATATAAGAAAGGCTGGCCAGCTTTTCACTTTGCTTGCAGTATCTGGCGCATGACGTATCCCATCTTCAACCAGTGATCTCCGGACTATGGGACCTGGCATCAAACCCCCATTAGAAATGAGTGCTTTCCTGGCTGAGCCACTCAGAAACTGACTGCTTCTGCCTCTGTACCCACACGTCCTTATCAGAAAGCTGGCAGGCTGAGACTGGGTGCATTCCTGTTCTCTCCCACTATCACAAAGCCAGCAAGCCCAATCTAGTCCGCGTTTCCCCCTCCCGGGGCGAGACCATGGGTTCCCCCGCGCCGCCCTGCCTCTGGAGCCCTTACCTCGGTCCCACTGGGCCAGCACCCCGTGCGATCCCGTCCCCACGTCGAGCCTCTGGGACCTTCAGCCGTGTGATCGGTGGGATTTCACCTGGGGGCAGAAAAGAAATCCATCAGCTCCCCCAGCACAGCTGTTGGAGAGCAGCTTTCTCCAGGGCCTCCAGTGGCTTCCTCAGTGGCGTGAGGAGACGTGCTTAAGGGCTATTTTCTGCTTTCTTTCAGGAGACCTGGAGAATAATTACATAGCGCCAGGGAAGGTCATCCTGGCAATTGTTTTGTTGAAGCACTGAAAGGACTGCATGCCAGTATGATTCATAGTGTGAAATTGTACTTTGATGGAACCATAATTAGATTCTTATCACTTTCAACTAGGCTCAGCTCGCTGCTGTATAATTGTCCTGGATTATCTGCCACACGTCTCCTCGATTAAAAACTACAGCGTGGGGTTTTAATGGACTCTGTTCCAATCAACACGTAATGAAGACTGGCAAATTCAGCCCTCCAAATTAATCCAAGACAGCAGCCTGTGGAATGCTAGTAATGCCGGGTGACAGTGACAGGTAATACTTTCTCATAATTATATTACACCAATACAGACCGGCTCCGGCTGAACGCCAGTAATGAGGACATTCTCCACAGCTCCTGGGCTACAGGCAGGATAAGGTACCTCCTTTATACCTGACACCTTTATTAGCCCAGTGATCCACCGTACAAATTCGATTTTAAAGTAATAAGAGAGGATTTTGCTGTTCGTGTTTTTTTTTTAGTGTCATGTTTACAATTTGTAACATCAGTTCATCAGTCAAATCTTCTTTGTATACTTAGCTTCAAAAGAAGTCTGACTTCTGAATTCACAAAGTTCTTACCAGAAGAATGACAGTTTTGTTTGTGGCAGCTTCACTGATGTTTTATTGCACTGACATGATACGGGTAAATTTGTTTTATTGATTAATATCTGTCATGAATGTTGGCACAGTGGTTAGCTTTGGTACCTCACAGCGCTGGGGCCTGGGTTCGACTCTTGGGGTGCTATCTGTGTAGAGTTTTATGTTCTCCTCATGCCTTGTGCCTTTGTGTTTGTTTATGTTTGCCAGGATAGGCTCCAGCTCCCCTGCGAGCCTTAACTGGATAAAGTGGTTAGAAAATGTATGGATGAACTGGAATGTTGTCGTGTCAGGAAGATCAGCAGGTCTCAGGACATGGACAATATTGCACTGTGCAAAAATGTTTCCAGCAAGCACTGCAGGTAGGCATCTGCAGCGACTAGTCTCTCCTGCCCAGACCACCACAGCTGCACCTCTGCATTGTCTGTTGTACAGCACAACTAGCCGATCATTATGTACAGCATGTCTGTATAATGTCACTGATGCCCATCAGGGTGGTTTGCAATAACCACCTCTGCACTAACGGTGAGATCATCTTTTAAGGGACTCAGTCTAGCTTCCAACTTACTGATGGCGAAACATGATAGCATTGTTCTCTTCACAAGGGAGTAGCGATACTTATCTATGACACTCTGTGACAATGTTCTCGTCATTCAACAGGTTAAATCATTTCATCAACTGTGCCCCATGGGCTCTACCATTAATGGGATGAGTGTCCCCAGGTTGCTCCACACACGCAAACTTAAGTACTGCCCAGGTCTGGCTACTGAAACCTAGCAAGATCAGGCTTCAATCTGGTATAAGTGCTGGTAAGTCCACCAACCACCCTACTGGTCCTGGAAGGCAGGTGTGTCTTCAGGTTTGCCAGGTCTCTATGAAGCAGCAGCACTACTGGCAGAAACTGTTAAACAGGTCAATTCAAGCCAATAATGAACCAACAGAGGATGTTAATAGTCCAGCTAGACTGAAACCCGAAAATGTACCACCCCTCCAGATCTCAGCTCTGGCTGATGGATACTTCTCTCTCTTACTTCAAAACACACATCCAATGTTATTTTCCACCGCAAATGGAAAAGATGGAAGTTCTGTACTATGCAATGTCTCAGTTGTCAGTCTGTAAGAAGCTTTGCTCTGTTACTGTTGAGATATATTTATATTAAAGCCCATACTGTTTGTCTCTTCCTGCAGAAAGGGACACAGATGATTCTGTCTAAATTACAGTTTTCCAAGTGCATATAAAACAGAAACTGTTTGGACTTCAGCAGACAACAGACATTTTTCTAAAAGTTAATAATAATAATAATAATTATAATTGCTTACACTTATATAGCGCTTTTCTGGACACTCCACTCAAAGCGCTTTACAGGTAATGGGGACTCCCCTCCACCACCACCAATGTGCAGCATCCACCTGGATGATGCGACGGCAGCCATAGTGCGCCAGAACGCTCACCACACATCAGCTATCAGTGGGGAGGAGAGCAGAGTAATGTAGCCAATTCATAGAGGGGGATTATTAGGAGGCCATGATTAGTAAGGGCCAATTGGAAATTTGGCCAGGACACCGGGGTTACTCGAGAAGCGCCCTGGGATTTTTAATGACCACAGAGAGTCAGGACCTCGGTTTTACGTCTCATCCGAAGGACGGCGCCTGTTTACAGTATAGTGTCAGTAAAAGTTAAAGGAATAAATGCAGTAATTAAGAGCATACAGTTCTTTACAAAATAATACAATTTTTATTCAACATTTTTAGTGGGATTCAATTTACACTAGACTTCTGCCAGGCTTGTAATTACAGATTCTGTAAGAATTCTGTAATTCTGTGATGCTCCAATCATGACTTGTTACATCAGGGTGTCTCTGAGATCAAACAGGAAATTGCTTATTGCACTTCACAGTCTCTGAGCAAAAGGATCTTGCTTTGAAGGCAGGTAAGTGTGAGACATGCTGGGTTTCAGATGCAGCACACACCTTCTTGTTACAGGTCTTATCTGCGCACTAAGCAGAGCTGCTCCAGCCAGCTGGGAAGCATGGCTCGTTCTGCAAGAGGAAACTCAGCAGGGAAGCGGACTGCATTCCTATTATCATGTCAGTCTGTCTCGGAGCACTTCCGACATCTCTCAGGTCTGTGTGGGAAGCAATTCCCAATCCCGCTGCTCCGCGATGAAGGCAGGCACGGAATTAAGAGCCTACAAGTAATTTAAAGCTCAGACACAAGAAGAATTACAGCTTTTCTGCCTTGAAGTCTTTCACATTGGGTTTTGTTCCTACTGTATATACTGTATGTTCATTATGCATTGAGCGCACAGTACAAATTCATTAAGAGGACATTTTAAGAAATAGATCAATGTGGATATATACATATACCCATCCAAATGTGTTTTGTTTGCATGTAAAAAGCCAAGTTGTTTGAAAAGCCAACAAGGCGAAGCTTCTTGAAAGTCTTGGCAAAGCAGAACAGTAATAAGGTGGATCACTAGAAATCTGTGTAGGATGCAACCCTGTAATTTCTCCCCTCACAGTGACTTCTCTGCCAATTTCTCTTCATTCAGACTTGCGCACAGAACAAAAAAATTAGATCCAGTTTTTCTATACAAAATTGCCTGCCAGTCTTCTGTTATTAAATTTGACCACAGGAAAGAAAAAAAAAGAGCCAGCAGTGCACCTTAACTCTCTAGTGGGAGTTCTGGAAAACAGTGAATAGCACACTACACCCTGACCAGGGGTTCTCAAGACAGGCAGGTCCACTTTCAAAGGCTTTTTTTCCTTTCGGGAAATTGGGATCAGTGTAGCTGAGACCCCTGTGACAATCAGGCAAAGAGCACGCTGTTTAAGAGATTTGAAGAAATCTGAGTTGTCGTGGCAACACTGGGTCCTCAGCAGTAAGGGGTCTGTCTCTTCATAGTGTGTGCGATGCTTTTGTATTAAGAGAACATCAATTTCTCCGCTTAATACGACAGCCCCACTTTCAAACATTTCTTTCAATGTGGCTATTTTTTTTTGCTTCCCCACATCAAGGGTTTGTTGATTTTGTCTTAATGAGGAGAAAAAGCCCTATTGACGACGACATCAGCACTGCTGATTTTGGTGCCTGGGAGAAGAAGAGGAGAAATACATCTTGGCTTCTCTCCCCTGACCTCCCTGTCTCTTTTGTTTTTCAAAAATAAAGGTAATTTATAGCAAGCACTAATTAGGAAACATAGGCCCACTGCACCCCTGCTTCCAAGAGACATGCAATTAGCTCTCATTACAGCCAACTCATTAACTCTTTAAAGTTCCAAGCCTTGCATCAGAGCAGCAGAAGAAACCCTGGGCTTGGGCGAAAGGGGACGAGCTGGTTTCTTGAAAGATTACACAGCTCTCCACATGCAAGACAGGCAATGTGCAGCCATTTTCATCGGGAATATTTTACTTCTTTCAAAGAGAGAGGGGGGGATTTCATTACAGATTCGTTAAAGCACTTAAAGCCAGGTTTTGTACCCTGCACGGCATCAGCATGCAGAGCATCAGCAAAATCAAGTTAGTTTTAAGTTTCTTGACAGCTGTCCTCTACCTGAGGATGGAAGCTCTTTCCTCAGAATGTCACATGTACTGTATAAGAACGTAAGAAAGACTACAAAGAGGAATTTGGTAGTTAGTAGCTAATTGATCCCAGGATCTCACCCAGCAGTTCCTTGACACCTTCAACAACATGGTTTAGTAGCTTGTTTCCTACTCCCACAACTCTTTGCATAAAGAAATGCCTCCTGTTTTCAGTTTTAAATGCACTTCTTAGTTCCCACAAGAGTCCTCTGGTTGGTGTTTCTCTCCAGGAGATGTGATAATAATGCAATCCTGGAGGGTTGTCTTAAAGGGGGTGATGGATGAGGCAGACGGCTGCCGTTGGGTGAGGGAGCGAGGTTCGCTGGACTGAGTGTCAGGAGTGTCGGATCGTGCTGGAGCAGAATGCCAGGGTTCCCTGCTCCTGCCTTGTCACTTTCCATTATCTCTGAAGAGCTTTGTCTCAGCCAGCACAGGGGTTAATCCTGAAGAGAGCACTGCAAATTCATCCTTGGCACCCAGGGCTAAATCAGCTGCCGCACTCTTGAGAGCTAATTTGATTCCGTTCTGATGCCTCCTCCATTAACTGTTCATCTCCCTTTGGCTCCTGCAGCTCTCCTCCCTCCCCTGTCCTGACTTCATTCATCATTGCCAGGGGGTGATTCATT